TTAAGTGGTTGTATTCCTTCTTTGGACTCTGATTGTGATGAAGAACCACCATTCAAAAGATCTAAGCTTTCTGATGAGCATGATGATGCATCTATTGAACCAGAAGGTCATGGCATTGAGAACGAAGCATTGGACCAAATATTTCTTACATCCTATGATTATCATGAAACTCCAACATCAGCTTCAAGTATGTTTAAATTGGCATGTGGTGTTGATGAATTCAAGAACAGTTTTCAAGATTATGATGTGTCATTAGGTGAACAAGATTTAGAGACTTTTCAGGTTGTTATTGAAGGGTATAATTTATTTCAAGAGCACAAATCTTGGTTTTTGAAGGTATCACCATTTGAAGAACTAAAGGTTGCTCCTCAGGATGGACACATTAACCATAATGTAACCAAATTGATCAAAAGTCACAAGAAGAAGTTGAATATATTGGATATCATCAGGTCTTACAACTCAAAGCAATCATCTGAACAAGTTATTAGGATCCCTTCAATCTTGAAAAAGGGCTATGGAATTACTATTTTAAATGGTGAATACAAAAATCTTGGTCCATATATTGCTTTTCAAATTCCAAAGAAGGACACACTGAGATATAAACCTTTTGAAGAGAACCAAATTGATGACTTAAAATTACAAATTGAAAGGCTTCATAAACTCAAAATTCATCATAACAAACTTGGAGTAAAAACACTATATTGTATTGGTGATAAGACTCATATGATGGATTTCAATAATGCTACATCATTTACCAAGTGTGATGGTGAAACTTGTGAAGATTATAAATTTTTGAAAAAACTGAATAAAGTTTCGGATATTCTGAATCATTGATATATACATTTTGAGTTAGATCGTCTAAATAATTCGATTCAAACTTGGCTAATTATTTATCTATTTCTTTTACATATATGTAATTGATATTCATAGTGAAGATATTGTAGAGTTTGTTTAACTCCCAAGCAGCTAACTTCTATATGAAATTAAGTTCCTCATTTTCGAATTCTTAAAAAACTACATAGGAAAAGATTGAAAACGGATGATTGAATTAATACATAATAATGATTTATACACATCAATTATTGCTTTTCAAATAATGTATCAATTTCTTCTAAAGAAACACCCTGGGTCTCTGGTACAAAAAATAAAATAACCCAAAATGATATAAACATACAACCTGTAAATACAAATCCAAATGAATAACCAATATGATCTGTAATTATTGGTGTACAAAATCCAATGAAAAAATTAGAACACCAATTAAAAGTATAAGCTAAAGCCATACCATGACTTTTAATATGAATTGGATAAAGTTCACTTACAAGAACACCAACTGATGTCCCCCATGTTGGTGCAAAACTAACAAAATAACCACAAGTAAATAAAACCATAATTATTCCTGGAACTCTATTAACTTTTGGATCTAATGCATCTCTATCAATTTTCAAAGTTCCAACTATTGAATAAATAAATAAACATATAAATGATAAAGCAGCTCCAATTAATAATGATTTTTTTCTACCTAATTTTTCCACAACATAAACTCCTGATAATGAAACAGGTATATTAATAGTGGTAATAATTATTAAAGTAACATATGAATCATCAATACCTGCAAATTTAAACAATGTAGTACCATAATAAAAAAAATAATCAACACCACTCATCTGTTGGAAAGTCATTAAAGCTATACCAATAAATACTCTTTTCCTATAATTTTTATGGAAAACATATGAAAATGGTGTTTTTGAAGCATTATTATCCAGTTTAATTTTAGCTTTTAGTATATTCAATTGAATTTCAGGATTAGGATCACCAACTTCTTGCAAAGAATCTCTAGCTTTATCAAATTCACCAATACTAACCAAATAACGTGCACTTTCAGGTGTAGATAATATACCAACACATACTAAAAGAGCAGCACCAATCCCTATACTTAATGGAATTATCCATTCAGCTTTATTTGAATACATTTCTTTACAAGCAAAAACAGTAACAGCACCAAGGAAAATAGCACAAACAATATTCATTTGAAATAATGAAGTACATGAACCTCTAATTTCAGTTGGAGCGGTTTCAGATATAAACATTGGAGTTAAAACTGCAATACTTCCAATACATATACCACTAATAAATCTTCCTATTAGGAATTGATACCATTTCCCACTTAAACTAGTTGTTATTTGAACAATTATACCAGTGATATATACCGCCATTGAAATCAATATTGGTTTTTTCCTGCCTAAAGTATTTGCTAATCTTGCTATAGTGAATCCACCTATAACACAACCAATATGATACCCTGAAACCATTAATCCAGTTTGATAACTCTCAAGTTTAAATACTATGGAACCTGGTTCTAATCCAGGTTTTGGATCTCCTAATCTTGATAAAAATGAATCCATTTGAATAATACCACCAATAATACCTGTATCCCAACCAAATAAAAACCCAGCAAATGATATTATAGCACTAAGCAATATAACTTTTCTAAAAGACCATAGTTGTTTTAAATCAACTTTTAATACAGTTGCAGGGTCATTTATGATTTGATCTTCATTTTTTTCAAGATCAATATCAACTTTAGATATAATATTTGGATTATGAATATTATGATTTATTGAGTTGAAACTTTGAGTATCTGACGTGGAACTTTGTGAATATGACATTATATTGATCGTATAATCAGTTGATTATTAAATGAAATCTTGAACATGTTGAAAACAATGGAGTATTATATATAGATTCTCTCAAGAGCATATTAATATTTGTATACCAAGATCAATAAGTGACTTTTAAATGCTTATAATTACCCATTAGGAACCAATTTCTAATTTAAACAACGGTTTTTTCAAATCTCAAGCACTTTCCTATTCAGAGTTGCGGAGCCATGAACGCTTTCAGTAGCACCGCATCCCGCACAATTACCAAATCCGGAAACTGCAAACCCCTGGAAATTTGGAAATTTTGAGACAATTCAAACGAAAATTCAAACAGTTTTAAACATTTTATGCAAGAAATTTGGACATTTAGACAATAATTTGGACGTTTAAGCGCTGAGGGTCCAGGGATGAAAGTTGAATCTTGTTGTTCTAGAATTAGAGGTTGGCTGTAGGCTGCAAGTATATGATCAGGATTCAGCTATCAGCTATCAGCTATGAACGGTTGTATAATAGATGTCAAGTGTCAAGTTATATGACTAGCTTATAACCTGTAGAGATACTACTGATTAGAAAATCTCGTAAATCTATATATATCGTACATGGTTTAGCCAAATCAACATCTAGTATATGAATATTAAGATGTGTAAATTAGTGATATGATCTTTCCCTAGATCTCTATACATCTATAAATAATTTTTATCCCTTAATTCTCAAATAATGCACTAATTTGCTCTAAAGAAATCCCCTGAGTTTCTGGAACCATATAATAAACAAACCAAAACCCAATAAACATAAACCCAGTGAAAACATAACCATAAGCATAACCAATTTGTTCACTTATAATTGGTGTACAAAAACCAATGAAAAAATTTGAACCCCAATTAAAAGCAATACCAAACGCAACCGCTGAACTCTTGATATGTAATGGATATAATTCACTAACGAAAACACCAGCAGATGCACCCCATGAAGGAGAAAATGAAATAATAAATAAACATGTGAAAATAACCATAATCATACCTGGTGTCTTATTAACTTCAGGTGATGATGCATTTGCATCTAACATAAAAGTCCCCACTGTAGAATAAATAAATAATGAAATGAAACATAAAACTGAACCAATTAATAATGCTTTTCTTCTACCTAATTTTTCAATTATATAGATACCTGGAATTGTAACCAAGAAATTAACTGATGCTAATATAATTGAAGTGAAATAAGAATCTTCCACACCAGCATATTTGAACAATGCAGTACCATAATAGAAAAAATAATCAATACCACTCATTTGTTGGAAAACCATCATGAAAACTCCAATAATAACTCTTTTAATATATCTTTTTTTAAAAATCTCAGTAAATGGTAATTCATTTGCATTTGAATCTAATAATAAACTTTCTTGGATAGAATTAAGAGTTTTTTCAATATCAGAATCACCAATTTTTTGTAATGAAATTCTTGCATTAATATAATCATTTTGACTAATTAAATATCTTGGACTTTCAGGTGTTAATAAGATACCAACACTTGCAATTGAAGCAGCCAGTATCCCCAATGCTAAAGGTAATATCCATTCAATATTTGTCATTGGATAATGTTCTTTACATTGGAAAACGGTGATACTTGCCCAAAAAATAGCACCACAAATATTTAATCCATAAAGACAAACACAACTACCTCTTATAACAGTTGGAGCAGTTTCAGAAATTAACATTGGTGAAAGTACAGCAACACTACCAATACATAAACCAGTGGTAAATCTCCCCAATACAAATTGAATCCACCAACCGGTATAAATTGAAGATATTTGAATCAAAATCCCAACGATATATGTTGCCATTGAAATTAAAATTGGATAACGACGACCCAAAGTATCAGCTAATTTAGCAATTGTAAAGCCACCAGTGATACAACCAATATGATAACCTGATACAATAGCACCAGTTTTATAACTTTCCAATATAATTTTTGTTTTAGATGGATCTAAAGGATCTATTATTATTTCATGACCTAATTTAGTTATAAAAGAATTCATATTAATTATACCACCAATAACACCAGTATCCCAACCAAACAAGAAACCTGTTAATGAAATCAAAGCACATAGACAAATGACTTTTTTATAATACCAAAATTGTTTAAGCGCTGAAGTGTTTTGGATCCCAGTAGCAATTGTATTATCATTGGTGATATTATCATCTCTTGAACTTTCAGAATCACTTGAATCCGAAGTGATTAATGGTTTTTTAACAGATTTTTTGGAATCATAAGCATCCAGATCATCCAGTTCATATTGATTTTGATCTCTATCAATTTCAAAAGATAAATTTGGTGTATTATCTATACTTTTTGAAGATTCATGGAAATCATCTTTTTTAAAACTCATTATAGATTAACAATATTTGATTTCTTTCGCTTTGATCCAAAAGTTTCAAATACAAAGATGAATATTGTTATTATAATATGAATGAATAGATTCTTGATTCAATTCATATCAACTTTTTATTGGAAAATGAAGTAATTTTATTAATTTGATTTCACAAAATTTTGTAGTTTTCGTATCGATTTGCAAAATTTTTTTTTTTTTTAATTTTGATTTTCTTTTTGACGGATAAACGTTTTGGCACAAAAAAAAGAAAAGAGAATTGTAATTAGATTTATTGGAATCGATATTAAAGGGGGTATTTGAATGAGTTTATTGTTTATATAATAATATAAATGAATAATACAAGACTAGAGGATTTCAACACAGTTATTCTGGCTTGAATTGGACCATTGTGTGCTGAGTTGTGCAGTGTTTCGAGTTTCCTCATTGGTCAATTGAGTTAATATAATGAGATATTAATCTTTACTCAAGTTAATATCAGTAAATCATTGATCTTTATATTGAATAGCTAGAGCATCATCTAAAAAAAGATCCTATTGTTTGGTTCAATAAGACTCTGCATCTGATGATTACTTGATCTTTCAAGATCTCTAATATTGTACTAGTTCCATGATGAAGCGTCCAATTTACACTGAAAAAACTGGTATCGAATAATACACTCATACTCCATTCATAAACCTACTTTTTGATATCTTTACTTACTTATTTCTAGCACAAATCCCTCACATTAAATATGTTTAATTCATCGGCCTTTTAATATATCCGCGAATTGAAGACTCAAATTGAAATTTTTCAATTGCATAAGCACTTTTGGAAAGTTGAAGCAGATTCCCTGCATCGTATATTTTAATTCAATCTACACAATATCTAATCAATCTCAGTCGTTAAAATGGATCATCAGGATATAGAAATGGATCAAAATTATGATTTCAATGACAATTTCAATGATTTTTTACCTACAAATTCTAACGGTACAAATGATTTCAATAATCAACCCATTAATACCCATGATGAAAATTCAACAAATAATATAAACAATAATGATAACTCTAGTATAACTTCATCATCAAAGACCCCCATATCAAATGTCAATACTCCAATACCAGAAAACTCACCATTAGATGATGGCTTTTCCACTGGTAATTCAACACCAAATCTAATCTCATCATCATCATCTGCAAAAAATACAATAACAACAAAACCAATCTCATCTAAAAAGATTTCCAAAAAACCAACTTCAAAAAAATCATCAAGATTTAGACCATGTGATGGATGTAGGAAAAGAAGAACAAAATGTTCAATACCAGAAGGTTCCAAAGTTTGTATGGAATGTTCCAAGAGACAAATGGATTGTAAATTTGAATTTACTACAAATCAATTAGTTTCATCAAATCCAAAAGATTTACAACAACATAAAACTTGTGATAATTGTAATCATAGAAGAACAACATGTATTATACCAAGAAATTCTAAAAATTGTACAGAATGTACTTTAAAGGATCTTATATGTAATTTTAGTGGTGGATTAGATACTAATAATGATGCTAAAATAAGAACAAATATACCTATAAGAGATTATGATAATTATCAAGGTCCAACTATTATGAAAAAGACATTATCATTACAAGGTCCAAAATCTTCCAAAATTCTTGGTCCAACTTCAGTTATTGAAAAAAATTTATTAAGTTTCAATAATAATAATTTAGGTAATGGTAATTCACAAGTAACATCACCAGAATCAACATCATCAACACAATTTATAAATCAAGAACAAATTATAGTGGATAGTTCTATTAAATTAAGGAAAATTAATAATGATTCAATTTTTGAAATTGTTAATGATAATGAAGAATCAATAAAATTATCATATAAACAAGTTGATGAAATTGAAAAAATTGTTTATCCATATGGATTAAATTTAATTAATTTATATTTCAAAATTGTTCATCCATTATTACCAGTTATTTGTAAACCTGTTTTCTTGGAAAAATATTCAAGAACTCATAGAGAATTTGATCCAATTTTACTTTGTGCAATTTATTTACAAGCTTTAAGTTGGTGGCATATTGATGATTTTTTAAAAACTAAACCAAAACCAAATTTCCATAAATTAGAAAGAATGCTTAGGGTACTTTATGCAGATAATTTAACAAATTTACCACCAAAATTTACAACATGTCAAGGTTTAATCCTATTAATAAATTATGATTTTAGAGAAAATAATTCTAAAATTTTATTAAGACAAAATAATGATTGGAAATTTATAAGTCAATTAATCACAATTTGTGAAGAATTAGGATTAAATCATAATAGTGAAGATTGGCATACAATTCCTAATTGGGAAAGGAAAACAAGAAAATTATTAACTTGGTCAATAATATTAATGGATAAAATTTATTCATTATTAGAATTCCGTCCTTCAAGAATATCATCAAATAATTGGATTTTAAATGAAATTAATTCTAGTGATTTTAAAATTAGTCAAGAAGAGGAAATTTTTTTGGAAAAGACAAGTGATCATGATAATAATTACATTTTAAGTCATTCAATAAAAGGTTCAAAAGATGATGATGAAAATGAACAATCATTATATGGGAATTTAATCTTTGTTAAAATGATTCATCTTTCTTATCATATTAATGATACATTAGATGAAATTTATAATTTGAAAAGTTTAAAATTTGATGATTTTAATATAATTTTAAATAAAACTTCAAGATTATTAACAAATTTAGATCATTGGTATCAAAATTTACCAGAACAAATTAAATCAAATTCATTAATTAAACCAACTGGAGAAATTTCATCTGCTCCATTAAATTTAATGGTTTTCACATTAAAATTCTTGATTTATAGAAGAATTTTAAATTATATATTGGAAAATCCTGAAACTTTATCATATGATGAATTCTTGATGAAATTCAAATTAATTTTTAAGAAACTTTTCAATGAAATTCAATTTTTCAATAATGGATTCATAAATACATTAACAGTGGAACATTTTAGTAATTGTTTTTGGTATTCAAATTCAACAAAATCATTTATTTCAGTGGTTATTGTTTTATTATTACAAATTAAAATTTCCCAACATGAATTATACTTGGATGATGAATTCAATTTGGATACTCTTAATGCAGAATTCATTGAATATAGAGAAAATTTGAAAACAATAGCTATGGATTTCACTCCAGCAAGATTAGCATTAGATCATATTGATCAATTTGTTAAAATAGAGGAAGGTGAAGTTGTGTTTATCTTGTGAGTTGGTATATGCAATATATATGGCTTTATTATGACATTTTTCACCAATTTCTAGTAGTTTTCTATCAATTTTAGCTCAATTTCCATCATTTTTCCTGTAATTTCCGTAAATTCTTACTTATATATCTGTGTCCCATAACAATTTTCTGAATAATTCGCGGTATAATTCGCGAAGAAAATCAGATTTTAATTTTTTGCAGGTGGCAATCAAAATCAACGAAATCAAAACAAAACAAAATTAAGATCAGAATCGAATTGGACGCTAATTAGGTCAATTGAGCTGGTGGTTATTGTGCTGGTGATTGGTTTAGGTTATTGTGCTGATAGAAAGAAATAGGCTGCTAAAAAATTACGATCCAAAAATGAGCATCAGTGTTAATATTAAAAATTCTGGTAAAACATACCCATTGGAATTAGATCCTTCAGATACTGGATTAATTTTCAAGACAAAAATTCAAAATTTAACCAAAATTCCAATTGATAGACAGAAAATTCTTTTAAAAACTGGTCAATTACAAAATGATGTTGTTGTTTCTCAATTAAATTTGAAACCAAATCAAATTATTATGGTTTTAGGTTCACCTGAATTAAATTTACCAATTGCACCAATTAATACAATTTTTAAAGAAGATTTAGATGAATCAAGTTTACAATCTTATTCAAATGATCCAATTGGATTTGAAAATTTAGGTAATACATGTTATTTAAATTCTTCAATTCAAGCTTTATATAGTATTCCAAGTTTACATAAAGCTTTAGAAGCAAATCAAAAAATTGGTGAAATTGGTACAAATGAACATCTTGTATTACAATTGAAACAAATTTTTAATCAATTGAGAAATAAAAAAGAAGAATCTATAGTTCCAAATAATTTAATTACAAGTCTTAGAGTTTTATATCCACAATTTAATGAACGTGATCAATATGGTTCATATAAGCAACAAGATGCCGAGGAAGCTTTCACTCAATTATTATTAAGTTTGAAAACAGTGTTGGGTGATGAATTTATTCAAGATTTTACAATTAATTTCAAATCAACAATTAAAAATCAAGAAGATGAATCTGATGTACAATTCAAAAATGAAGAAGATTTAAAACTTTCATGTCATATTACAGGTTCAACAAATTTTTTAAAAAATGGTATCTTGGAATCATTAAATGAAACTATTGAAAAACATAGTGAAAAATTAAATAAAAATTGTCAATATGATATTAATAAAAAAATTTCAAAATTACCATCAATTTTAACTGTGCAATTTGTTCGTTTTTTTTGGAAAAGATCAACAAATAAAAAATCTAAAATTTTAAGAAAAGTTCAATTCCCTTTCCAATTAGATTTAGCTGATGTTTTAGATGATGATTATCGTGAAGAAAAAACTAAAATTAGAGATGAATTAAGATCAATTGAAAAAAAACAACAATTAGAAGAACGTGATTTTAAAAAACAAAAAAAACATGTTAATCAACAAGATGAAGAAGATTTTTTCAATAAACAATATAATAAATATCTTGATGAATTTAAAGAAAAATTTCCAAAAAATTTATCACCAGGTGAAAATCCTTCATCAATTTATAATTTAAATGCAATTATTACACATCAAGGTTCATCAGCAGATTCTGGTCATTATCAAGCATTTGTTAAAGATAAATTTGATGATAATAAATGGTGGAGATTCAATGATGATAAAATTTCCATTGTTGATAAAGATAGAATTGAAAGTTTATCAGGTGGTGGTGAAAGTGATAGTGCTTTAATCTTGATCTATAAAGGTTTTGGTTTAGAATAGACTAGAAAATGATAGCTATGTTACAAATATATATGTGTTTTTTACAATGATTTTTCTTGTAAGTTATAATGTTTAATTTTATCGTAAATACATATATATATCATTTTTATTTTAATTCATTAACTAATTTTTCAAAATTTTTAACTTCATCCCAACAATTTAATGGTTTTTCTTTATTTTGAATTAAACATGAAGAAACAGATTCTTTTGATTTTATTAATTCATCAGATAATTTAATAAATTTTGATTCTTTATTATTTAAATTTTTTTGTAAAATTGAAATTTTTTCATCAATTTTAGAAGTTGATAAATTTGAATCTTTTTCAAGATCTTTATTTAATATAGAATTTTTTAAAGTTTCATCAAATTTTAATTGAGAATCTTTTAATAAAACATCTAATTTTTCATTAACTTTATCTTCTAAATATTTTTCTGTATATTGAGAACGTGTATAATCAGTCTCCACAGATTTTTCCAATTGTGAGACTAAAGAAGGACTAAAATCAACTGGTGTTTGTGGAGTGAAGACTTTTGTTTCTGTTGGTTTTGATGCTGAAGCTCCCATTATGTGAATATTATAATTTTATGTTTATATGTTTGATGTTTATGTCTTGTAAGGATATGATATAGAGATCCTTATTTGAATTGAAAAATTTAATGCAAAATGCTATTGGTTTGAAGAATATTGAGATAACGAGGACAGTATGAAGAAAATCAAATGAATTCAAAAGCAAATCAAATCAATTTATAACAAGTAATCTTTCTAATTTGTTAAATTTCCCTTGTAATCAGTTATGGTTTTTTCAATTTCTCGAATAAAATCGGATTTTTTTTTTCCATTTTTGATTGGATTGGAAATTGTTTGTCAGGAATTATGTAATCAATATAACCATGATATTAACAGATTCACATTTATTGAAGAATTGTATCAGTTCTACAATATTTTCTCAGTTTAAATTATTATTATATTATTGGCTAAATACAGAGGATTATAAAGAGCTAATTTTTGTGTGGAATCTAAAAGATTATAACAGTGCTGCAAAGATGGCTAAAACACCTGTGAAACCAACAACTGGATTACTCAAAACAGCACCAAGAGCAGCAGCACCAGCAGATGAAGAAGATGATGATGACGATGATAATGATGATGAAGCTGTTGCTGAGGATGCTCCAGATGATTCTTGAGAAGCAGTTCTTTGAACAGATTGAGCTTCTGAAACTTGAGATGAATCATAAGTTGCAACACTTGAAGCAGTATCAATATCAGATTCTGCATAATAATCATCATTTGTTGCATTAAAACAACTGAATGCTAAATCACTAACTTCAAAAACTGATTTTTCAACAAATTTAATATCAGCACATGCATAATAAGTTTCATTAAAATCTTGTTGTCTTGGTGAACCATCTGAATTTGCTTGATCTTCATCATCATCATTTTGATAAATAACTTGAATTGTGGCAACATCACCTTCATTAATTGAATTTGGTTGATCTGGCATAAAGAAACAAGTATGACCAATATGTAATTCATCTGAAACATTACCATTATACCATTCATCAAAATCATCTTGTGTAGTTGGATTTTCATTATAAGATATTGATAATTTAACTTTTGTTGAAATATATTTAGCAATAAATGCAATAAATCCATCATCTAATGGGAATTCTGATCTATTTTGAATTTGTGCACTTGAACCACATGGTGCAGTATTATCATTATCAGCATTCCATTGTCTTGTTTCTGGATATAAAAATGTTAATGGACCCATAGAATTAGCATATGAAGAACCATGTTTTAATGGAGATGGACCTGGAATAGCTTTTGGACTAGCTTGTACTAAACCTGTGGCTAAAAAAGTTGTAATAATAGTTGATGAGAGTTTCATTATATGATATATTGATATTCTGGCGAGCACTGAGCAGTAAACAATGGCAACTTAAATATCTGGATAACATCAATGGTATATATATATTTAACCGTTCTTCAAGTACAACAGTTATTGATCACCCCGAAATATACGATAAGTACCCAAATTAGTACAAGATTTAGATATTTTCCATAATAAGTTAATGCACCTCATAATAAACTTTTTTCTTACCAAGAACTTATGATACCAGTTTATAAACAACCTTTTTACCACCGATAAAACACGAATTTAAAATATCATCGATATCTCCAATGTACGTATAACCATATACTTTAAATCACTTCAGCTCTAACCAAGAACTACTATTAAGACAAGTTTCATTGGACTCAGTAGCACTATATCTTTAAATTATATGACTGCATCCTTTGACCTCTAGCTCATTATCATACTAGTCTGGTACTAATCTGTTATGAGATTCATGCTTCAATTTACTAATTTAAATCCGTTAAGTTTCAATTTTCATGTACACCCACGAATTTATTAGCGATTCATAGAAATTTTACTAGGCATAAATTAAAACTACTATATTGAATTGAATAGTCGTTAGCAGAGAAACGGATGGATAATGGGTATTATATGATAAAAAAGATACTTATAGTTCTTTTATCCTCAATATGAGAAAACAAGAAGCAAAAAAAAATAATTCGGCGTTTTTGACCAATACTGGACGAGTCCGGAGTCGAACCGGAGACCTCTCCCATGCTAAGGGAGCGCGCTACCAACTACGCCACACGCCCGAATTTTTATTTTGGAAAATGGCCTGTTTCTCTGAGTGTGTGTAATGCTTATGTAACTGCTTACAAATCACAATACTCAAAGTTATTCATTTCTATCGTTTGATCTAATTAATTGTACTCTATTTGTCTTTTTGATGTTGTGGTTGCGTTTTTCAGAAATTTATTGATAAGCAGTTAATTATCTATTCTCTATTTCTAGCTTTCATATCAAAAGATCAAGTAGGTAGGTCCTCAGAAGAATTGCAGCTATACACACCTATGATATGTAATGATTGATGATAAAGGTTTGAAGCTAAAATTGTCTAAATACTACATTTAGCTATACTTAGTGTATTGATTAAAGTTGATGTATTTTTTTAACTTTGTAACTATGAAACAAACAGCTATATGTTAATACTGACCTTTGATCTAGTTTTAAATTTTAAAGCTTTGGAGATACACATCAAGCTTCTCCATTATTAATTTGTATATCACAACAGTGCAATGAATAAACTGATATATTTTGTAGCTCAAAATAATTCATCTGAGCTCAATTAATATACCTCTTATTTATCTTTTGAGTCTTAATTATTGAATTATACCATTAAACATTTTCATCTCAGATATGATACAGAAACATTAATGCAAATGTAGAGCTTAATAAGTTGATCTAATCAGATATCATAGCAAACTTGAAGCCAGCCCCTGATTCATCAGTCAATATTTTAATAAATTATGAATCTTGTTTATCTAAAATAACTAAAATACCAATATCCTTCTCCAAATCAGGTAAAATAAATAATTCTTTTGTTAATTCAAATCTTAATCTAATTAATTCAAGTTCATTAGTTAAATCTAAACTTGATTGAATTAAATTCACAGCAATTTTCAAATATTTTGTACCATCTTCAATTTTAATCTTGGTAACATTTGAATCTTGTTGTTCCCATCCATTTATAATTTGTTTTGAACTAAATTTGAATGATAAAATAAACATTGATTTAACATTTGAATTTGGTGATTTTAATGAAGATTGAAGGAAGTCAAACGTATGGACTGATGATATTAGTTCATTTGAAGGTAATGGAGCATATTCTGTCATGATTTTCTAATAATTGAATGAAAAGATTAGAATACAATGGATTTGTTTTCAGTTTTATCAAGTATTGAAATTGAAAAGCTGAAAAAATTAATAATTCGCGACTACCCCAGGAATCTTATATATATGTTGTAGCCCGCCAACGCGAATGACCCGCCATTGTCAAACCTTGGTGGGCACCTGCCCGCCAACGTCAAACATTCATGGGCACCGTCCCGCCTACGTTTTAGCGTTCGTGGGCACCTACCCACCAACGTAGAACCTTGGTGGGCTGCCTGCCAACGTTTTATATAGCACTATATAAAACCTATAAAATTGTCATTAATCTTTTATAAAACAATAAAGGTATATATGTCTTTATGACTGAGGCTGCTTTGAACACTAGCTGATTAATTATGTTTGACTTCAAATGCGGTGTTGATGTTCAGTTTAGTTATAATATTGTATTGGTTTCCATGATCTATGAAGTACTTTATACTACATGATCAAATTGAAAGATGACATTTTAGTATAGTTTTAATTTATATATACAATGTTGAGCTAAAATATTACACTCAAAGTATTATACATATCTAGCTTATATGCTAACGAGGCCAAATAAATACAGCTCCTGTCATTATAAGCAGAAGTATATTGCGATGTCGATATTAATTGATTGACGACTTTCCATTCAATGATGTATTAATTAAAACTATCGATACTGCATCATATTTACAAGCATCATGGTTAATGTATAAAGCTTGATACAGTGACATGTCTAACATTTATAATTGATTTATCTAACGTATCATCTCTATCGAGATATATATTATAAATATCACGTTCTTCTTTGAATGTTATGCTAGATTAGCAATATGATCTTTTCGATGATTTAATTTGTTAATTTAAAAGCATCACCACCATGACTACTTACTGTCTTCTATCTGCTCTAGTCATCAAAATTCAGTTGCTTAATTCCTGGCTTATACATGCTATAACTCATAACTATAGTTTAATAGATAGGAATCATGAACTAAATAACTTATAAATTTGAACGCTCAACATGCGTCTAAACAGATTGATGGCCATTGATCAAAAACGACCAACGCCTGGCTATTTGATATAATAAATGCTCTTCAAGCAATATATTAACAACTTCATTCAACTGACGTATGGATGTGGTTTATGAATCTTGATTAAATCCCATAATATCAAGAGTTAAATTGAGTTACAGCTATATATAGTGCTATATAAAACGTTGGCAGGCAGCCCACCAAGGTTCTACGTTGGTGGGTAGGTGCCCACGAATGTTTGACGTTGGCGGGCAGGTGCCCACCAAGGTTTGACATTGGCGGGTCGTTCGCGTTGGCGGGCTACAACATATATATGGATCTAAATGAAAACTCATATATTTACGTTATAGTTATAGACTAATTTATATATAATCTAAATTAATATTATTCGTCTGACTTCTGGCTTTCAAGTTATCTAATGAAATTTTATTATCATCTAAATTATTCAAATCTTCAACTTTTTTAGTTGATTGATCTATTGATCCATTACTTTCTTTCAAAGTATCGTATCTAACACCTTTCCAAATGATTAAAGAACCGATAAATATTATTAAAGGAGCACAGTAATCAATTCTATTAATAAATACTGAGAGAACATCATATTTAGCAGTTTCTTCTAAAGTTAAAATAGTCTTCAATTGATTATATTGTAATTTTGAAATATCATTAATATTTATATTACCAATTTTAAAACTTTGAATGAATTTATTGACAATTTTATAAATACCACGTATTATCCAAGCCCCAATAATAGTGAGCATCACTAATCTTCTTGTTTTTTGAAATCTTAATCTATAATGCATATCTAATTTATTGTCATTCAATGGTTTTTTAGAAATTTTGAATATGATACCTAAGATAATGAGCCCACTTGGATATTTCAAACTTTCAATACCAATGGTATTCAATTGTCCAGAATCTTTAAGAAGTGTTCCAAGATGATATAATATAACTAAAACGGTAAAGAAGTGGAAACTTTTATCAAGTTTAATCTCTGATGATGATCTAAAGTTCAAACAAGTTGCATAAATATCACTCGATCTAACAAACCTAATTGCAAAGTTAATTATTAGAATAGTTTGTATAATAGCCCAGGTATAAAATGTATTCCCTTCATTGACTATATCACGTCTTTCTTTTAACATCAAAACCAAATATTGGTTTATATTAATGATAAAAGATGATAATGAAATGAGCAAAATATTTACTAGTGTTGAAGTTAAGTATTGATTTTTAGTATTTGTGGAAAATTTATTGTGTTCTTTCAATTTCTTTGATATTATAAATATAATTGATAACCCAACACAAAGAAAGTTGAAATAGTAAAGAATGTTTTTGAAAATATGCTCTTCAAGTGTTATGAATCCAAAAGGTTGTGAATGGATGATACTCAATGGTGGCTTATAGGAAGAGAATTCATGATAACCAATAGCACAAAATACACCAGGGTTTCCAATTGGATAATGGAAAGTTTCACCAACTTTAATAATCTTATTCACAATTATATCATTTAGTTCTGTATTTTGATCAGTTATTAATGTAAATCCTTCTTCAGCTGAGCATACACCAGATTCTATTAAATCTTGGGTGCATAACTTTAAATCCTCATTTTTGAAATCATATTGATCATTAAAATGAAATGGAATATTTGTCTTTGGTAGATCTATGATATGATATAATATAACATGTGTATCTTGCTCAACGTTTATTATATCTATACTTGGTTGATGTTTATCGCTTAACTTTGGGTCTGCAATTGATTCGCATCTTTTAAAAGTTCTATCAGCTAATGAATAACCCAATAATCCCAGTAAAAATAGTGAAATTTTCATTCTTTTCATACTTTTTTTAATGAAATTTTAAATTTATATAGTGTAAAATGAGCCAAGATTCCAAAAAAAAAAAAAAAAACAACATTTTGAAAAATTCGCGATTCGCGACCGATGAGCTGAAAAAAAAATTTATTGTATTTGATAACTAAATAAATACTACTGATAAAGAACTTGATTTGTTGTTTTAGAGGAACTAAGTTAGAAGTATGGGTAAAAGAAGTAGTATCACCGGTGAATCTCCAGCTGGGAACAAGAAGAAGGTTTCCAAAAACGCTGGTAGTGGTCCAAAGTTATCAAAAGAGTACATTACAAAGACTTGTCAAACCATATTGGAAAATATAAATGAATTGAATTTCCCAAAATTAAATGAATTAATTAATTTATATGATCCATTACTAGAAAATTTAAACACAGAGGAAAAATTAAATCAAAATGAACCTATTGCAAGATTATTAAATATCCAATTATTGAAAATATTTGAAAAATTATTTGAATTAGAATTATTTAATCCTTCCAAAGTTGATATATCAGATTTTAAGAAATTAAAACATGTTTATGAAATGTTTAAATTCAATTTATTGTTTCTTTTAGAAAATATATCATTTGATTGTTCATTAATAGTGGATAATTTAGATATTTATTTAAAATTAATCAAATTAGAAAGTATACATTTTGCTACTAGTTCAAAATCATCAAATAATGATAAAAATCCATTTTTCCCAACTAAAACTTATAAAAATTTAATAATTTCAATTTTAAAATCTCAAAATGGTGAAATTTTAGGAGATGGTACAACTTCAAATATAATTGTTCATGAATTTATTGATCAATATTATAAAAAATATCAAGATTTACAATTTTATTTTGTTAATGAATTACCAATTGAAGAATTTTCAAATGAATCAGCTAACAATGAATCAATTTTTTCAAAATTTTTAACTATAATGAAGGAAAAAAATCTTTTATTAGAATCTTTGGAAGAACCAAAAACATTTGTTTCAAATTTACCTTCAATTGTTAATAATCAAGTTCATTATAAATCATCATTTGAAAATAAATGGTTACATTTCTTAAATTCTGAATTAAATAATAATCAATACAAAACTGTTCTATTAATTTTACATAAAAGAATCATTCCATTTTTCGCAAGACCAACAAAATTAATGGATTTTTTAACAGATTCATATGAAATGGGTGGAATTGTGGCAATTTTATCATTAAATGGGTTATTTGAATTAATTAAAAAATATAATTTAGATTATCCAAATTTTTATACAAAATTATATTCATTATTTGATCAAAATTTATTTCATGTTAAATATAGATCAAGATTTTTAAGATTAACAGATATTTTCCTTTCATCAACTCATTTACCATCTCAATTAGTTGCTTCATTTATTAAGAAAATGGCACGTTTATCAATAACAAGTTCTCCATCTGCAGTTGTTTCAATTATACCTTTTATTTATAATTTATTGAAAAAACATCCAACTTGTATGATTTTATTACAAAATACTTCAGTTTCAGATGATTATACTGATCCATATAATGATAAAGAATTAGATCCTTTACAAACTAAAGCCATTGAAAGTTCATTATGGGAATTAGAAACTTTACAATCTCATTATCATCCAAATGTCGCTACATTAGCTAAAATTTTCAGTCAACCTTTTAGAAAACAAAGTTATAATATGGAAGATTTCTTAGATTGGTCATATGCTTCATTATTACAAAGTGAAAATACTAGAAGATTGAAAACTGAAGTTGCTTTGGAATATGAAAATTTCGATACTTTATTAGGAGGATATGTACAAGGATGGACATGGTGATATAATCTGTATAAATAAATAAAATAGTAAATATAATTTAATTTCTAGAAATCCTGGTTTCATAATCTTATTTATATGACGCATTTTACGCGAATTATTTTGACATAAAAATGTTGGCTTTTAAAAAAAACAAGATTTAAACCAAAACAACCAAATCGCTATCAAGATTTTGATACTCTCAACAATCAATTTCAAAGTATATTTGCTGGTATTTGCAAGCTATTATTAATTATTGATACTACTTTAGACTAAATATTCTGTTCTGTGAGAATCTGGTGTGTTTTTTCGTGCAAAAATGGGCTCAAAAGACGAAAAATTGCCTCCCCTAGCAAGAAGAAATAAGACCCGTTCCATACTATATTTTGCCACAACTTTAGGATCAATACTGATACTGGTGATACACCTGGTTGCTAGTAGGAATTCAAAGAGCATTTCAGCTTGGGTTTTCGATCCATTACCAATTTATCCTATAAATAAAGATACAACACAGCAAAAGAAGAATAAAAATAAACTACGATTAAGGCATGTATATCATAGAGGTACTACAGGTCAAGAAGAAGTACATAAGGTACTTGATATAACACCAAATTTCATTGAAACAAATTCATTACACACTATGGACTTGAATAATATACAGTATGATTGGCCTGTGAAATATAAACATCAATCACCATGGACTGTGGAATTACCATTTAATTCAAATCAAATGACATTGAAAAGATTAGCTGATAGAGATCCAGAGTCCATTGAATCATATTTAAACTATGCAAGAGAAGTTGGTTCAGAAGAAATTTCTAAAATTCATTTAGATTGGAAAGATGATGAAATTATTGCACCAAATGTAACTGATAAAGAAACTATAATAACTTTAGCTTTAATGTCTTCAAATGCATATGTTGAAATCCCAGAAACTGGTGATTGGAGAGATGTTGGTTGGAATAAATCCACAAGTCATGGTTGGAATGGTACTGGTCTTCGAGGTCAAATTTTTGTAAGTGATGATAATTCCACTGTTGTTATCGCTTATAAGGGAACAAGTGCTTCATATTTAGGTAATACTGGTGATGACACAACTTCTGTTGAAGATAAAAATAATGATAACTTATTATTCTCATGTTGTTGTGCTCGTGTTAGTTATATGTGGACTACAGTTTGTGATTGTTATGAAAAATCTTATACATGTAATCAAAAATGTTTAGAAAGAGAATTAGTTAAAAAAGATAGATATTATCAAGCTGCAATGGATGTTTATAAAAATGTTACTAAACAATATCCAAATTCAAATATTTGGGTTACTGGTCATTCATTAGGTGGTGCATTATCAAGTCTTATAGGTAGAACATATGGAGTTCCTGCTGTATCATTTGAAGCACCAGGTGAATTATTAGCCACAAAGAGATTACATTTACCAATGCCACCAGGTTTACCAAAATATATGGAAGGTATCTGGCATTTTGGTCATACTGCAGATCCTATTTTCATGGGAGTTTGTAATGGTGCTAGTTCTGCATGTTCAGTTGCTGGTTATGCTATGGAAACTCAATGTCATAGTGGGAAACAATGTGTTTATGATGTTGTTACTGATAAAGGATGGCATGTAAATATGTTGAATCATAGGATACATACAGTTATTGATGAAATTTTGGAAGTTTATAATGATACTGCACCATGTATTGATACACCACCATGTCGTGATTGTTTTAATTGGAATTATGTTGATGATAAAGGTAAAGGTGGTAAAGATGATAAAAATTCTAAATCAACAATTAGTACTTCAACTTCTAGTAAAACTTCAGAAATTTCTACACCAACACCTACTAAAGAACCAAAATGTGTTAAATGGACTTGGTATGGTCGTTGTTATGAATGGGAGGATGATGATGGGCATGTTGAACCTTCTTATAGCTGACTGTGATCAATTGATTTTGCTGGCTTTTCCTACTTTTATTAACATAAGTATTAAGGAATTTATATATATGATTTATGAGAAATTGAGTATGATATGGGAAGATTTAATTTAATACATATATGCATTATACATTCAAACATCTTATTAAGCTTATCAGCAATTTAGTGTAATAAGCTATCAGATTACTCTTATTATGTATTGTAATAATATAATGTTTAACGTCGTGCGATATACGTTTTTCCGTCCTCAAAATGAATTACGTTGCTTTGACCAGCACTAATTGAAGCTCATGTGTATATACTTGCAATATACATCCGTGCAATAGCTACCCATATTAGTTACAACAATTATAATGTCTTTAAGGTAAACCTTAATCAGCTCATGTCTATAAATTTATGGTATATATTCAATATTAGCACCTGCGCGCCCTTGCACTGATTGCTTATCTAACCTCGGACATAAATCTCAAATTCTTCAAAAAAAGGTAATAACCTTGAGCCTAACTTAGATAAGAATCAGATCTGAATAGGCCAGCACGAATCTTCGGTGAAGCAGTTTTTTTTGTTCACAACATATTATGGTGTAAAAACATGATTTAAAAGCAAAAAAATGGGAAATAAAGGCAAAAAATAAAGCCTGCGCAAGCCCGGAGTCGAACCGGGGGCTCAAAGATGGCAACTTTGAATTTTACCGCTAAACCACTTGCGCGTGTTTCTTGTTTCTTTTTTTTCTCCCAAAGGCCCAATTCTCTCTGTCTGGTTTGAGCAGCATAAACTCTAAATTTGAGATAAAAAGCTGAAAAGTTCATGAAATTGAAGTTCTAAAAAGCTAGGGACTATTTTCAAGCCTGAATTATTGTAAGAATCAAGTCTTTAGTACTTTTGATCAGATTTTTGCTGTTTTATTTGTCTTTAAAATTTTGAGATTTTTGAGATCTCGGATAAACCCCACACGGTTGGGACAGTATGCTGATCGTTTCAAACATTGATTAACATTAACAAACAGCTCGCTACTTCTAACATTTGTGAAAGTAATTGACAAATCTAAGGGGTTTGTTCTGAAATCTTAATGAGCTCATCCAGGCCAGATACCATTGAATATAATTGGAAAAACTCAAGGTTTGAACATGCTCTGAAAGTTTATGAGACCATTTTCTGATGCTCAAATTAAGTTATCATTCCATCATCGCATTATCGTTATCTAGTGAGAGATAGTTTCTACAATAAAGACAAGACAACCACTAGGCTCTACAATAAAGACAACGAAGATATTCCATATACTCAACTAAATTAGCTTTTAAAATTATAGAATTTTCTCATGACGAGACGAATTTCATAGTGACGTTACAACCATGAAGTAATCATGAATGAATATATGAAATAGTTCGGTTAACAAGTTAAGCATTTAGCTAGTAGTAAACGCTCATACATAAGAAAGTATCACAGTATCACTGGTTATATTGGGCTCATATGATATTCTATGTCATGGCTTTTAGAGCTTGCGTCAATAAGTATAGATGTGTTTAGATTATGATCTAAAAAACTATATACAGGGATGTAAATCCCAAGTGAATGTGTCTATAAGTTGTTTAATAAATTTTATCCCATTCTTTATGCTACAAGTTCACCCATTACAATCACCATTGATAAGAACCATTGATCCAAGTTAATTTATCTGACAACAACGTTCAAGCACTCAAATAGGCTTTTTATTGAACTGAAATTTCCCCATGGAAGCGCCTCAAACTTCGATCCAAATTTTGTTGCTAAAGAGCCACATTGTATTCAACCTTGTGAATACTGGTGGTAACGAACAGAAGAAAGAAGCATCAGCAAATAATTATTATCTCAAGCTCAATAGACTAAGGACTCACCGTGTTAAAATTCATCAAAACAATGTTCAATGGTTGTATTTTCAATATATTTTGATTAGCTTTATAAATATATTAAGCCCCTTGAGATCAAACTATTAATTGAAACATATATATATTGCATGATCTGATTTTCAATAGTTTCAGAATATCTATAATGGAAAATCACTCCTTCATTACAAACACTGATTAATATTGATAAGATAAAGTGTCCCTGTCATGTGTGAAAGTTTAAGACAGTACTGTTCTCGTATACTTCCGATGATATTCTTCAATATTTTTCATGAACTTTTGCAGCTTTTCAATAAATTTTCTAGACTTGTTCGATTGAATAAAAATTAATCTTTTTAATTCAGCTTGATCTGTATACAAATTTTGATTTTCTCACGTGACCTGTAGGTTTAAAATTTAATTTTTTGTACCACAAATAAAAAGTTTTAGCCCTATTAAAAATATTTGTAAGCATTTTCTATCTCAATGAATATAGCATTGTATCTTTCGAAGCAATTTGAGCAAAAAAAAAATTTGGAAATTTGAAAGTTTTTAAAATTGAACTTGAATTAAAATATTGATGGTCCCCTTTGATAAAATTGAGAAATTTTGAACTTTTTTTTTCGGATAATTTATAGCTCATTATAATGAGTAGGTAGAGAAGACTTTGTGAGTATATTTTTGAGCCTCTGAGGTTTAATTTCAAGCGTTTTATCAATTATTCAAATATTCAAGCATGTTCTTAACTTTACTTACATAATCATATTTTAATTAATGCACCGGAAATTTCAAAGATTTTCCGGAGTAAATGTGGCAAAACAATTACCGAATCAAGTAATTTAATTAGTTAGCTCATCGGTGTTTACGAAATTTGTCTTTTTAGAGTAATTTGTTTTCTTTTTTTGCGCAAAAATATATTCCCCCAGAATTTATATAAATTACATGACTTTTTGAAATTTATCCGAGTTTCATGGGGGCTAGAGGACTGGTTTTAATTTGAATGATTTGTTGATTTTTATGGAGATTAGAATAGCATATACATTTTGGATTGTAAATGATTATGGTTGACACCTTGTTACTTGAAAACTTTTTGATTCGGTAATACAGATGATGGTATGATTATATACACACATCGCCTAGCTTTACCCTTTACCTTTTACCCCATGTTTGGTTAAAATAAACACAAAGTGTTCTGAAATTCAAATCATAAACGAGATATAGAAATTAGAATAGCACCTCGCATTATATATTGAGGTCTTATTAAGTAAAAGCGCTTATATATATCGTATGACATCTGGCAATGAAAAGTATATTTCAAATAGCTATAGATGTTCAAAGCATGTTCAATGACCAATCATGTTGCCACGCTACGTTCAATGGAAGTTTTATTGGTCAAAAAAGTAAATTTTACAACTAATTATAACAAATTAATTTTTGATTTGATTAGTTCAACATTTACGCACTAATTAGTACCATGTTTTTTAGACGTTTTAACAGCTTTTGTTGAGTGATCCTGATCCGATTAGTTGTGATACGAGAAGGTACGTGTTTTCCCAGAGCAAGACTTGTTGATACCGTATAAGAGCACCAACAACCCATTGAAATTAACTAATCTCTATTCCCAGATATATCTCATGATCTCATATATCTCATAATAAAATAAAAACTATAAATTTTCTTCCCAATTTAAATCTTCTCGTTATTGCTTTTGTTCAGCTTCTCGTCTCGGATTATTCAGCACCGCGATCAAGAACACCTCAAATAAACCCTAGAAACCAGGAATAAATGATACAGGATAAATGAGATTATCCTCCATACAACTGACTGATAATTCACTTCTTTTCCCTTCAAATTCCCATGTAATTTATCGATAATTCAATCAAATTTCTCAAAACAAGCCCCCGGTTCTCTCCCCATACTTCTTACTTAATCACACTTTCCGGTCACTTTTTCCCCCTATAAAAATATTGATTTTCCAATTTCCGACCTGCCTTAATAAAAAATTGCAGTCCGAAGTCATTTTTAAAATTTATAGAAAAAGGTTGTAAATGAAAACAACTTTGAAGGTAAAAAAATTGACCGTTTAGAATTCAAACAAATAAATCATTTCTCAAATCGAAAAACACATTGCCATCCGATTCTCAACTGATACTTTAGAGTGCTTACATTACTTTGAGAAGCGCGTGTCAATTTCCAAAGTCTTTGGCGTTGCTTTAATTTCCCACATTGTGCTTTTTTTGCTGGTGTTGATATCCCTGATTATTGGAGATTAATATTTTGATTCTATATATTCAAAGGAAACAGAAAAAAACAAAGCATTTACACTACACAATTCATATTACGTTCAATTCATATTACTAAAGTTATTCCATTTATTCCCATAGTTTTTTATTTAATTTTAATTGTTTTTTTTTTGATATTGAGAACTAAAATTCATTATGCCTTCAACTAATAATTTGGCTCAATATTTTGCCCAAAGTCAACAACAAGGTCAACAAGGTTCAAGTTCCAATAAACCAACTTCAATTCCAAGAAGTTCTAAATCCCATTCTTCTTCAAGTTATAATATTCATTCAAAAGCGGTTGATGCAGAAGATGATGATCATTTTGAAAGTTCAACTTTTGCATTGAAAAGAACGAGGTCAGTTGGTTTATTAGATGAATTTATAGCCCCAACAAGAAAATTGATTGAAGAAGGTGAAGGAAATCAATCAGAAAGTGATAATGAAGATGATGATTATGATCAAAAATATGATATTGATTACGATGAAAATAATTTATCTAAAAATACTAAAATTAATACTAATACAACAACAACAAATAATAATAATGATGATGATGATGACGAAAATCAATTTATTGAAGATATTGATGATGAAACATATAAATCCAAACAAAATCAATCAAATAAAAAGAATTCAAATGTATATTCTTATGATGATGATTATAATACTTATTCAAGTTATGAAAATGATGAAAATGCATCAATATCACCATCTCCACCAGATACTCCAGATTTATATCAACCTCATGATGATAATGATATAGTTTATGAACCTCAAAGACATGTTGATTATTTATCTCATAATTGGAAAGAAGGTGATATTTCAAAATCTTGGAGATATATTGTTTTGAAAAGGAAAGATGTGGCAAATTCTGCAAGATTAGAAAATGCATCATGGAGAACTTGGGCTCAAGCAAAATATCATTTGAAAACAATTAGTCCAGAAGCTGTTAATTGGTTAAAAGATTCAGATGTTACTTGGTTATATGGTCCTTTATATAAAGATCCACCAAAAACTCAAACTTTAGGTTCAACTACATCAACTACTTCATCATCATCAAATTTAGGAAATGATGGTGATAAAAAATATGGTTCAGATTCAGAATCAACTTCTAAAAATAAAACACCATTAAAACCAAAAAAAATTAAAGGACCAAAACCAATTTTAAAGAAAAGAACAGTCAGTGAAATGTTATCACAACCTTCAATGATTAAATTACCTCCAAGACATCATTCACCTTTAGTTGATTTTTCACATCCAAATTTACCTTCACCACCTCATATTGATGATGATTTTGATTTAATTTCAAGTAGAGTTAATGCTCAATATAAATCTAATCAATCATCAAATGATCAAATTCAAAATCAAAATATACCGACAAATCAAAATTCAATAAATATGTCTAAACAAGGATCTCAACAAAGTGGATTTAATGATAATTCAAGTATACAATCTAAATCACAACAACAACAACAACAACCACAAAAACGTCATATTCATTTCAATGATAGAGTGGATCAATGTATAGCTGTTAATATTCCAGATTCTGAAGATGAAGATTATGAAGGTGATGAAGAAGAATTTATGGATAATGAAGATAGTGATTCAGATGAAGAAGGTGGATTTTTCTTACAAGTTAGAGCACCTTCAACACCACAAGTTCATAATAAGGATTTTCAATTACCATTATCATCAAATGAAGCTAAAAATTTAACACATGGTGAACAACCTTCAGAATATCAAACAATTAAATTATTACCATGTACAACATTAAATTATGGATCAGATGAAGAAGATGAAAGTGAAGATGTAAATAAATTTGCAGTATCTCATAATACAAATACAAGCCGAGGATTCAATTATTATTATGATTATAATTCAGTTTATTCAAATGATGTTTCTCATGTTTCACTTGGTCATAATGATTATGCAATTGATGATGATGATGTTCATCATTTAGAAGGGGTTAAAATGGTTGATGTACCAGAAAATATTGTATTAGGTTCAAATGTTGAAATTGAAGATACACCACATTTTGCAGAACCTCAACATATTAAAGATCATGATTCAACAAAAATTGAAAATAATGATCAAATAAAACAACCACAACCTACAAGAGTAACAAATGCTAATGGTGAAGTGAATAATAGTGATAGTTATAATAGTAAAAATGATCAAAAAATTGGAGGAAGTGCATTTGATTTACATTCAGATGATGAATCAAGTGAAGATGTTGATATTGAAGAAGAAGAAGATCAACCAATAAATACATCAATATCATCAAGTGGTAAAAATTTTGGAGAAAATTTAACAAAAGTTAGTTCATCACCAAGTTATGCATCATTAAGTGATGTTGCAGCTCAAGGTTATATTTCACAAAGTGCAAATACAAATTCAAATTTATCAAATATTGTTTCTAAGAATTATAGTCCAAATTCTTCAAATTCATCACCTGTTAGTAGTAATAATTCTGATCAAAGAGATGTTAATGAATTACAAAAAGATTTTGGAAATTTAAGTCCAAGTGAAGAAAGAAGTGGATTTAATTATAGGTTTTTGAAAAACTGGAAGAAAGGTTGAGCTTACTTATATATATATATGAATAGATTTATTTAACGATCATGAAATGAATGTGCAGGAAATGAAAAGTTTTTTTTTTTGTAAATTGTGTATCTTTGTATACTAGGTATTTTGTTTTTGGTATGGGGTTCATGGAAATTCGCGATGCCAATATTGAATCAAAACAAAACGTCAGAAGAATGGAATCAAACAAATTGAACACCATCAACAACGGTGACTTGAACAGCCAAGGATATAAGGGATCCACTGAAGATAGAGAGAGCAATGGCTGAACATAGAATACCCAGTGTTATCCATGAGAATGTCAGGGCGTCATTTGAACCAGATTTCGAGTCTACAAGAAACTCTATAGATTCACTTTCTTCATTATCACATCCAGGAATTTCCAATTCATTAGATTTGAACGATGAATTGGCCAGTACAGGTGATCAAAGCTCTAACTTGGCATTATCTAGAAGAAGTTTTGAAAGTTCTAGTTTCGTTACATCAAGTTTTAGACCAAGTTTTGATGATAGTTTACCCTTATTAGGATTGAATCGTTTATCTATACAAAAATTAAGTCCATTAGGTCCAAATTCAATTTATGAAATAATAGCTGATGTTGATTCTAAGAAAAATACAAATAATACACTTAGTCCAAATCCAAATAAATCAAAGAAAAATTTACATTTAAAACCTCCAACTCAAAGAGATATTCCAGCTGTTCATTTATCAAAAGTTGAAAAAGCACCAAAGGAAGAATTGAAACAATATTTAATAGATCTTGGGAAAGAATATGAGAAATATTCGAGTAATAAACAGTTAACAGCTACTACATTGGAATCATTTGTTAAAAAGCAACAAGGCGGTGATCAAAATAATAATGATTTATTGGAACAAGAAATTGATTCATTAAATACTATACCTGAAATATATTTTTCTGAGAATTTCAATTTGGATGATCCTAGAGTGTTTAAAGCTGTTACAGAGGGGAATAAATTAGATAAATTAAATGAATTAGCACAAGATAAATTATCATGGTATTTAGATACAGTTGAGGTTCATCTGGTTAATGAAATTTCAAAATCTTCAAGTTCATTTTTCGATGCATTAACTGATCTAAATAATATAAGTTTGAAGAATCAAAATACTGTACAATTAATTAATAACTTGAAGGGGAAATTATCAAAGTTACAAAGTCAAAAAATTACAAAATTATTGGATAAATTGAATCTAATCACTAAAAGAACAAATATTGATAAATTAGAACAAGGTTTTTTACAAATAAGTATGGTTTTAAATCAATCTGATATTGCAGAATCTTACTTTTTAAAAGGTGAATATGAAAAATGTTTAGATAAAGTTGATTATGTTGAATCTTTAATCAAAGGTGAAGTTACAGATTTGAACTGGCCACATAAATTAGTTGATCTAAGGACAGTACCAGCATTGATTAACATAAGAGAACTGTTATGTAACTTAAGAATACAAACAGGTCAATCATATTCAAAAGTATTTATAAGCTTCTTACTAGATGATCTTAGAAAACATTATGAAGAAATAGATTTTGTTAAAGTCACTGAAAGGTTAGTTAATAATTCATCATATAAAGTTGAAATTAAAGATGAATTCAAATCTAAATTGAATGAATATATCATTGGTCTTACAAGATGTGAAGAATTAGCATCAGCTTTTAATAACTATGAAGAACAAGTTGTTAATGAAATGAAGAATATTGTTCGACAATTTTTACCAAGTGAAGAAGCTGAATCAAGTGAATCAAGAGCTGGTACTTCATCTGTTAGTGGATCGACTTCAAATAAACCAAGTGGTAAAAGTCTGAGTGCTTTAATTAAGGGAATGACACCAAGGGATTTTGAAGATATGGTAATAAAGATATATGCCACAATCTCAGAAGGGTTAAGAAGATTACAAGTTCACCAGAAAATCTTGTTAGATTTAGCATTAAGTAATATCAAGCAAAAAGATCAAGATCAGATAAATCTAATTATGCAATTGGATATAAAGAATTCAATTAATAAAAGTGCAGAAATTGTTCAAATTAGAATGGGTAAAATTATATCAGTTAGAAAAGATATTAATGCTTCATTACGTTATGATTATTTCTTGAGATTTTTTTATATAAATTCAGTTTTTTTAAATGATTCAGAAAATATTTCAGGTATGAATTTTAAATTTTTACCAGACATTATAAATTCACAAATCAAAATTTTCAATACTACATTCCATCATCATAATTTGAAAGCAATTTCTCATTCATTAGAAAAAGAAGACTGGAAACCATTGATTGTATCGCATGAGCTCCAGGAAGTTGCTAACAAAATTGTTGATAATGTTAATTTAGATGCTGATCAACATTGGAAAAAGGAACTTTTACATTTGAGACCAGATTCGAACTCAAATGATCCAAAAAATGATAATGATGGTAATAATAAACAAACATCTCATAAAAGATCAATTGTTGTTGGTGATAAAACATTTGTTGCAAGTAGTTCATTATTAACTTTGATTTCTAAAATTTCAGATTATTTCATTTTAAAGCAAAATTTCCATCATTATTCAAGTATGTATGAAACATATTTAATTGAATTATTTAAATATTATAATTCAAAATCAATGAATTCAATCAAAAAAACTGATGGAACTTTAGATCGGGATAAAAACTTAAGTATAGTTGGTGAATCATTAGATTGTTTACAGGAATTAATTCACTACATTCGTATAGATTTTGATAATTTAGAATTGGATGAGCTATATAACACAGTGATTAATAATTTTGCAGCATCAAAATCCAAAATAGCATAATGTTGATATAGAAATTCAAACAAGCAACTTATAGATATTACTTGAAATGACAATTCCGTAGTTATATAAAGTTAAAACAGAATCTTCACAAAATTGTTTGAACATCAGGTAACGATCATCATTGAATAAAAACACACAGATTAGCATTTGTGACAATGTATTGACATTAATCATCAGCTCCTCTTGTGTAAACACATCCATTTGAATTTGAAATAGTGATTTAAGCAGAACCTGCGTCAACCAGGTGTTAATCCACCAAAATTGTAGGGTTGAGATTAAAAACCAAACACCTAAATAATAAAAATTCCTAATTAAACCAGATTTAGCACCTAAAACTATAAGACAAACTGTGGTACATATAGCGTTTATATACGCTGGCCCCTTTGAAATGTCATATGTGGAACTTTTTGGAGTTGTTATTTGCGCTTCAAGGTCATCCTTGACAGCAGATACTTTATTTCCTTGCGAACTCTTCAACTCTGATATTTCTGAATTCAGCTTTTGTAGCTTTGCATCCATTGCAGCATCCATTTTAGAACTCAGTGCCTCAATTTTTGATTCAACCATTTCCTTTACGTTTGGGTCAACACTTGAAAACGTTGTATCATTTGGTGGAACAGCGGCATTGGTAGGACCAGAAGTAACATTATGAGTTGGAAATTGCCCAGCGTACTGATTAATTTCATTACCATTCTTTTCGTAAGCATCATGACCACCATCTTGAACTTGTCTAACTTTTTCTTCATGACCAGTTTTATTAGCATCCAATGTACTTTTATTAACATTAGTTGACGCATTATCATATTCTGAACCAATTATTGGTTTTGAAGAAGTACCTTGACTATTTAATAAGTCTCTATCATATGGATTCATATCTGGGTCTTCGTCTGCGACCTTAAAGACTGATTTGTAAATGAAGGTTGATGATTCACCAGTTAATGGACGAGGATCAACATCAGCAATAATCTCTGACTTGTCAGATACCACTTCAGAGTGATTATCTCCCTCTTGCATCTTGTAATTACCTAAATAATATCAGATTGCCGCTCTGAGTCTGAGATAGAAGATTACACTTCAATGATTATTGATTACAATTTATAATATATTTGACACAAAACTTGCATGAGAACTTTAGAAGTACAAAATATGAGTGGATATAACGATTTCTATAAGACCGGGTAAAAGTTTTGAGATCACATGACGATGACATAAGCACGAAATATTTTCGCGATTTTCGCGAATTCAATTGCCACTGAAATTTTTTTTCATCAACAAAAAAATCGGCCAAAAAAAAGGAGGTCACCCTATTCTTAACTATTGAGTTGAAGGGTAACAAGACTGTATCAGAAACGATTGTTTACATTTTATATTGTGACAAAATAATCAACAATCAAAAGGTCAAAAACACAAAAAAACTAGTCCAATGTCTTCGCGTGATTACCATGAGGGGGCAAAAGCGTTGCTTGATTTGAAAAAAAAAGACGATGTGAAGAAAGAAGGTGAATTGAATGCTGTTGATGATAATATTATTGGTGATGACCAAGATGATGCTATTGGCGTGGTGGATCATGATAATGAATCAGTGAATAACAAGGATGATAACAACGTCGAAGCTGCAGTGATGAGATTTGTCGGTGGTACGTTAGATAATAGAAAGTCCAATAAGAGAAAGAAGTCCTTCCCAACTAATGATGAGATCAATGAATTTCAACATTGGAACGCGTTTTTAGAGACTGATCAATTACAACAGAGTGATGATTTCGGACCTGAACCTACAAAAGATCAACAACAACAACAACCACAGCCTATTCAACCTAGTCCTGCTCAATCAAGATCAAGAAAGAGAAAGAAGGTTGATCAACATCAACATCAACAAGCTCCACCTAATTTGAATGTTGATCCAGAATTAGCTCAACTTGATGATACTACTGAACATGAACAATTGGTTCGTGCTGCAATTCTTGATGCTAATCAATTAGCTCAAGATGTCAATGTCAACATCCAAGATTATATTCAACATCCTAACGACGATCCTGAAAATAAATATACTCAATTGTCTCAACAAGCATTAGATACTAATATAATCCAAGCTGCTCAGGTAGCAGCAGCAGCTGCAGCTGCACAAGAACAACATCAATCACCTCAACCACATCATCAAACTCAACCACAACAGCAACAAAGTCAAGATCAAGCACAACCTCAAGGTCATGAATCAACTCAATTAGTATCTCATCAAGCTCAACAAGAACATAGAATTCAAGAACAAAATCAATCACAACAACATGATCATCATGATCAATCACAACAACAAGTTAATACTCAAAATAATGGATTATCACAACAAACCTCACAACATCAATCATCAATCCCATCAACACAACAACAAAACATTCAAAACATTCAAAACACTACACCACCTCCTTCAACTCATTCAAATTCAGAAGCTGCTGCTTTAGTTGCAGCTGCAGCTCAAAAGGCATCAAATTGGATTCAAACTCAACAACAAGGTAAAATGTTTTCAAAAGAAGAAATTGAAGCTATTGATAAATTTATTGTTGATTATTGTACAATTAATAATATGACAAGAAATGATATTTGTCAAAGAGTTTGGTCAAATGAACGTAAAAAAGATGATTTTTGGGAATCTTTACATAAAGTTTTACCATATAGAACTCGTGCATCAGTTTATAAACATGTTAGAAGATCTTATCATATTTTTGAAGTTCGTGGTAAATGGACTCCAGAAGAAGATAAAGTCTTAGGTAGATTAGCTCAAGAAAGAGATGGTCAATGGAAATTAATTGGTCAAGAAATGGGTAGAATGCCAGAAGATTGTAGAGATAGATGGAGAAATTATGTTAAATGTGGTAATAATAGAGCTCAAAATAAATGGTCAGAATCAGAGGAAAATAAATTGAAAACTGTTATTTCAGAAATTTTCACTGAACAAAATGATTCACCTGCTCCAATAATAAATTGGACTTTAGTTTCAGAAAAAATGGGAGGTACAAGATCAAGAATTCAATGTAGATATAAATGGAATAAAATTTTAAAAAGAGATGCTTTAGCAAGAGCTCAAACTATTGATATTAATGATAGAGTTTGGTTATTAACAAAATTACAAGAATTAAGATTTTTACCAGAAAGTGAAATTGATTGGGATGCATTAGCAACAATTCATCCAAAAAATATATGGACAGGTCATGATTTTAAAATTTGTTATGAAAAAATGAGATCATCAATTAGAGATTTCAAGAAAAAGACAGTTTTAGAAATTACAGTTATATTATTACAAGATTTAGTTCAAGATGCTAATAGAAATAATGTTGAATTAGAATTACCTGTTGGTTTACAACAATTAGCTGATCAACATCAACATCAACAACAACAACATAACCAATCTCAATCTTCACAATCACAACCATCACAAGAACAACCACTTCAAGCTAAACAAGAACAACATGAAACTCAACAGGTACCGAATGATCCAAATGATTTAACAGATCCAGAGAAATCAAATGAACCTGAAGATCCAACAACTAGAGATGAAACAACAAATCTTGCCAATGCAGCAGTTAATGCTGTCGCTGAACATGGTAATAATGAAACAAATGAAGATGAAGCTTTCAATATGTGGAGAACATCAAGTTGATATCAAAGACAAAACAATTAATTTATAGTGTATAGTAGAAGTAATATATTGATCAAGATTATATGAGAACTTGTAAATAGATTAGAGATTAATTGTCAAAGATTTCTACAAGTAAAGTACAAATTATTATTTTACAGAAGTTTTAAATTTAATCCTATACCATTAAATTTTAATTCAAAGTTCAAAATCCCAAGAAACGCATATATGATAAATTATATTTAATATTTTTTATTTTATTGATGTATTAATTTAACAAAAAACAAAATTTAAAATTTAGCAAATTTTTTGTTAGCTTTACCACCAGCAGTTTGAACTTTTAAAACGTTGAATCTAACAGTTTTTGATAATGGTCTACATTGACCAACAGTAACTAAATCACCTTCTTCAACACGGAAAGCTGGAGAAACGTGAGCAGCAACGTTTTTATGACGTTTTTCGTATCTGTTATATTTTGGAACATAATGTAAATAATCACGTCTAATGATAATAGTACGGTGCATTTTAGTTGAAACAACAGTACCAGTTAAAATTTTACCTCTGATTGAGACGGTACCAACGAATGGACATTTTTTGTCAATGTATGAACCTTCAATAGCGGCTTTTGGGGTTCTGAAACCTAAACCAACATCTTTAAACCATCTTTTGGTACGACGATTAGCCTTAGCTTTTGGGTTGGTGAAGATGTGTGGTTGCTAGAAAATTGTTAGTATATTGAAATTTTAGTACTTTCAAGAGAAGCAGAAAGTGTAATGTGTTTGATTATAGTGTATTTGGTTTCCTCTCTTCTTCATGTCTTTATACTTTGATGACTCTTCTTCCATCAATATGACTTCATCTTGTATCTTGATTGAAATATTAGATTTTTCACTTATAGTATGTAAAACTTTCTTTTGATATTAATTTGGATATATTGATACTTTGATTCATGAATAAAATGTACTTCTTAAATATTTATTATCTCTTATTATTGAATACCATGTTTCTAATTCTTTTATATTATAAATCATCTCATTTCATAGTTTGTTGAAATATATCATAACGTTCTTATTTGGAAACATATAATAACACAATAACACAATACTCTTTAAACTTTCTTCTCTCTTTCATCTTGGGATCAATAACATACTTTTTGGAAAGCACGTTCAGATTGAACAGTTAATTCAGTAGCCATCTTGTCTGTTGTTGATTACTTTAAAACAAGTTCAAGCTAGTATTGTAAGTATACAAATTCTTTTTGATGATTTTTTTCACACTGGGAAAGTTTGGTGAAAATTCGAGGAAGCCCTTGCTTATGTCAGTCGCGTATACAGCGCTTACGTAACGGTACTCTTATCGCGAATTTGGTTTTTGCGTGGGAAATCGGTAAATTTCGAGTCGCTTTCAAGCTGGGAAAAGGCTAAATTTACGCGCGAACCGATGGTAGAAGGCACAGTGGTGTGTGGGTTTACTAAAAGATGACTGTTCACTGATTAGGGCATCATAAACTACATCACATGATAAAATCATAAGGGCAAAGTTTTTATATCTATACATTTCTATATCTATACATCTCTATACAAATTCATTAATTTGATTCATGTAATAAAAAAGATAATTCATCACCTTTTTCTTCACCAACTAATTTTTTCAAATTATCAACACCTTCTAAAAATTCATGATCTTCATATTCAAAACCTGGAACAACAACTTCACTAATTAATAAATGATCATCTTTTGTTTCTCCAATTTGGGAATCTAATGGTAAAAGATAACTAGCTTTATAAACACCACCTGGAACAACCCATTGAGAAACTTCACCTTTTGAATGATTAAACCCAACAATGAATGATTTAACTTCACCATTTGGATAGATCAAGACATATTGACCTCTACCTTTTTGTAAAATATGAATTATTCTATTTTTATTTGTATGAAATCTACCATATGGAATTTCTGGAGTTAATAAATAATAAATTAAAGTTGAATAATTTCTATATTTGGCCTTGTCATCATTGGATTGAGGTTGGTTAACTGTGGACATGGTACTTGAATTCCCTTGATAATGTGGATTTTCTATATAAAATGGTGATCTATCAGTTTCTTTGAAAAAACCACCTTCTCTATGACCCACAAGTCCTAATTCTTTAATTATTTTTTCATTTGATTCTGATTTATTGAATTTTTCAGTGAAATAAGCTGGTTTTTTCACTGTAGCATTTTGAGTAGCATCAATAGTTGGTGATTCATACGAGATAGTCATGATGTATACAATCTTAAATCATCATGTTATATGTCAACTTTAGTTTATCAAAGCTGATATCAATCATCACTTTGAGACGGAATTCGCGATATTACGTTTGTTTGTAAGAGCTTATCTAAACATGCATAGAGAAAGATTTATATAGATGAGATCTAAATTAATGGAAACCCATTTGGAAATAAAGTCGATCTAAAGATCTATGGGTATGGTATATGAAATGAAGCTAGTTCAAACTGAAAGTTAGAGAGTTTATTGTATCAAAATTGTAAATCAACCATTGTTGGAATATAATACACTACAATTTGTTCTATTTATAACCATTATCATCATCAATTATCTATACACTAAAGTTAGATAACTATTCATCACATTTCACTGTTTATTTCTTTTCTTGTTCAATTTAACTATTTGATGGAGCATTAATCTTATTAACTTTAATACCCTTTTCACCCCATAAATTTAAACTTTCTAATAATTTACCTTCATCATGTAATTTCTTCATTTCATCTGAACCACCTCTTGAAACACCATTTATAAATAAATTTGGAACTGTTTTTCTTCCAGATTTACTTGCAATGAAATCTTGTAATTCACGACCATTTTTATGTTTATCTAATTCAACAATAGTTGGAGGTGGATTAATTTCATATTCAAATTTTAAAAGATTTTTCAAAGCTTGAGAAAATCCACAATAAGTTTTTGAAAAAATAACAACTGGAGATAATCCTATAATAGATTGGAATTCTTGTGCTGCATCAAATGTTGTTTTAATATTTGATTCATCTGTAATACCTTCTTGTTTTTGTTTTTGTTTTTGTTTAATTTCAACATTACTATCATCTTTACCATCATTTTGATTTAATTTATTATTTAATTTTTCTTCATTTGATTTGATTTTAGATTCATCTATAGCTCCAATTTGATTTGTTGTTGATTCTAAATTTGGTTTATTTGATGATGGATCAGTTTTATCTATAATTGAATCATTTAAACTTTTATTATTATGTGTTTGAATAAATATAAAGACAATTGTCAATAAAAAGGCACTAAGAGCCAAAATTCTACTCTTTCTTGATGAAACCATGATAAATGTGAGCCTCTTGTTTATATAAATCTATTTCAGATTCACTCAAAATTTTGATGTATTTCACAGTATTTTGATATTTTGATATTTTGATATTCTCCATTTTTTGAAATTTGTCAACTTCAATGATCACAGAAAAAAAAGTAAACAAAATATATTCGCGAATGTTTTCGTTACGGACAGAAACATCATAGACTTTTCAAATGAAATATATTAAATATTCGTTAATTGAGTAGTTTATTATGAGATAATTATGATTCCAACGGTTAATAGCTACATATAGTTTATTAATATCATGTTCATGCAATTTTTTGGAGATTTTTTCCCCATGAAAACCGAGTCATAATTCAATCTCTCCATCTAACTAAAACTTCATCAGTTCTAAATTTTTGTGTACAAACAGTATCTTTAAATTCAAATTTTTGACCCATTCTATATTCTAATAATCCAGCATGTGCAATCATAATACCATTATCAATACAAAATCTTTCATCTGTTGCATAAATAGATCCATTTCTATCTAAAACCATTAATTCCATCATTTTTTGTAATCGTTCATTACATCCAACACCACCAACAATTAAAACTTGTGTAGTATTAACATGAGCCATTGCTCTTTCTGTGATTTCAACAAGCATTGCAAATAATGTTTCTTGTAATGAAAAACATAAATCTTCAATTGTAAAATTTGGTTCTTTAGTTTCTTTATTAAAAACAAATTTATTTGAATAATTTTTATTAAATAAATCATTTGCTAATTGATCAATATATGCTAAGATACCACTCATACTTAAATCCATACCTTTCACGGTATAAGGTAATTCAATATATTTTGAACCTTTTTTAGCTAATTGTTCAATATTATAACCAGGACTTGGATCATTTGGAATTTTTAAAGTTCTTGCAAATCTATCTAAACAATTCCCAATTGCAATATCTAAAGTTTCACCAAAAATTCTATATCTTTGATTACTATAAGCAATAACTTGAGTATTACCACCACTAACATATAAAACAACAGGATTCCATGCACCAGTAATTTCTCTACCCATTTCAATATGACCAATACAATGATTTACACCAATTAAAGGTAAATTCCATAATTGACTTAAAGTTCTTGCAGCAATAACAACACTTTGTAAAGGAGCACCCATACCAGGACCCTTTGTAAAACAAATACAATCTAATTCTGAAGGTTTTATACCTGCATCTTTAATTGAATTTTTAATTAATCTAACAACCCAATTTCTATGATGACGTGCCGTGTCTCTTGGTAAAAAACCTTCACCTGGAGGTGTTATATATGTATCTCTTATATTTGATAAAACTTCAGCTCTATTATCTTGTGATAAATCACCTAATTTATGTCGTATTATACCAACACCTAATTTATTTGCTGATCCTTCAAGACCAATTGCAATATATGATTTTTGACCTGGTTTAACAAAATTATCTAATGAAACCATGATTGGAGGAATAAATATATGTTGATATTATTAGATCAAAAAAAGAAAGTTTTTTAAAATGATGTTAATCTTTAATACAAAACAATAGTTTATCAGATCTGATTATTGATTACAATTTCTATACATCATTGGTAAAAAAAAAAATTATGAATTTCGAGGGTGATAAAAACGTGACTTTTGTGACCGGAATATAAATATTTGACACAATTTAATAAGAATTAAAGGAAAAGTACCATTTTTGTAGTCAATATAAAGGTATAAATGAATATTATGAGTATTGCTGAGTCTCTGTTGAGTTTCTGTGAAATTTCCGAGCAAGAAGTGTTGATTTTGATGGTGTTTCTGGGGTTTCTATTGTTCTTTATGAGTACTTTGTAGTTACCGAACCTTGAGAATGAAGCACACATTGTCCATAAATAGTATCATTTCTAGTTCATGTTAGACCTATTGAAGTGATCTATATGAAAAGCATAGCCTTGGTATATAGTTATCAACGTTGTTTTTTTCTGAACATTGAAGTCATCTATTTGAATCAGTATTTGAAGATAAATCCAATCCATTCAAGACATTATTTAATTGATTAATAGCAGTTGTCGATGTTTCCTCTAAACTTAATAAAGCATCATTTAATACATCTCCAGATAACATATTGTAGTATGTATCATCATCACTAGTATTAGTATTAGAAGATGAACGTTGTGTTGTAGTTCTTGTATTTAATTGATTTGATTGAACAGCATGAGTATAATTTGGAGGTGGGATATAATTAGATACTGATTCTTGATAAGTGGGGAGTTCATCATTTTGTTTATTTGACATTTTGTGAGTGTGATTTGATCTTATGTATTACATAGATCAGTTTGTTAAATGATCTCTTTCAAATTAAATCTACTATAACACTAATTAGTTCAATTTTAGTTTATTTAATTACGGAGATGATAAAGATTCAAAAGCGCGAACAGAGACAGACAAAGTTTAGTGCATTGCGACCACTCGTGGAAAAGTGGTCATTGAGTATGAAGTGAAATTTTAAAACGTAGATGGATATTTAAAAACAACATGGTTAGCTTGTGCATATGTTATTTATTATAGGTACATCATCAAAGCGAACTTTTATACATCAAACTGGTATTCTATTCCCCCAAAACCACCTTTTATTCTTCCAAATCATCTTTTTTTTGAGTTGAACAGCAACAAGTTTTTTGACGGCAAATCCTCAACTTAAAAAATACAGGGCTGTTTAACCATCGGAGTACCTTCCTAAAACGGATATTGCTATACCAATTATAATGTAAATTACCAGTACTTTCACCCAAAGAAATAACTAAATTGAGCCATAAAAATATTTCACAACATTATAATAATTTATTACCCAACTTATTGAATCCAAATTTCAACTAATTTGTACTTTAAATTCAATCTTTAGTATTGGTGATGAATTACGAGGGTATAATAATCACGTGCAAAAGCCTTCAAATCCGACTAATAACAAATAAACATAAACATAAACATTATAAACGCGAAGATTTGATTTGATCTTTTAAGCTATTATTCACTTCATTGATAAAAATTAGGCTATAGATCGTTATGTCAGATCTACTGAGATATTTAAATTCCATTGATGAAACTTCAGATTCAATTAAATCATTAAATTTTACACCACCAGGTATATTTACAAATTCTTTAATAACAAAACCAAATATTGTATCATTATTAAGAGATGCAGATCAATATGAAAATTCTTTATATCAAGTTGATCCACAGGGAAAACCTGAAAGATTAGATGGTACTTTAGGGGTAGTTGATACTTTAAATGATGATTTTGATCATTTAGAAATTCAACAACAACAACAATTAAATAATGAATTAAATGATCAAGATAATAATCAAATTTCAAGAAAACAAGCAGTTATAATACCTCAAAGGCAAAATATAAATAAAGAGAAAAATGATGAAGATAAAGGTGTGAAGAATCTTTTGAAGAAATTTAATGAAACAAATCAAGTTGATTATGATGTTGATGTACTTTGTGAAACCATTAGACAATTATTAGAGAAATAGTGAGTATCGTTAACCAAAATTGTTGTTAAAACTTAATACTAACTTATATTTTCATAGTCCTAATGAACATATGACTAAAGAAATTGAAACATTTATGTATCAATGGGAAAATTTAAATTCTGAAATAATGAAACATGAAGATACATTAGAAAATCAAAGAAGACATTTATCAATGCTGAATGTATCTTTGAATGATAGATCAAGTTTAATAAATAAATCTTCTCAATTACCAAAGAAAAGATTAGCAATTGATTTAATTGCAGAAGAAGAAGAAATGATACGGGAATTAGAAAAAGAACTTTCAGAAAGACAAATTTGAACCGATTTTTCCCCTTTTTTTTGCTTTAAGTAATATATGATAATGATAATGATCTTTTTAAGCCAGACTTCTAGTAATATCTGCTCAAACTCCTTGTAAATAACCATGTTCTTACAAAATTTCAAGAAATTTCTGCCAATTTGATCGGTCCGCAATTAAGACAAATTCGCGTTTCTCCATCGAATTAAAAAGCTCGTCTTTGTATCGAATTTTAGATCACATGAATTTTGAATCAATCAATTTTAAACTCATTTGATCTCAAACAATAGAACTATAATTGTGTTTCTGGCTATAATCATTTGGTGAATAGTATCCCGTTATTTCAATTTGTTGGGATTTTGGTGCTTGTGCTTTATTTCAATTCCAAAAGTTTTTTTTTTCGTTAGTTTGTGTTTTGGTCAAAATTAAGCAATAGACATTAAGATTTTAGAAAATTTCCATAATATTGCTGATTTAGTTAAATTAAAGTGAATTTAAAACACATATAAGATTGGTATCAGTATAAGAAGGTAGAAGAGAGAGACTAGAGGTAACAACAAGAAGAAAGAAGGTGGCATCATGTCTTCAAGCAATACTTCATCAGGATCAAATGGAACTGATCTTTATTCTACAACAACAAGATTCTCACAAGCTGTAACTGCCACTGCTTCAGCTTTAATTCATCCACATGAAGGTTCTTCACATAATGATGCCTTATTATCCAATTCAAGTTATAAAAAAGCAATGAGAGAAGCTCTTAATAATAATAATACTTCATTTGCCTTATCAAGAAGGCGAAATAATCATGGTAAAAAAGTTGATCTTTATGGTAGTCGTTATGCAACATCAACTGAATATTTTAGAAATGCTTTTAGTTCTTCTAAAACTGCTTATAAAGTACTAACACATATACCTGATGATTTATTAGATGAAATACCTGATACAAAACCTCAAAAAGATGCTTATTCTTTATTTCAAGGTTTTAATGCTGCTTTACCTGAAATTAATGAAGAAATATCACAATTCCAAATTACAAATGGTGAAGGTACCAATAATGATGATTCAAGTAAAGAATTTTTGAAAAAATTAACTGAAAAAGCAGCTAAAGATCAAGAAAAAGAAGATGAAGATGATTATAATTTTAAATTACCAAATGGAATTAATAAAACCAAAATATCAAATTCATATTCAACAAATAAATTACAAAATTATAAAAATCAATTAATTGAAAATTTAGAATCTTTAGAAATTAGAAAAAATTTAGCTGCAAGTGAAATAATTGAATTAGATAATAAAATTTCAAAATTACAATCTTTAAGAAAAATTGTTTTTAAAAGAGTTGCTAAAATTGAACAAAATGAATTATTTTTAGAATCTCATACACAAGATATTGATGATAGAATTCAAATGATTAAAGATTATAATATGGAACAACCAGATGAAGATGAATTAGAAGAAGAACAAGTTACAAAAGAAGATAAGTCATCAACCTTTATAAATGGTCATACAAAAAAAAAATCAACTCCATCAAGTAGAAAAATATCTAAAAATGAAGAAAATGATATAAATAATGATCAAAATGATGAAATAGATGATGAATATGGTGAAATAAATGATGAAACTTTTAAAGAAGGTAAACCATTAATGTCACAAAGTATATATGGGAAATTACAAGAAAAACCACCAAAATTCAAAAAGAAAAATCATAAAAATCGTAAAACTATGCCAACATTACAACAATATTATGAACCAGGTACAAAAATTAAATCAATTCAAGCTCATGAAGAATCTATAAATTGTTTTGATTTTGATATTCCATTTGGTACAATGGTTTCTGCTTCATTAGATAATACAGTTAAAGTTTGGGATTTAAGTAAAGGGAAATCTTTAGGTTTATTAGAAGGTCATATTGCACCTGTTAGTTCAATTCAAATGGATGATTCTTTAGTTGTTACAGGTTCATTAGATGCTACATTAAAACTGTGGGATTTAGGGAAATTAAATCATGATTTTGAAACTATTCAAGAAGAAGGTGATGAAGATGATGGACCATGTATATATTCATTTGAATCACATATTGAAGAAATTACAGCTTTAAGTTTCCATAATTATACATTAGTTAGTGGTTCACAAGATAGAACTTTAAGACAATGGGATTTAACAACTGGTCATTGTTTACAAACAATTGATGTTTTATGGGCTTCACAAATTAATCAAACTACAAATGTTGAACAATCAGTTGTTGTTGATAGAGTTAACCCATTCATTGGATGTTTACAAACTTATGATGCAGCATTAGCCACAGGTACTTCAGATGGACTGGTTAGATTATGGGACTTAAGAAGTGGTGAAGTTGTTAGATCATTAGTTGGTCATACAGCACCAGTTACATGTTTACAATTTGATGATAAATATTTAGCTACGGGTAGTTTAGATCGTTCCATAAGAATTTGGGATTTAAGAACTGGTGGTATACATGATGCATTTGCTTATGAATCACCAATAACTTCATTACAATTTGATTCAAGAAGAATAGTATCATCAAATAATGAATCAAGTGTTAAGATTTATGATCGAATTGATGAAAAACATTCATCATGTGGTGGTGAAGATCCTGATAGTGCTACTGTGAACTATGTTCGTTATAAAGAAGGATATATGGTTGAAGGTAGAACTGATGGTAAAATCACTGCATGGGCAGTATAAAATGTCAATTTGATATCCAATAAACTCGAAAGGCACACAACACACAAATACCATACATACTATATATACTTACACTCTGCATATTCTAATGTACATATAACAAGAAATAATTGATGAAGAGTAGTTAGAAACCTGAGTGAAACCCACGTACTTCACTTGAAAGAATCAAAGCGATGAACATTAACCACCAACAATTAAAAACATTGAACAACGTACAATCTTGAAGTCGGTGTTAGATGTTAAATATTCATAAATCCTGCTGATCCGGGGCGCGACAGAATATTGCTTTACGCGTATAATCAAAGCATATGCTTATTAACTCATTAATATTTATATCTTTTCTGATTTATCAACATCATTTTAAAATGACATCGTCAAAAGATTTCTTTATAGACTTTAAAAAGCTAAATACCAATGAAAATTTAGCAGCAAAAGTGGGATCACTTATAGTGGATGGTACTATAAGCGAAAACAGTACCGTTGATGATTACAATAATGTTTCTCCATCTTTAGTTGAAGCTGTGGATATATTGAAACAATTCAAACAATTACATTTACAAGGACATGGTGATAATGTTTTGTCCAAAAATCATATTCTTAAGAATGCCATATCAAAAGATATGAAGTTGAAACATGTTATTGAGTGTACATCCCAGTCTTTGAAGTGTAAATTCTGCAATAGGGATGTTATTAGAATAAGATATTTTAAAGATGCTTTTGAATCATACTGGTTTGAAATAACAATTGTTAAGGCAGGCTCTACTGTTTGTGCAGGTCCAAAGAAACAATGTGATAAACCAAAGACACAAGCTAAAAAGGATAAAGTCAATGAAGGAAAAGAGTCTGATGATGATGAGGAGGATGAAGAGGATGAAGATTTTTACGATTCAAGTCATGAGGAATTTGCTAATGGTGTTGTACAGAAATTGGATTTAAACAGATTGAAACTTGAAAAGAAATTGCAAGAGAAGATTGTAAATCAAGTTAAAAGAGCTGTTAGATTATACATGGAAGAGCGTGATTTAGATGGTATAGATGGAGGTGTGGAAGGATCTTTCCATGCAGATGGTGATGATGATATTGTTGTGCTTGAAGAGGAAGATTTTAATGCTAGATTTAACAACAACAGTCATAATTAACCAGCTGTGAACCAAAGTTGTTTGATATATATTGAATTTAATAGCTTTTATCAATAGAAAGGTCTACATGATTGGCAATTTTAGTAGCCTATACTTCAAAATAAAACATATAAATCAACCAATTTTGGCACTAGTCAAATATACCAGCATGAATCATGAAAGAACTTGTATATAAATCCATTAAATGCATTAAATCTTTTGAATATAGCTTAATTAATTGAAATTTATATATAGTTATACTGATTACATAATCGATGATTACATCTTCGCGAAATCCGAACACCATTTTGATTTTTTTTTTCGACGCGATCTCAGAAATGTAAATTATTAAAAGCTGAATGATGGCGATATTAATTGATTCAATTTGGACAAGTTTGACACTCAATTGAACACTTTTTAGAAGCAAAAGAGATACGCATTACAATGAGTTTCGGAGGTCAAACACCAACTGTTGTTGTCTTGAAAGAAGGAACCGATACCTCCCAGGGGAAAGGTCAAATCATTTCTAATATTAATGCTTGTGTTGCCATTCAAGAAACTTTGAAACCAACTTTAGGTCCATTAGGTTCAGATATCTTATTAGTTAGTGGTAATGGGAAAACTACAATCTCAAATGATGGTGCTACTATCTTGAAATTATTAGATGTTGTTCATCCAGCTGCTCAAATCCTTGTTGATATTTCAAGATCTCAAGATGCTGAAGTTGGTGATGGTACAACTTCTGTTACTATATTAGCTGGTGAATTATTAAAAGAAAGTAAAAGTTTTATTGAAGAAGGTATTTCATCTCATGTTATTACAAAAGGTTATAGAAAAGCTGTTGGATTAGCTGTTAAAAAAATTAAAGAATTATCTGTTAAGATTGATAAATCAAAATCAAGTGAAACTGAATATCGTGAATTATTAGAAAGATGTGCAAGAACTGCAATGTCATCAAAATTAATTAATAATAACTCTCAATTCTTTGTTAAAATGGTTGTTGATGCTGTTTTATCATTAGATCAAGAAGATTTAAATGAAAGATTAATTGGTATTAAAAAAGTTCCAGGTGGTGGTATTGAAGATTCATTATTTATTGATGGTGTTGCTTTTAAAAAAACATTTTCATATGCAGGTTTTGAACAACAACCAAAAAAATTTAAAAATGCAAAAATTTTAAATTTAAATGTTGAATTAGAATTAAAAGCTGAAAAAGATAATGCAGAAGTTAGAGTTGAAAAAATTAATGATTATCAAGATATTGTTGATGCAGAATGGCAAATCATATTAAATAAATTAAAATTAATAGAAGAAACTGGTGCAAATATTGTTTTATCAAAATTACCAATTGGTGATTTAGCAACTCAATATTTTGCTGATAGAAATATTTTTTGTGCAGGTAGAGTTGCATCAGAAGATATGGATAGAGTTATTCAAGCTGTTGGTGGTTCTATACAGTCAACTCCAACTGATATTAAACAAGAACATTTAGGTTCATGTGAAGATTTTGAAGAAGTTCAAATAGGTTCAGAAAGATATAATTTATTTAAAGGTTGTCCAGAAGCTAAAACTTGTACTTTAATATTAAGAGGTGGTGCTGAACAAGTTATTGCTGAAGTTGAAAGATCTTTACATGATGCTATTATGATTGTTAAAAGAGCTGTACAAAATAATGAAGTTGTTGCTGGAGGTGGTGCTGTAGAGATGGAAATTTCAAAATATTTAAGAGAAATTTCTAAAAAAATTGCAGGTAAAGAACAATTAATTATAAGTGCATTTGCTAAAAGTTTAGAAGTCATTCCAAGACAATTATGTGAAAATGCAGGTTTTGATGGTACAGATTTATTAAATAAATTAAGAATGGCTCATGCAAAGGGTAAAACTTGGTATGGTATTAATTTTAATACTGAATCAATTGGTGATAATTTTGAAGAATTTATTTGGGAACCTGCTTTAGTTAAAATTAATGCATTATCAAGTGCTACTGAAGCTGCTAATTTAGTTCTTTCTGTTGATGAAACTATTAAAAATAAAGAAAGTGGTGGTCCAAATGCTGGTATGGCACCTCCACCAGGTAGAGGTATGGGTGTTCCACGTTAATAATAATAATAACTTTATTATTATAAAATTGTCATGTATAGTTCTTTTTTTCTTTTTTTTTTTGTGATTCTTTATAACGTGAATGAATTGAATAAAGTTATGAAATTAATCAGTTAAATCATTAGATTACTACCATAGAATACTTGTAATTATAAATATCGTTTCTAAATTCTCATCATGTATTTTTACTCAAATGGTAAATCGTTATATCCACTCTATTGCTTTGTGCTTCTCATGAAGTTTTAAACTAAGAAACATTTTACTTACTCTTCTCTATCAGAGAGGCAAGCTAATATTACATTAAGATATCAATAATGGGAAAGAAATCAAGAAAAAAGACAAAGACCACGTCTTCAATTCGAGAATTAAAAGAAGAATTACAGAAATTCAGTAACAATGTTGATAACTTGGAGGACCAAGTTGACCAGCTCATAGCTCGTAAAACAATAACGACCAATAATATCACAGCTCATGATATTGAGGAATCTGATGACGATGATTCTGCTCCAAAAGGGTCAAAATTAGTATTCATATGGTTGAACGTTGGTTGTACTGTTGGTTCTTTTATCTATTTATGGACCTCTTTCAATATTTTCTATTCCTTGACCTTTTTCGGTTGTTATGTTGCTTTAAACGAAACTGAAGAGAAATGGAAAGAATCGAACTTCATAAAATCCATGTTAAGCCGTCTAAATTCATTAATAAGTAATGAAAACTTGATATGTCTTGTCAATGGTTTGTTAGTACAGATTTTAATTTTCTTGTCAATTTTTAAATTGGCAATTGTGCAATAAGGGTGCAGCTTGAGGTTAAATTAAAGATCATGAAATCGTTTAATAATAATTATAGTTCTATATTAATTAATTTATACGTAGCTATCTACTTTCGATTTAGGTGAGTAGTCAAGTTATTGTTATATAGATCACTGCAGTGTATATTGTATAATTCATGGCCCCAATTTCAAATTATCAAAATCTACATATGAATGTAATAAATTAATTTTTGTAAATTTATGATTCATCAACGAATTATGCTTATATATATACGATGTTTACTTATAATAAATATCATTCCTCTTCACTACTACTTAAATCATCTTCATCTTTTGAATTTACCCCAGCAATATCTCTAAAACTTCTTGGACCTGAACCATTTGTTATACCAAAATTAAACGTAGGTTTTGAAATTGATTTTGATTGAGAATTACCTTCTTCAATTGTTATAAATCCATTATTATCTTCATCATCATCTTCATCACTTATTAATTCTTCTTCTAATTCATCAACTAATGAACCAAATTCATCATCATCTGAAGGTTCATCTTGTTGAATAGTTGGTGTTGGAACTGCAGATGGTGGTTTTTTAGATGATACTTGATTTGGTAATGGTTTGAATTGTGATTGAGGTTTTTGTAATGTTGAAGAAGGTTTTGATGATGGTTTTGATGATTGTTGTGTGGGTTTTTTAATTTCTGATTTTGATGTTGTTGGTTTAGAACGTGAAGCGATAGTTGATTTGGAATCATCATCTTTTTTAGTTGATTTCTTCTCTATTGGAGTTGGAGATGGTGATTTTGACTGGGTTTTATTTGATGCTGTTGTTGAAGTTTTCACGGTACTTGGTTTATTTATAGATTTCTCAGGTGATGAAATTTTTGGAGTTGATTCTTTACTTTCAACTCTTTTGGAAGTTAAAGAAGGTGATGATGATGGTTTTTTTGATTGAGATGATATTGATGAAACATTTGATAAGCTTGAAGCTTTTTTAGGTGAAGTTAATTTTGATAATGGAACTTCATCATCAGATACTCCACTTGTTGGTGTTTGACTTCTTTGAATTGGTTTAGATGATGTTGTAGTAGATGATGGTCTTGCTAATGGTGTTTTAGCACGAGGTTTTGGTTGGAAAACTGAAGGTTCTTTTGGTGGTCGTCTCCTCTGTACAGGTGGTTGTGTTGTTGGTTGATTAGATGTAGATACTGATTGTGCTGAATTGGAGGTGACATTTGTAGATTGTGAACTTGAAGAAGAAGGTGGTGGCGGTGGTGGAGCAGCATTTGATGATTTTGGATGTTCTGGAACAGGTGTTGAATGTTCATTATTCTTCTTTGGATGAAGTTTATTATTTCTTGAAGAATTTGTCTTTAGTTGATAATCCAATTGTTGTAATTCAAAGCTCTTAGTAACAGGGTTATAAACCAATATACATTCTAAATCTTTGGGTTGATTGGCTAAACCTTCAAAATCTATACCATATTCATGCTAATTGCAATATAAGTTAGTCTTTATTCCTAAATACTAGTTTTTGCTTCAAAATATTGCTAACATACCTCTGTAGATTGTGATTTAAGCTTGAATCCAACACCTTGCTTAGTGCCAGTTTCATTTCTTATAAGTTCCACTGGTTTGGTATCATCAACTGATTCTGGTCTAAATGCATCTGTTTATTGTTAGAATATGTCATAGTTCAATAAAAAACAAGGTGATTCATACATTTTATACTCAATATCTCATCATTACTTCTTGGTGGACTCTTGCCTCTGTTATTTTGATCTTGGGAGAATTGAGCTCTCAACAAGTCTGAAAGCTCTAGCTCGTACTCTCCGTCTGGAATTCCCAAGTCTGATGCCATATTTTGATCAAATAGTTACTTTCCAAACCAAACAAAGACTTATCGCTTACTGATTTGCAAAAGTGAAAGAGAATAAAATCAAAAGTTCATTGTTCTCTTTTTATAAAGGTGCTTTTCATGAGAAGAAAGCGACTTTGATTTAGAGCGATTACATAACACCTGACAAATCGCAATACACATTTTATAAATTTCTCATTTAATTATACAAAACAGACTCAAAGGATAGACTAAGTAGTTCATGATCTAAGTGCTCTAAGTCTCTCGGTGAGCTTGTCCTCTTTGTCCTCGCTGACCTTGTTCCCGGTCTTCACAGGCTCTTCTGGTTGTGCATTCTCTGGTAAATTATGTTTCATTTCTAATCCAGCTTCATCAGCAACTTTACTCATTAATAAATCAACTTCATCTTGTGGAGTGGTTAAAGCTGTAGCATTATTTGTAGCTCCTTCATAATACTCCGTGGTGGCATCCAAATCTTCAAATTGTTGTTCAAATTTCTCCATCACAAGGGAAATATGTTCAAGATTCATCGTCTGAAGTGCTTTATCCATCCCTTTTATAACATTGGTCATATTCCCTGTAACTTGTCTCATTGTAACTGCTGTTTGTACTCTTGAAGCCACTGCATCAATTCTAGAAGCTAATCTAAGAAGATTTAATCTTTCATTGGCCTTACGAATGGCATTTTGTGCATATAATCTTGCTATATCTTCATTTCCTTGTGTCATGGCCTTAATTATGTTAGCAAAAATTAAATCATACAATACTCTCACAGTCCACTACTCACCTTCTTCACTTTGTTCTTCTCTGATGTTTCTTCTTTACCTGCTTTACCTGCTTGTCTATTCAACTGTTTAGCAGTGAACTAATCATCCCATCTTGTTAGTCTTGTTACTTGACCTTGTAACAACTATAACTCACTTTTAGTTGGAATAATGATTCTGAACAAGATTGTTAGTTAAGAACTCTTTCAATTCGTAACAAGAGCCAACAAAACTCACTTTCTAATCCTGACATGTCTTCTAATCTCTTTTAATCTAAACCAATCTTTAATCTTTGTCTAATTCTTGATTATCTTGATCTTTTTCTTCTCGTAAAAGTTGTAATCTTCGCTTTAAAAGCTGCTTTTTTTATCAGCTCAAAATGAATTCGCGGTTTTCTTTGTGTGATGACATAAGCGAGGTATATAAACTCATATTGTTAATGGTTAATGTTCTCAATGAATTTGTTCAACCATTTCCTTTGAAAAGTCATGTTATCTACACAGAATAGCTTTTTATAACTCTTATATTTACATATAATCTATTTCTTTAATATACATCTATAATACAATAACAATTTACCTAATGATCTCAACTCAATTTGAAGCTAATTCTGAAAAATATTGACGTAAAATTAATGATAACATCTTTGGTAAATCTGTAATATCATGAACAACAACATAAAATTCAAATGGGAATGAATCCAAATATTTATCAACTTTTAAAACCATATTACCATTAGCATCTGGTACATATGATACTTGACTCATATCCATAATTGATTCATTTGAATTAATACCATCAATAATAACGAAAACTAACATAATTCTTTCCTCCCTGGCACGACGAACTAATCTTTGAACAGTATCATGATCTTCACAAACACCATCTGATATAATAATTTGTAATTGCCATAAATCACTATTACCTAATGATTTAGCATTATTAAAAATTTCAATTGATTCACCAACTAATTTTTTAATATCAGTTCTTGTTTGTTGGAAATCAAATTTTTGGAAAATTTTTGCTCCAGTATCTGGACTAAATTGTTTTTCAAATGGATGAACAACTTTTGTATTTTCACCAAATTTAACAATTGATAATCCACCAGATTCTAATTGTGTTAATGCTTTGGAAACTAATGCAATACTTTGGAATGCTAAATCAACAGATTTACTTTCTGACATGGATTTTGAATCATCAACTGCAATCATAATTTGATATTGACGTTTACTTGGTTTTGTACGTCTTAACCAAATCTTATCTTTACGGAATTCACTCGCAATATATGGAATGATTCTCTTCATATTTAATCTCTTACCTGTCTTGTAATCACCTTTCAATTTAGTACTTAATGTTGGTTCCAAGATTAAACGTAATTGTTCACATAAATTAGCTGATAATTCTTGTGTTTCTAAATCACTCTTTCTCCATAATTCACGAGCTTCTTCAATATCTCTATGATCTTCATCATCATCAATAACTTCTGGTTTTAATAATGAAAAATCTTCATCTGAATCAGAATCTAATTCATCCAAATTTTGATCCATATTAATATCATCCATATCATCCATATCATCCAAATTTTCAGTTTTTCTTTCACCAACAAATCCACCTTTAGTTTTACCATTAAATTCATCTGGTTTTTCATCATCTTGATTTTCAATTTCCTCGGCATCTTCATTAGCTTCTTCACCTTCAACCATATTTTCATCTTGATCTTCATTTTTAATTTCTTCATCTTGATCATCTTCATCATCATCAATGGCTTTATCTTCATCAATTGAAGAAATTTGATCTTTATTGGCAGCTCCTAAAGCTTGTGTAGTTTCTTCAGTGTTTTCACCATCAACATGTTCAAATTCATCAGGACGTTCATTTGCAGCTTGTTCAGCAGTTTCATCTTTTTCAGAAACTTCTCTAATATCTTGATGACGACGATGGAATTCTTTTAATGAATCACCCAATTGTTTTAATGATTCTTGAGCATTATCACGTGCTTCATCATTATTACCATCATTATCATTATCTTCTTGTTGTTGATTCATAGCTGATCCTGATGCACCAACATCTTCTTTTTCATCTTCAGCTTGTGCTTGTGCACCATCACCTTGATCACCTGATTTTTCTTCAGTTGCAGTTTCTTTATCAATATCTTCATTGTTGTTATCACCAGTTTCTCCACTATCAATACCTTCCATACGATCACCGTTTTCTTCTCCTTCAGCTGCTTCATCTTGTTGATCTTCTTCATTCTTAGCATCTTTCAATTCTTCTTCATCTTCAGATTTTTCACCAGCTTCAATAGCATCTTGTTCTTCATCATTTTGATCTTGATTTTCTTCTTCTTGATCATTTTCATCACCTGCTTGGTTAGCTTCTTCAGATTCTTGTTCTTCACCTTCTTCACCTTCTTGTTCTTCTTGATTTTCTTCAGCATCATTGACGTTTTCTTCTTCGCCATTTTCAGCTTCATCTTCATCCAAGTCCATTTTATCATCTAAACCATCATCCATACCTTCATCACCATCATCTTGTTTATCATCTTCTTCATCTTCTTCACCAGAATCAAGATTGATGTCATCTGGAAGATCTAATGCTTCACCTTCTGGAACGTTTTGTTCTAAATCTTCTTTTTCTTCATTCTTAACGTCATCTTCTTGTTCACCAACATCTTCTTCATCTTCAGCATCTTGATCATCTTCCTTCTTATCATCATCATTTTCTTGATCTTTAGATGATTTATCATCTTCTTTAGATTCTTTATCTTCAGGTTTCTCTTCAGGTTCATCTTCTTGAGCCTTCATATCATCAGCAGTTGAATTTTCAGGCATATTTTCAGATTCTTTTTCTTTTTTATCTTCTTGAACCTCTTCATCCCACATTTTATCATCAACTGCATTAGGATCAAGATCATCTAAATCATCAACTTCTTCATCTAATTCATCTTGTTCTTCATCTTTGTCTTGTTCTTCATCATCATCTTGATCTTGATCAGATGCATTTTCTAGATCACCAGCCATATCACCTTCAATATCAACAGCATCTTGGTTGTCATCTTCATCATCCTTATCATCTTTTTCATCTTTATTTGGTTCTTGTGCTTGTTCACTCAAATCTTCATCGTCTTCAACGTCATTTGAATTATTTTGTGCACCTTCACCATCACCAAGACCAGTACCATCATGTAAATTTTCATCTTGTTTTGTTTCTGATGGTGGTTCTGGAGAACAGAACCCATTTTTAGTCAAATTATGTAACAAGTTACTGAAAACATAAGTGGAACGACTGATATCAATATAACTATCTTTGGCTTTATTCAAAACAGCAACAACAAGTTCCAAGTAAAATTTCAAGAATGGAGCTGTGAAAGAGAATAATGATCTAATTTGAGATGATTGAGCTTGATCAAATTTTGCTGATGAAACAAGCTCAAGAGCTTTATGTAAAGATGAATGGACACTTTCATGATGTAAAGATTTCAACAAAGTATGTAATTGAGCTTCTGATTGAATAAACCATTTATCAGTATCAAAAGTGAGTTCTTCTGATGATAAACTTTGAATAACTTTTTGGAAAACAACAAGAACTTTGTTTGAGAAAGATCTTAAAGTTTTTTCAATTTCAGCGACTGTGGTATCCTGGTTTTCAGAATCTTCAATTTCGACATCATTCAAGCTATTCAACCAATTTATGACGGAATCAGAAACAAATCCAATGCTCTTATTTGAAGACTTCCAAGATTCTAAATCTGAAACAAAAGATTTCAAGATATTATCGAATTCAGCCAATTGTGAATCAACGATACTTGAGTATTTCAATTGAGAAATGATTTTCTCTTTAAATTCAGAAACTTTCTTAACAAAACTATCAAAAATTGATAAGTCAACTGATAATTGAAGCATCTTGGATGAAGTAGCAGCAAGATTCATAGATAAACTTAAAATTTCTGGTAACCATCTGCAAATCTTATTGAATTTAACCAAACCTAGAGCTGAAGTTGATTTACCCACATAAAGGTTTTCAGAATCAATCAATTTCTGGAATTCAGATTTATCTGATTCAAAATCATTCAATTTATGAGCAACTTTAGCAAGTAATTTTTTGTCATTGATGACAGCATAGACAAGGTTTTCGATTATAGCTAAACCATTTTCAGCAGCAGCAGCTGGGACATCTTCAGCCACAGAGCTAACAGATGCTCTCAAACGTGGAAGAATATCAACAATTCTGAAAAAGTACGCATCACTTCCTTCCAATTGAGTATTATCAAAAGCTTCCGCTCCTGAAAGAACTTGGTTTGCAGTGACTTGAAGTTTATGAATATCCTCTCTAATACGCGATTTCAACCCAATTCTTCTTAACTCTTTGATAGAATCACTCAATAATTTCATTTTTTGAGTTTTAAGAGCAGCAACTTCCTTCTTGTTTTCTTCAGAGTAAGTTTTTGGAGTATCATCACGTAATCTATCTGATTCTTTGACAATGTCTGAAGCAAATTCATATAACTCTGGGAATTCAGTATTTTTAACACGAGAGACATAAGTGTTCATATTCTTTTGAACAGTTTCAGTTTGCTTCAAATTTTGTGATCTTGTATCCCAACCATCGATTGTTTTATGATCATCTCCAATATCAGCATTCAACTCAAGTTTGGAGACCAATACTGAATCCTTGTTCACTGAAACTTTTTGACTATCTGGAAGACCTTGTTCAATGAGCGGTGTGACTTCTGTTGCTAAAAGTGTACGGTACTTACGAACCACCTTGTAAAGACTTTGGTGAGAACGACGAGCACTTTGCTTCAACGCATCAATGTTGACATCTTTCCAACTGGCAAGTAATATAACTTCTTCAACATCTTTTTCTAGTGTCTTTTTGACCCTATTGATATTTTCGTGGATGATTGGGGAAAATTGTTCATAGTATTTGATCAAATTCTTGAGCATATTCAATAACAGTTTATCAGAGGAGATTGAAGACAAATGAGTTTTAATGGCTTTCAATAAATTCAAACGTAGTTCATATTGACCATAGGAACTCTTACTAATGAATGAGTTCAAAATCAAAACCAACTGTCCAATATCAATTTGAACACCACTGTATGAAGGTAAAATCAAGTTTTCATATAAATTGAACCAGAAACCACCAATAGATCTTTGATTTGAGATCTCTTCATTCTTGAACAAAGATTTCCAACTTGACAATTCCATACGTCTCCATGAAACGATGAGTGATGTGAAGTCATCTTGATGTGCAGAAAGTGAAACTTTAACAGATGCATATTTTTCCCATTCGATGATGAATGTATAAATCTGTTCAATTTTTTGAATCAATCTTGCGATTGGTGTTTTCACAGGGAAGGCCAAATACTCTTGAGAAATTCTGAATAATGTTTGCAAAGTAGCATGTTCTGGCCACTGTTGTAACAAACCATGGACTGAATATTGAAGTTTTTCAACGACTTTAATGGATCTTCTAAGTTCTGGTGGACTGTAACCGAAGTAGAAATCTATGTCTTTACCGGCTTTCTCAATTGTTGCAGAATCAATAGATCTAAACAAATCACTAATGACTGAACCAAGAGATGTTGGATCAATAACACCGGTTTCAAATTCATCTGAAAGCGAAATTAATTTCTTAGCTATATCACCACCATTGACAATCAAGTCTTTCAAAGCATATGCTTTATCTTTTGTAAACACATCAATATAAGTCTTACAGATGTTAGCATATTCTTCATCTAAACGAGAACTATCAGAGCGAGATTTGCTATCTGTGTCTAGCTCAACGTATTCATCATAGTCAGGGAAAATCTTTTTGAAATCTTCATCTTCGTCTTCTTCACCTCTATATCTGAAAACACTACCTTCAATGGCATCTTTTTTCTCTTGACGAGTTCTTCTTAATGACCATCTATAATAAATAGTTTGAAAAACTTGTTCCAGGATTTGATGATTAATACCTTGTTCACTTGAAGAAGCAAGCTTCAAAGTAATGTGCATGACTTGTTCAGCTAATGTGTTGTCAACATCCATGTTCTTGCAGAAGTTTCTGACAGTAGCAAGACCTTTTTCAATTTCTTTATCATTTGTGATGTTTTGGAAGCTGATAAACCACAAAGGATCCATGTTATAAGTGACTTTAGTTTTCTTTTTAGCCTCTAGAATTAAGTCAAACCCTAATTTGATACCATAGATATATCCTTTGAAAATGTCATTAACATCTGAGAAATGGGAAAATTGATTTTCAAGTCTTTCAATGAAATTGGAAGAATTTTGTTGGAACATATTTAGCTCACCAGATAAAGTCTCCAATTCTGTCTCTTCCACAGTAGCCAAAAATTTGACTAATGAGTTATTGTCAAGGGTGGAGCTCATAAAAATCTTCCACTCTTCAAATAAATTATCAATAGGGACTTTAGAACGGTAAACTCTTGGTTTTGAAGGTTTACTTTCTTCATCAACTGTTGGTAAATGGTGCTCTATCACAATTTCATCATCACCGAAGTAAACGGATCTAATATTTTTAACACTATTTGACAATTGTGTAAACAGAGACTTCTTCTTCTCATAGTTTTCGTACAAAATGTGATCTTCTATTGCAGGATCATTGGCATTATCTGGAACATACAACTGAATTAACCCAATTGAGAATAACACCCAAGCTTTACCTAGCTTTTCTATGTTCACTGAGCCTGTAATTAGTTCAAGAGCAGGTTGGAAGAAATTTTTATTAATGGCGGTGAAGCCATTTGCAGAAATTCCAGCAACCTTTTCTGATAGTTGTGGCAGATCATTTTTATCGAAAGAATTACCATCCCATACTGATAAGCTGTCATCTGATGACACAATTCTAACAATCTTTTGATACCAATTCAAGATAATAGCAACTTGCTCCTTGTGTGTGTCTCTTGAAACTTCATCGGAGTATTTGATCAAATATTTCGTGAAGTTGACAGAATCATTCACTGTTTGGTTAACTTGATTACCAGAGAATGTTAAATAACTTTGAGAATTGATGAAAATATGATGCAAAAACTTATTGGTAAATAAGTGTGAGACAAATGACACATAACCGTTGTTGGTTTTAGCCCATAGCGTATTGAAAACAGGTGGATAAGAGTCAGTATTGGTATTTTTTAACAAGCAAGTAGTTGAAATGTTTGCTTGATGAGCAATCGCGATGATATCTTCATTCTTAACTGACCCACTTGATAGAACCATATTGAACAATAAGTAGAAACTTTCTTCAAAATTATGAGCTCTCTTCACCAAAAACTTGCTAGAAACTTCATGTAGATCTCTGATACCATTTTCCAATAATGTAAAAGCATTAGAAATATCAGAGCCATCGTTAGCCAAAATCACATTTTTGATGTTCAAAATAGCAGACTTCAACGTTAATATATGATTATCTGACTCTGAGAATTGTTCATGAGAAACAGCATCAAACTTCTCTGCAAGACTTGAGAGAACATCATTATCTGCCCATGCTTGTTCAGATTGTGGGTATACACCTCTGAAGCTTTCCCAGATTGCAGACATGTATTCACCTTTGTCTGATTTCAAAGCATTTCCATATACTTTCATGATATTTTTTAATATATCAATACCCTCAAATTCTGTAGCACCTTCAATCCATTCATTAATGATTTTTTGATAAACTCTAAGTTTAGCTTCATTCTTAACATCAGAGATATCCCAAACTGATTTCCAAATTCTTGTAAGATCTAAAAGTGCTTCAAAGCATGACGATTGGCTTAGTAATGAAAGTGTATCTTTGTTTTTGAAACTACCCAAGATAAATTCATAAATTTCCTTCAAGAAATTGAAAACATTGACTTTTGGTGGATTTTTCATGTTTCTACCACTTGACAATGCTGCACCTTGCTCTAAGAATGAAAGCTCATTAAGTTTACCATTTGCACCTCTAACCTCGGCAGATTGTAAAGCTTTTTCAATTTGTGACAAATCAGAAGCAACTTGAATTAAAGATATAGCTTCATTTAGGGGGATCAATGAGTTGGACTGAATTCTTTTGATGGCATAATAATTCCAACCAGGATTCAATGACTGATTAATGGAGAAGTTTGATTTTTGACCCAACAAAGAGTCAACAACATTTTCACAATCTTCAAACTTTCCAATGATGGATTTAGTTAGGCCTAATTGTGTAACATAATCAACAAATGAAGATATTTCAGATAAAGCATCAATAACTTCCTTAGTGACCTCGGTAGAAGAATAAATTGTGTTCGTGAATCTTTCAATACTCAACTGATTCAAGAATGGTAAAATACCTGCTAAATGATTGAGCATAAATTCTTTGCCTGATGTCATAATGGCATCAATGACCAAGGATAAAGATCTTGAAAATGAATCAGTGGATTCGATGAATTTTTGAATTGGAGCAATAGGTTCATTTTCATTAAGAGATAATTCATTTAAATCAAGCTCTTCTTTCTTTGATTTCTTGGCCTTGAATCCTAAAACATTTCTATCGAATGTAGTTGCCCTATGATCTAACTTATCAAGATAAATTTCAACACCTCTATTTCTCATAGCTCTTGACAATTCACCAAACTTTGGATCCACAGTTAGGAATAACCTGAAATTTGGATGTGGTTTCAACACTCTGGCTTGACCATCTGCCATACTGCACTCATTCATTATTAAAGAACCATTGATTTCCAAAAGCGAATTCAAACGATCTAACACTGAAGGGCTACATAAATTAGCATTGTCTAAAATCAACCAATCACCCCTTTCAACAGCTTTTACCAAAAGCCCATCAAACCATTCAAATTTAACGCTTGAACTTTGTTTTAAAAGTTCTTTCAAGTTGATTAACTCTTTCTCAACTTCGTTAATTTGATCATTATCTCTGACTAACTCTGTAAATCTACCAAAGTGTTCAACCAAGAGTGAAAAGTTTTCAATGGTGATATGAACAGTCTTCAAAAATTTAACGAATTCTAAAGATGCAATTGTAGTGTTCAATAATTCTGAAGAGTTTTTGAGCTGGTCGGCAATACCAACATTTAATATTCTTAAAAATTTTTCAACAATAGCTGTAACTCTTTTGGTAAGATCAACTTGTTCATAACCACCAAGGATATCCATACTATCAATATCACTATTCATTGAAAATTCAACAACCTTAGCACTCGAGATGGTGGCCAAATATCTAACCAACTCAGTTTTACCTGATGAAGAAGATCCAACAAAGATCAATGGCCAGTTGTTTTGGATTGCTAATAATGAAGATTCAACAAATTCAGTATTTGATTGTAAATGATTTAGTCTTGTGTGAGAAGTTTCTTGAACTGATGAACCTCTTGACATCAATGCCTTACCAGCTTGAAAGTAGCTTTCAGTTATTGTGAAATAATTATCAGTACATGGTTCTTCTTCAAATGTCTCATGAACGAGTTTAGATGCCTTTTCCCTGTCAGAAACTGTACGGAATCTTTGTGTGACAATAATGTTCAAGAAATCAATTGGAGAAAGACCACTTGAAAGGTATTCAGCGTTATATAGCTCAAGCCATCTAAGAGTATCACGTAAATTGAACTCCCATGGACTTCCACTAGCACCCCAGGATTTTGTAACACAAACTTCATGATCAAGTCTAGACATTAATCCAATCATCTTTGAGCAAGTATCAGCATTGATATTTGGGTATAAATGGTGTGCAATCAATACCAAATCTTCTGAAGTCAAGGTATCAACATAAACAACAGTGAAACGATTGACAAATGATTTTGGTAAACCTTTTCTTCCACCACCTTGGTATTGGGGATTTTGAGCAGCAAATACAACAAAGTTTGGATGACGTGAGAATGAACGATCAAGTTCAGGGATATAAGCTTCACCACGATGATCTAAACAAGCATTAAGACCTTCTAAAACAGATTGTGAAGCAAGATTCATTTCATCTAACAAGACCCATTCACCTCTTTGCATTGCTCTTAAGAAAGGAGCATCACGCCAAACAAATTCACCAGTTTTACCACCTTCTGCTGGTGCATCAGAACCAAATAAATCAACTAAATCAGTTTGTTCTGACAAATTGATACGTGTCAATTGATTGCCAGTAGCCTTGGCCAATGCTGAAACCAAACTAGTTTTACCAACACCTGGACTACCTTCCAAAAGGATTGGTTTTTTAACTTGCATGGCTCTAACAACACGCATTGTATTAGCAGCAGTAGTTGGAGCTTCAAAACTGAAAAATTCATCTTTAGAGTTTGTAGAATCTCTGGCAATTTCAAATCCACCAGCATTCAAAGTTGAAGGGTTTAAAGAAATGTCAACTTTTTGGCGATAATATTGAGTTAAATCGTCACCAGCTATTTCACAAAGTTCTTTGACACAATCCAATTTCATTTGTAACAATTTTTCTTCAGATTCAGCCAAATAAGCAGTGTTATTGGTACCTAATGCATCAATGAAAACTAATGAAGCACCATTCAACAGACATGAGTTGATAGGAATTCCAGTATTTTGGGTGCTATTGATAAATTCAACCCAAGCAAGAATATCACGTAACGAAATAACACCACTTGTTATGTTCCCGCCACCAAGCTTCATTCCGAAACGTTCAGAAAATTTGACAATACCATCAGCTAAATATTTGACATTTTCATCAAGTTTTTCTTCCACAATAGTTTTAACATCACCAAAATCTTCCATTGATGGTACCCAAATTTCAGTGAAACGATTTCTTAATGCTGGAGATAATTCTTTTTTACCATAATCACCACCCGGGTTCATAGTAGCAAGAAATTGGAATCCATCTTTAGCTGTGATGGAACTATCTTCAGTACCCTTTTCAGCTAATAATAAAGTTCTTTCAGGTTCTAAAACACTATTCAATCTTTCTAAAACAGAATCATCAGCTAATGAAATTTCATCTAATAAGAAATAACTTCCACTATTTAAAGCTTGGATCAATGGACCATCAGACCATTCGAAAAGGACATTAAGATTACTTCTATCATGCTGGATATCTTTCCTTATATCTTCATTCAATTCAGTTAGATCTTGATTATCATAAAATTGAAGTAATTCTCTCAAATCATCACCTCCTGGGGTAACACCAATTGATTGTAAAGCTTCAATGACTTTCTTGGTCAAATTTTCTTGAAGTTCTGATTTATTACGTACTGGTCTTTGAGCACCAAGTAAATCACCAGTTTCAGTATTTTGATGAGCATTCACAGTTATAAGTTTCTTATTGTTGAATTGTGCTAATAATTGACAAACTGTTGTTTTACCACAACCAGTTTCACCAACTAATAAAATTGGTTCATTATTTTGTAACGCGGTTGAAATCAAGACAGATAAACGACGAATTGCCTTTGTCCAAACAACTTGAGATGGGGTATTCATTAAATCTTGATTTTCAAGTGAATTATAATAGGCATTCATATCTAATTTAACTCTCATAACTTTTTCCAAAACTTCTTGAACAACTTTCTTTTCTTCAGGTTTTCTAACTCTTTCAGCAAGTAACATATAACCATTTGCAGCTAATTGTTCATATCCAACAGCTTCTCTTAAAGCCCATCTAAACAAATCACGTAATGTAGCAAAACTATTCTTTTGTTCAAATAAACGTGAAGATTGACGTTGAACAGATAATTGACGATAAACTTCCACAATTTTTTTAGCATAAGATGGAGCAATTTGGCATCTATCACGTAAAATAACTTCTAATTCATCTTGTGGAATATCATCAAAATGTAATTCTAAAAATCTATTACGGAAAGCTCTTGATAAAACTTTACGACCACCATATAAACCTGGAGGATTTTGTGTAGCGAAAAGCATAAAATCTGGATGTGGTCTAACAACTTCTTGAGTTTCAGGTATAAATAATTCTCTATTATCATCAAGTAAACGATTTAAAGCTTCTAAAACATCAGTTGGTGCAAGATTCAATTCATCAAGAACTAACCAATGACCATTTCTTAAAGCTTCCACTAAAACACCTTCTTTAAAAGATAATCTACCAGTATCATCTGAAATATATGTACCTAAATATTCTTGAAGATCTGTATGTTCATGATTATTAATACGAACAAATTTATGACCTGTTATATCAGCTAAGTATTTAATCATACTTGTTTTACCACTTGAAGTTGGACCTTGAACTAAAATTGGGAATTTTCTACCTGAAGTAGCCCTAACTAAATTCATCATATTTTTTTCCACAAATGGAGTTATGATATAATGAGGTTGATCAATAATTTCTGAAGGACCTTGACGCATCCAATAATGTCTAAATTGAACAAATGAACCAGATTCAGAAGATGGAGCAGGTGGAATTTGACTAATAACAGATTTAGCATTTTTCAATCTATGAATAGTATATTTTTCAATTAAAGGTTTTAAAATTTCTTCAGATTTTAAATCTAATAAAGTTAAAAATGACATACAAAACCCTTCATATAAAGAACGACGTAATCCATAAATTGAAACAATATCAACAACATATAATAAAGTTCTTGTTAAAGTACGAATACTAAAATGAGGTTTTTGATTAGCACCATCAACAATTTGATTTGAATCTGCCAATTTTTTAGCTTCAAGATATAATTGTGCAACATCATTACCAATCCATTCATCATTAAGAGCAAAACGTGATAAATATTTATCAATAATTGATAATAAATCAGAAATATCACCATCTGGAGAATGAACATAAACTTCAGTAAATCTTGATCTAATACTTAAAGGTAAATCACGTTTACCAACATCAGTAGCAGGATTCATACATGCAAAGATTCTAAAATCTTTATGAGCTTGAATTGATTCAACTTCACCCTTTTCTGATAATAAAATACTTCTTCGACCTGAAGTATCAGATAATAAATCAGATATACTTTCTAATGTATCTGGTGATGCTAAATTAATTTCATCTAATAATAACCAATCACCATTTCTAACAGCTTTAACTAATGAACCTTCCACAAAATTGAAAACAAATGAATTTTCTAATGATGATGATTGAACTTCAAAATTTTTAACATTTTGAGTAAATTCATTCCATTTTTCAATTAATAATTTTTTATCATGAGTATTAAGTCTTCTTTTCTTTTTTGGAGCTTCATCATTGAAATCTTCATCTGGGGTATTCAAAACTTTTTCAGATAATTTTATAGCTTCTTGCCATAAACGAATAACATTTTTCCATTGATTTTTATTAAAACATTTAGTTAACATTTTATGAAATTTTTCATTCTTCTTCATTGAAAATGTTAAATGGAATAAATTTTCAAATTCTTCTTGAATTGGTACAGCAACTGATTTAGTATTTACAGGTTTATAACCACCTAATAAATCACCAGCCTCGGTTTGTTGAGAGACATTAATGACAGTTAATTCTTTATTTAATTGTTTTGCAACTTGTTGAACCACTGTAGTTTTACCAGTACCAGTTTCACCAACTAACAAGACAGGTTCAGTCATTTGAACAGAAACACCAATTTGTTCCATTAATTTTAAAGAATGATTTGTTCTTGCAAATGATGTATTATTACCCGTGTTTTTCTTTTTATATAAAGAACTTGGAGCTTTTGATAAATGAGCTCTACCAATAATTAATTTTTCAGGAAAATCTTCATATAATGGAACATGTTTAGAAATAAATAAATTAATTCTTGAAGATGAAATTTGTAAAGCTTCACCAATGGTATTAATCAAGACTTCTAAAGCTGAATATTCACTAATTGCACCAGCAAAACAATCAACAGCTTCTGCAAAGATATTATCTAGGACTGAAGATTCTAATAATTGAGATGAAGAATTAACACCATGATTTTGGAATAAAACATCAACTCTTTGACAAAATTTCATTAAATCTCTTAATGAAATGATTCTTGGTTGTGAACCTCTATTTAAAGATAAAAATTGTTTCCCATTATAAGCTAATTGAATTGATTCATATAGTTTAATAAAATTTGGAATTAATTTAGATAAAATTGGGAATTTTGAAGTTAAAATTTGTAATAATTCATCATCAGATTGATCATTTAATTGTAAAACATTCCAAAGTCTAAGACCAATAATTTCTGGTATGGTGGATGATTTATTATGTTTATAATTATTTGTAGTTCTTATTGTTGAAATTAATTGGAATCCATTAGCAGCTTTAATAACTTCACCTCTTGAAGGAATTGTTAATTCTCTTTTCTCCAATAAACTTAACAAGATTGATAAAACTTCAGTTGGAGCTTTATCTATATCTTCAATTAAAACCCAACGACCTTCTTTAACAGCAGTTGTTAAAACCCCTGATCTCCATTCAAAAGTACCAGGTTTTTGACCCGAAGTATAAGTACCTAATAATAATTTTGCATCAGTTTGTTCACCAAGATGAATTTTAACTATTGTTTTATCACAAGATAAATATTTACTTAATTCATTTATAAGGAAAGTCTTACCAGAACCTGCATTACCAACAAGCATTACAGGAGATGAACTTTGAACGTTTAATGCTAATTTACGTAAAGTATCAATTGATCTTTCTGTTGGGACTAATGAAGATTGAGTTTTTGTAGTGATATCTAAATGGATTTTTGAGACTAAGACACCACAAACTGAAACAACTAATGAACTTATAGAAGTATTTTCAATATTAATAAAGATATCTGAGTTTGAAGGTTCACTGTTTGATGATGATGATTGGGATTGAATATTATGATGATTTGCTAATCTTTGAGCTTCAAGAACTGATAAGAATTGATAATCAATATTTTTATCCGATTCATAAGAACCAATGATTGGTTTTGTAATATGATTATTTAACAGATCATTTTTAGCCTTTTCAGTTAAATTTAAATATTTTGATAAGATTTGAATGATTAAAAATTTAACAACTTCATCTTCAGTAAACTTCAAGATATTTGTTAAAGTATGAGGACTAATAAACCTTATAAATCTTTGTTGATCATGATATAATAATCTATGGAATGCTAAAAGGATTTGTTGTAATTCTAAATTTGAAATTTTGGATTGATTGGTTTCTAAATTTTGGAAAATATTTAAATTTTCAAGATAATATTCCACTAATGAAGTGATATTTGGAGATAATGAAATGATTTTAGCTAATGAACTAAGGATCACAGTCCCATTGATGATATTACTTTGTTTATTTAATTGATTATATTCAATTTCAATAGATTCATCAGAAATCCATCTTGATACTAAATCTAAAAAGATTTGATCAAATGAATATAAATATGCAGATGTAATGGTTGGTTCTAATGAAACCAATGCTAATTGTCTTAAATTTTCATTTATTGTTTTAGTAGTATCAAATTGAAACAATTGTTGAGGTAATTGTTTTCTATTATAAAATTTCTTGAATTGATCATAACGATCTTGTGCTTCACTATAATTGAAGATTATAGTATCACTCATTTCAAAAGGAGCAGCAGCAGCAGCAGCAAAAGCAATAGTACCAGCACAGTTATTCTAGATAATGGTATATTCTTCCTCACAGGAATACCTAATAATATAACCAAAAATAAAAAAATAAACGGCTTAACTTTGAAATTTCAATTAAAAGTTTTAAATTTATTAAATTTGTTTTGATTTCGCTATTTAAAAATTTTTATGTGCCTAAAAAATTTATGAGATGAGCCGGAATTCGAGAGGGTGGTCATGTGATATGGAGGAGGGTGTTTTAGTGGATAACATGGTGTTTAATAGCCATTAATAGACTATTGATGGTATAGGAGGATAGTTTATGGGTTATTATATATATATATCAAGTTTTTATCCAATTTAAAATAAATTTATAGCTGTTTTTATGAGTTTATAGTGGTTTCCTATTCCGACTATTGAAGCTGTGATTAGGTAATATATGACTAATATCTAATATAATTTGAGAATATCTCAATAAATTTGTATTGTATCATAGTAATTTTAAATTATTATTATACTATTTATGGTCCAAATATTACTATAAATGTTTTAAGTTTCCATTTTTCCATGTTTTAATTTTGAATTTTAATATTTCACTAATAAAATGTATTTGATGATTATTATTTCTACTTTAAAATTAAACAATTACCAAACTTCCAAATTTCAAAACCATAATTCCACTAAAACAACCACATAACACAATTCCACCTCAAATAATTCAATAAACATATTTTCAGCCATCCTTTCTTAACAAAATTTATCAATATTTCACAATTTTATTAATTCCTCCGCTTCTCCGGAATTCAGCCCTATCAGCACGTGACTTTTTACCACCTCGGAATTCCCTTTTTTTATCAATTGTTAATCAAAAAAAAAAAAATTTATAATTAAATTTTAAAAAAGAAAAACGTACACCTTTAAAAGAAAACACTAACAAACCAGAACAAAGAGTATTAAAAGGACGTATTAGTTATGCCTCCTAAATTCAATCCTCAGAACTCAGGTTCTTTCATCCCAGGTGGTGCTGCGTTCGACCCAAACCAACAGTTCAACAACCAATTTGGTGGGTATCAAGCCTATGGTCAATATCAAGGTGGTTATCAAAATCAAAGAGGTGGTTATCAAAATGGTGGTTATGGTATGCAAAGAAAAGCTATGAGTTACGATCAATACGTTAACCAAGCTCCTGCTGGTCTAAATAGAGCTCCTCGTCAAAATCCTCGTCAACAACAACAATTTCAACCTCAACAACAAGATAGTAATCCAAGTTCTTATGCATCAACTCCTGCTGGATCAAATTTGAATTCTCCTTCACAATCAACAACTTCATTATCTTCATTAAATCAAACTTTAGATAAATTAGACTTAAGTCCAATCTCATCAAGTTTAAATAATTTAAAAGAATCCAAAACAATTTCTGATGTTAAAGTTCAAATCAATAGTATAGTGGATTTAATTAATGAAAATGGTATTGAATCAATTGAATCTTGGAAAATTGATGAAATTTTATCAAAATTAATTAAACCTAAAAATCCTGCTTTAATTAGAGAAGGTGGTTATTTATTAATTTCTTCAATTGTTAGAAAATTTGCTGGTCAAACTCCAAATGAATCTCATTTCTTACCTTTATTATCTATTGCATTAGATGGGCTAGCTGATAAGGAAAATAACGTCAAAAGAGCTTCCCAAGCTGCTATTGATTCTATTTATGGTTCTTATCCAGTTGAAGCTTTATCTTCAGTTGTCTTGGTGGAAATTTTAAAATATTTAACAAGTTCTGCTAAATGGCAATCCAAAATCGGTGCTTTGAAAATTGTTGATAAAATTGTTGAAGATTCTCCAAGTGATTTAATTGAACTAAAATTTAAAGAAGCTGTTCCAGTATTAACTGATATGTCTGTTGATTTTAAACCTGAATTAGCTAAAATTGGTTTAAAAACTACAAATAATTTTGTTAAAGTTTTAGATAATTTAGATTTACAACCTCGTTTTGATATGATTATTTCCACTTTAGCTGATCCAAATAAAGTTCCTGATTGTATTAAATCATTATCTTCAGTTACATTTGTTGCTGAAGTTACAGAACCTGCATTATCTTTATTAGTTCCAATCTTGGTTAGATCATTAAATTTAACTTCTTCATCTCAGGAACAATTACGTCAAACTGTTATTGTTGTGGAAAATTTAACAAGATTAGTTAATAATAAATTTGAAATTGAAAGTTTTATCCCATTATTAATGCCTGGTGTTCAAAAAGTTGTTGATACTGCTGCATTACCAGAAGTTAGAGAATTAGCTGAAAAAGCTTTAAAAGTTTTGAAAGATGATTCTATTGATGATGGTAAATTTAGTGGTAGATTACATTTTGATGAAGGTAAAAAATATTTAACAAGAGATTTAATTCCAAAAATTGATGATATTTCGTATAATTATCTTGTTTCTTTAATTGTTGCAGATGCTAATGTTAATGATTGGAAAAGATTAGAAGAATATTTAAATTTATCATTACCACAATTTATTTCAAATGAATCCGAAGTTCAAGCTTTATCAACAAAATTAGTTACTGATTTAAGAACTTTATTCACACCAGATGCTGTAATTTCAAATGAAGATGATGGTATTGAAATTGTTAATTCAGATTTCTCATTAGCTTATGGTGGTCGTATGTTATTAAACAAGACCAATTTAAGATTATTAAAAGGTCATAGATATGGTTTATGTGGTCGTAATGGTGCTGGTAAATCTACTTTAATGAGAGCTATTGCAAATGGTCAATTAGAAGGTTTCCCTGATAAATCTGAATTAAGAACTTGTTTTGTTGAACATAAATTACAAGGTTCAGAAGCTGATATGGATTTAGTTGCATTTATTGCTTCAGATCCAGAATTAGAAGCTGTTTCAAGAGATGAAATTTCAAAAGCTTTAGAAGAAGTTGGTTTTGATCAAGAAAGAAGAGAACAACATGTTGGTTCATTATCAGGTGGTTGGAAAATGAAATTAGAATTAGCAAGAGCAATGTTGATGAAAGCTGATGTCTTATTATTAGACGAACCTACAAATCATTTGGATGTTGGTAATGTTAAATGGTTACAAGATTATCTTGTTGAACATGATGAAATTACTTCATTAATTGTTTCACATGATTCAGGTTTCTTGGATACTGTTTGTACTGATATTATTCATTATGAAAATAAAAAATTAGCTTATTATAAAGGTAATTTATCAGAATTTGTTAAAGTTAAACCTGAAGGTAAATCATATTATACTTTAACTGATTCAAATGTTAAAATGGCTTTCCCACCACCAGGTATTTTAACTGGTGTTAAATCAAATACAAGAGCTGTGGCAAGAATGGCTGATGTTACATTTGCTTATCCAGGTGCAGCTAAACCTTCATTAAGTGATGTTTCATGTTCATTATCTTTAAGTTCAAGAGTAGCAATTTTAGGTCCAAATGGTGCAGGTAAATCAACTTTAATTAAATTATTAACTGGTGAATTAATTCCAAATGAAGGTAAAGTGGAAAAACATCCAAATTTACGTATTGGTTATATTGCTCAACATGCTTTACAACATGTTGAACAACATAAAGAAAAAACTGCAAATCAATATTTACAATGGAGATATAGATTTGGTGATGATCGTGAAGTTTTATTAAAAGAATCAAGAAAAGTTTCTGATGAAGAAAAAGCTTTAATGGAAAAAGAAATTGATATTCAAGATGGTAGAGGTCCAAGACAATTAGAAGCAATTGTTGGTAGACAAAAATTAAAAAAATCTTTCCAATATGAAGTTAAATGGAAATTTTGGTTACCAAAATATAATAGTTGGGTACCAAAAGAATTATTAATTGAACATGGTTTTGATAAATTAGTTCAAAAATTTGATGATCATGAAGCTTCAAGAGAAGGTTTAGGATATAGACAATTGATCCCATCAGTTATTCGTGAACATTTTGAAGGTGTTGGATTAGATGGTGATATTGCAGATCATACTCCAATGGGATCATTATCAGGTGGTCAATTAGTTAAAGTTGTTATTGCAGGTGCTATGTGGAATAATCCTCATTTATTAGTTTTAGATGAACCTACCAATTATCTTGATAGAGATTCTTTAGGTGGGTTAGCTGTTGCAATTAGAGATTGGTCAGGTGGTGTTGTTATGATTTCACATAATAATGAATTTGTTGGTGCTTTATGTCCAGAACAATGGATTGTGGAAAATGGTACAATGGTTCGTAAAGGTTTTAATGCAATTGATGGATCAAGTTTTGAAGATAATGGTGGTGCAGGTGCTTCATCAAAAGAAGGTTCACCAGCTCCTACAAAGAAAGCAGGTGATGATGATTCACCAGCTAATATTAAAGTTCGTATTAGAAAGAAGAAGATGACTAGAAATGATAAGAAATTAAGAGATGAACGTCGTCGTTTAAGACATATTGAATGGTTAAGTAGTCCAAAAGGTACACCAAAACCAGTTGATACAGATGATGAGGAATAGAGAAGTTCACTTAGGGAGGATTGAGTAAAATAAAAATGGAGTTAATTCAACACAGATTATAGAGATTTTTTTAACTTAATATATACAAACTGCTTTAATACTAGTTTATGAGTTTTGTAGATTATTACTATTATTTCACCATGGGAAACTTTCCACCATTAAGTTCGAACTTTGTTTTGATTGTTTTGATTGTTAATCGTGGTGCATATGGATCACCTTATTATTAGATAGATTCAAATGAACGCTTTCTATTTCGGCGCGTTGATCCTGTAGAGTCTCAATTATTAATGAGATAGCTTATTATTTAAGTGATCAAATATTTACAAGTAGTATAACTCATAAAAACAACATGTATGATATAAATTCCATATAAACTACAAAATAAAAAACACTAAGCATAGAAAATACCTGAGGCTAGGCATTTTGTTCATCTCAAATATCATCAAGAATTCAAGATATATATGGCGACAGCCCCACAACAGCTATTTAACAATAATCAAATTTTTTACAATTGTACGAAAGACCAGTTCTCTTATTGGCATTTTCACAATCTTTAATTGTCTTTATCTCTGCACACCAGAAACCACAATATTGATTAGCGATTGTTGGTTGTTGTGCAAGACATGCCATTCTCAATGTAGCATCACCTTGTTGACATGAAAGTTGAAGAGTCGTGGTGTAATAAGGAACACATTTATGAAAGTTACCAAAGTGACATCCTTTATCTTTACCAGTATCAAAACATAATTTTTCTTTATTCTTTTTCTGAATTAAAGTTTCATCACCATTAGATAAAATCTCGGAATCAAGATCTGGAAGTGAAGAAACAACACTAAACCCAGCTGAATCTGGAACTGAATCAGCAACTGGGATAGCAACTTGGTCAGCAACTGGGGAGGCGATAATACCTGATAATAATAAACCTTGAGCAAAGATTGTTGAAAATTTCATAATGATATAGTTGATTTGATTGATTTGAGCTTGTAGTGATTAATATTGATAGTAGAGACAAAAAACGTTGTATTCATCTGATATTAATCGCTTTTCACCAATGGTCTTAAACTTGGGTTCCATCATGATGTTTATTAATCGCATTTCACCAATACGTATTAAAACTTAAGTTCCAATATGGTTTAACCAAAGAGCACTCCATTCAGCTGGGAATCAATTTAATAAAACCTGCATTGGAAAATGAAAGATCAGACAGGTATACAGAATATTGTTGAGTTGAGACTCAAGATTATGGAAAATAATGGAGATGGAAGATTCAAGCATCTTATTGCATGCATATATTCAGCATAATCGAAATGAAGACATCATAGACCAACTGAAACCTCCACTCTCCACTCTCTTTCAAAGGACATTGCCACGTTCAAGCCATAATCAACCCAGGAAGCATATATTGATCTAGTGATTCTGGTTAAAGATCTCTGCTTTTCTAATAATGCACGGGGTTTATACTCGAAAGAGACCCCTGCATATTATTTTTGATCAATAATGATAAACTTGTGAATCTCATGATTATTGAAGATCAAAAAATCTTGAAATCTTGACTCGAAAGGGGTTGAGGTCACCGAAGTTATAAGCTTCTCTCGTTAAGTGTCAATCAAATCTTGCTCCTTTCTTCTTCAGATGAGAGGTATTTGATAGAACTCATAGATGAGGTCGAATAAACAATAGTTTCGGTTCATTTGACAAATATCTCATGAACGAACAGTCAAAAAAAGGGGGTTCTGCTCAGGACTGGCCTCCATTGGAATCCGTTTGAATGTCAAGGATTTGCTGATCATGACGTACGTACCAATGGTTAAATGGTTAATATGGGGATTGATTCAAGATTCAGTTTCACAAATCATAGCCAAATTAGCTAACATGTAGATCGATCATTGCACTCTAGTTACCTAATCGCTTTGAATCCGTTTCTTTCCAGTGTAGTTTTAGTCAATGATGCATCTTTGACACTAATTTGAGGATTCCTCGATTCTTTCAAGTAATAGCTTACGTACGCTTCTATAATTGAATACACAATATTGAATAACCAGACAACAAATTGAGATATCAAGATTCTGAAAAGACAATTATCAAGTGCAAAATTCAGAGTATACTATAATATGATTAATATCCTATAAAAAACCATTCTTGGTGTATAAATCCTGACATTCTTGTTAATTGTATACTTGACATACTATAATTCGCGGTTGATTACATAATGATTTTTTTGAATACCCATTTTTTTTATATACGGTAAATAACTTTTTTATATATTCATTGAATATTTCTATTTCTATTCATTGACTAAGGAATAATTGTGATATTGTGAATGGAAAGAAAAGCATTCTTGGACCAGGAGGCTCCCATCGGGTACATTGCTGGTATAGGGCGTGGTGCCACTGGGTTTACCACAAGAGCTGATGTTGGTGCTGGTAGATTACCTCCACAACAACGTGATATAGGTTCAGATGATGAAGATAATTATCAAGATGTTGATGAAGATGGATTATTGGGTGATAAAACATTGAATAAAGAAGATGAAGAAGCTGATGAAATATATCAAGAGATTGATAATAGATTGAAAAATCGTAATAAAAGAAGAATATCACCAAATGATGATGCTACTACTACTGGTAATAATGGGAATGATGATAATTTAACCAAGATTTCAAATCAATTTGTTGATTTAAAGAAAAACTTATCATCAATTTCTGAAGATCAATGGGCAAACTTACCAGAAGTTGGGGATTTAACCAAAAGAAATAAAAGACAACGGAAATTATTACAAGAACAAAAAAGAACTTATGCAGCTCCAGATTCATTACTTGCTGGGTTAGGTGGTTCAAATGGTAATTTAGATTCATCAGTTGATTTAGGGGCATTGACTTCTGAAAGACAAAAATTATTAGGTTCTAAAATTGATTCAAATTTTGATTTTAATGAAGATAATGATGTGGATCAAGAAAGTTATCTTAATGAAATTTCAAATTTATCACAAAATAATGAAGAAGAAATTAAAAGAATTAAGACATTATTAAGTTCTTTCACTAAAGCTGATCCTAAAAAACCTGAAGGTTGGATTGCAAGAGCAAGATTAGAAGAATTTAATAAAAATTTTGAAAATGCTAAAAAATTAATACAACAAGGTTGTAATAATTGTCCATTTGATGAAGAAATTTGGCTTGAAAATATAAGATTGAATAGATCAGATATAAAATATTCTAAAATTATAGTGGCTGAAGCTATAAATCTTAATTCAAAATCTTTAAAACTTTGGTTAAAAGCAATTGAATTAGAATTAGAAATTTTCAATAAAAAAAGAGTTATAAGGAAAGCTTTAGAAAATTTACCCACATCAGTGGAATTATGGGAAAAATCAATAAATTTAGAAGATGACCTAGTGGATAAATTGAAAATTGCCACTAAGGCAACAGAATTAATACCTGAAGATGAATCATTATGGTTATTATTAATAGATTTACAATCTTATGATGAAGCTAAATCAACTTTAAATAAAGCAAGAAAAGCATTACCTAATAATGTTAATATTTGGTTAACTGCAATTAAATTAGAATTTCAAAATAATCCTGAAAGTGATAAGATTAGTAAGATGATTAAAAAAACTTTTAAAGAATGTAAAGAAGTTACAAGATCTGAATGGTTTAAAATTGCTATAAATTTGGAAAAAATTGATAAATTAACATATTTAACTACATTAATTGTTGATGAAATATTATCATTGGAAGAATTAGATTATAATTCATTATTATTAGAAGCTGAAAATTATAAAGAATATTTATTTGTTTATAAATCAATATTAAATTTCATAATTATAAAATTCCCTAAAAAAGCAGCTATATGGAGAAGATTAATTGGATTATATAAGAATAATTTTGACTCCAGTGAATTATATAAAATTTTTGAAAATATTATTGAAATTTTACCTAAAAATGCAACATTTTGGTTAATGTATTCAAAAGAAGTTTGGAAAAATGGTGATTTATCCAAGGCTAAAGAAATTTTAAATAATGCTTTCAAATTACATTCACAAAATGCAGATATTTGGTTAGCTTTAATTAAATTAGAAAGTGTTGAACATAATTATTCTAAAGTTGATTCATTATTTCAAAAAGCTAAAGAACAAGTTAATAATGAACGGATATGGTATAAATATGTTACATTTTTAAGACAACAGGGCTCACAGGAGAAAGCATTAGAGGCAATAGATTTGGGTTTAGAACAATTTCCAAAATGTTTTAAATTATATTTACAAAAATCTACAATATTAGAAGAATTAGGTGATTTAAACCAAGCAAGAAATGTTTTATCACTTGGTACCAAAACCATACCAGAATCTATTGAATTATGGGACCATTTATCAAACATTGATTATAAATTAGGAAATCATACAAGGGCAAGATCAGATTTAGATTTAGGTTTATTGAAAAATCCTAAATCAGATAAATTATGGGGTTTAAAACTTGAATTAGAAAAAATTTTACAAAATAATGAACAAATTAATGTAATATTAACAAAAGCATTAAAAAATTTCCCTCATTCTCCAATACTTTGGGAATTTAATTTAAAATTTAATAATAAAAAATCATTAAGAAAAACATTATATCAAGATGCATTAAATTCAACAAATAATAATGTTCGAATTTTATTAATCATTGGATATAATTTTTGGATTGATGGGAAATTTGATAAAGCTAAAAGATGGTTTGAAAGAGCTATAATAGCAGATGAAGATTTTGGTGATTCATGGGCATGGTATTATAATTTTCTTATTAAAAATAATGAATCACAAATTGAAATTGATGAATTTTTAAAAAAATTTCAAGATGTTGAACCTCGTCATGGTGATTTATGGCCTCGAGTTTCTAAAAAATTGGAGAATTTGGATAAACAACCAGTGGAGATATTGAAACTAGTTGCATCTGAACTTTTGAAATGAACATAATTAATGAATTGTAATATAAAACAAATAGAATTGTGATTTTAATAGTTTATTATGATTACGTAATTGATTTCCGCGAAATTTTATTGTTCTAACAAAGACATTTTTTTATTATGGCTTACAAGATAAATACGAGAAAGATTCCCAGATTTTTATAATTTGTGGAAAAGAATAAGATCAAGAGTTTCAATTGTTAAGTATCAGAAGGCTCTTGATATGTCACAGAAGCTGAGTGAATACCTGGCGAAAAGAGCCAATGGGAATGGGAATGGTCAGAGGAATAATAATAGTATAAACAAACAGATCAGTAGTAATGGTACAAATGGTAATAATGGTGGAGAAGTTAAGAAATCAAATGATAATAGTGAATTGAAGACAGAAGAAGTTATAAGAACACCACAATGGGATGATGATTTCCAAAATTTCAGTGATTCTTTTTATAAATCAGGTCAATTACCACCTCCATTATCTCCAAATATACCATCAATTTATTGTGATGATGATGATTTAACAAATTTAAATATACCAAGAATGTTATCACCAACTTTACCAGATATTTATAATGAAAATAAAATCAGAGAAGAAGATCATGATGAAGATGTTGATTCTTTGATACAACCTATACCAACAAGACCTAATAATAACCACAAATTACAATTAAATAAAAGTGATGAAGATTCATATTCAGATAATTCATTATCAATTTCAATACCCAATAAACCGATTAAAAGGAAATCATTTGAAAAAATAGAAAATTATGGATTACATCAACTTCGATTCATTGAAAAAGGTGATGATAAATCATTATTTGTTACATTAAATGTTCCTTCATATTATAAAAATAATAAAAGAATTAAGAAATCAAATTCAACTACAAAATTACAAGGTTTAGGTATCAAACAACAACAAGCGGGTGATCAATCAAGACCAATAGAACCTAGAGCAAATATCAAGAAGAGCGTTTTCAATACAAATTCTGTTCATTCACCATCACCTTCAATACATTCAACATTTTCATCAAAATCTACACCTAAAGTACAAGATCAACATTTAGCTCCTCCATCAACATCAACATCTTCAACTTCATCATCAAGTGAACATCAAAATCTTAAATTACAAAATGAAAAATATTTAAAGATTGCAAGTGTTAAAAAGCATAAAGGAGATGAATTAAGAGAAAAAAATTTAAAATTAGGTCTTACGTATTTTATGGATTCATTAATAATCTATCTGGTTGCTTTCAATTATGAAGATCAATCAAGAAGAGTTGCTAAGAAACTGTTTAATGATAAATTATGGTTAAGTTTAATATCATTAATTGATCATACATTAAGATTAAGTAAAGAAGTTGGAATTAATGATATTGCAGGATTATGTTTACAAATTAAAGCTGTTGTTTATGAACATGTTTGTAATATTTTAAATGAATTTATTCAATTAAAGATTCTGAAGAGAAAACATGTTAAATCAGATGTTGAATTAATTAAAATTGATGATAGTTTGGTTAATCATTATAAAAATTATAATAAATTTATAGAATTATCAAAACAATCATTCATTGAAAGTGATGAATATCTTTCAATTTTTAAATTACAAGATAAATATCCAAATATTATTAAATTATTTGAAAAACAAGGTAAAACAAGAGAAAATAAGTCAACAAAAGATTATTACCTAAGACCAAATGAAGATTTGATTCATTTACCAATAAATACAGGGATTACATTAAAAGAAATATGTTCGTATAGTTTAAAAGTGATGAAACAATGGTGTGTGAATGAAAAGATACGATATGAAGATTGGACATTTTAGATAATCCTATATAAATATACTTATTTTAATGAATTTGATGATTATATAATTTTTTATGCGTATATAATTTTAATTTTTTCGCGTTTGTTTTGTGTTTTTTGTGACGATCAAAGGTGTCAATTTCAACATTTTCCAGATTTACACGAAAATTAAAGGAATGAATGTGTTTATGTAGTATTTTAAGTGTAAGTTTGTTAGTGGAAGTATATTATAAATTACATCATTATATAGCCCTAATCAATGCGCATCTAAATATGTGATTTAAATTATACATTGTCCTTCGGAATGTTGAGATACCAGGGGTTGTGTATGAACCATTCCTTGTTATTGGGTCATATCGGAGAAAGTAATTTTTTAATATACTGTGGGAAAACACTGGGAATATAAAAAGACATTGAAATCATGAATTTTGTAAAATGTTTGATGGTTTTCTATTCAAGAGAATTTATATCAATCTAGTGTCATCCTAGTTATTATATTATATTCATAAGTTACAAGTCACTCTTTACATTAAATATTCATTATGTCTAAATTAAATCAACATGAAATAATACCATTACCAACAGATATTGGTGCTTTAGCTAATAGAATTAATATGAGTACAAGAAAAGAACATGATGTTGTTAATAAATCTGTTTCATTAAAATTTGCAGTTGCTTTAAGAGATGGTAAGATTTATAGACAAGGTATCCAAGGATTTTATCATGTTTTCAAAACTGTGGAGATGTTAATACAACAAGAATTACAATCTGATTCCAAGAGTAAAATTGGTGGAATTTTATCAAAATTTTGGGATGAAAGAGTTGCAAGAACTGAACCATTAACTAAAGATTTATTATATTTTTATAATAATGATCCAAAAAAATTTCAACATCCTATAAGAAAAGAACAAATTGAATTTGTTGATCATATTATTGAAACTTATAAAGAAAAACCTCATATTTTATTAGCTTATTGTCATGTTATGTATTTAGCTTTATTTGCTGGTGGTAAGATTATGAATTCAAAATTAGCAAAAGCAACAGGATTATTCCCACAAGTTGATGGACAAACTACAGAACAAGTTTCTAAATATGGTACAAATCTTTATCAATTTAATATTGAAGATGATCAAATCTTGAGAGCCTCATATAAGAGAGATTATGAATTAGCTACAAGACATGAATTAACAGAACAAGAAAAATTAGATATTATTGAAGAATCAAAAGAAATTTATAGAAGAAATGCTGATATGATTAGAGGTATTGAAAAACATAATAGAGAAAAAATTACAAATAAATTATCTTATAAAGTTGTTGTTTATGGTTATTATATTGGGATTTTGATTTCAACTTTTGCATTGATTTTCTTTGTTCGTCGTTTAATAAATCATTTATTCTAGAATAGTTATGGGTATTATGGGTTTAGGGATATTTTAATGATATGTTATGAGTAAGATTTTGTTAATGATGTAGACTTAGTAATCCTAACCATAAACAATTGTTATAAAATGACTTTACTACACTTTTCTTCCCAAAAATATTTGTATTCTTATTATATATACATGCAAAAAACCCCCAATTTTCACCACCACACACCAATATAGAAAACTTATCTATTTCTTTAATTTTCTTCTTAATTCTCTTTGTGCTTTTCTTCTTTTTCTAAATTTATGTTTCTTAATTTTATATCTTCTTTTTCTCATAACAGAATCTAATTGCATTGATACATCACTTTGTTCTTGATCTTTAATTTCAAATAAATTTGATTCTTGTTTAGATTTATCTAATGGATTAACTGGATTAATTTTATTAATCTTATTTATTGATGGAATTTGTGTCATGATACTTTGTTTAGTTATATTATTTATAGCTGGTTTAATCATAGAATTTAACATTATTGGATTTATTAAATTTATTGATGTTGTATTCATTGAACTCATCATTCTAATACTGGATTGAAAACCAGATTTAAGACCAGATTGGAAACCATGGCCTAGTCTGGCTAGCCTTATGCTTTGAAACATTATTAAAGTATTTCAACAAAATAAACCCAGCCTTTATTGATGAGTTATTTGTTAATCAAGTATTATACCCTTAATATTGTTTCACTGTTTAATCGACAAATTTTTCAATTTTCAACGAGTACAAATTAAATTCGCGAAAAGGAATATATACTGGATTATGTAATCATAGAATAATCATTCGCGCATTTTCTGAAGAGAAGATTTTAATTTGCTTTTGCTTTTGCTTTTAATGTCTTGTGTAGTGATATTGATTTAACTTATGTATTTAACGTGATTGGTTATTTGTGGTAGTTATAGTAGCTCCACTGTCTATGATGAAATTGTGAGAGTTAATTTGATGACAAAATATACATGGCGTTCAACTGTGTGAACATTTCTATGTTAGTTGTTTACGTTCTACATGGAATACGTTAATTGATAAGATATATTAAGGGTATTAATTAAACATGGTATTCTTTTTATATTTAATTCAATACACATATGAATCAAGACTTTGAATTTATGATTCATTGTTGATCAGTTTTAGAACTTGATCTTGACTTTGATCAATTTAAATGAGATTCATATTCATTCTTTTTCATATGATGTTTGACTTCTGTAGTATATCGCATACATCGACACGTTTATAATCTAACTATCATATCTACAATTAGTTAACCGAAGTCATGAAACCCAAGAACAGTCATATATAAATTCAAAAAATATAAACCTGATCACTTTCGAATTCTGGTATTAGTATCCACAATATAACTAAACATTGGTAACCTGATAACCAAGAATCCAGTGTGTCAAGTTGCATTATAAAACATGATCAGAGTATATTGTTGATTTCATCAAGATAACAAAAGATACAATATGAAAATTTTGTGCACAATTTCAGAACAGTCATAAACATTATAAGTCAAATAACCACAAACGTTTCAAAAGATTTTCAATATAATCTCAAGACAATTCAATATATAATTCTTCTAATGTTCAACCATTCATTAGCAGAAATAATAGAAAACCCTTCCAAAGCTATCAATGAAATATACAAAATGGATGACGATTCTTTACTTTAAAATTATAGAAATATTTATAGCTTAATCTCGATTTTCAAATTTCCACCCCTAATTAATTATCGTCGGTATGTTGGCGCGAATTATCAACGAAAATGTAAAAAAAAAAACATCGAAATTAATGGGTAAACAAATCAAACACACAAGCACATGAGTGTTGAAAACAGCTGGGCTGTCGTTAAGTCCAAATGGTAGAACCGTGAACTGGAAGCATCCAATTTCTGTAATTGAATTTAAAAATATCTACATGATAACAAATTATCAAGTCTGAACAAATTAGTAATAGCTGCGTTGGACCCAAATTGTTTTATTATTGATTTTACCAAGTTCCACAAGAAACGTTAACAAAATATGTCAATATAATTATATTAATTTATAATTTATATTATACACAAGCTTAAGTCAAGATTTTGAATTTTGATTCATTGATAGTGTCTTTTCTTCTTTGAGGGAATGATATGGTTTATATGATCAATTTAAATGAGATTTAAATGGTTTTTTTTCAAATTATACTTTTGTACAGTATGTAGCCAATTCCTCGATGCTATTATATGTTCGAATATACTCCACCATGATGATACTAGCTTTCTACAAAGTTGAATAATTGAAGATGATAAAAATCTATGTGTATTCTATTCAAAAAACGTTCAACTTCAAAAATCAAATTCAGGTATCAGTATCCCTTGATTAAATCAATATTGGTAACCTGATAACCATAAATTCAAGCATGGAGGGTATATGGTTTATGAACTGTATATTAGTTTCAATTTCAATATGTATAATTGAAATGTCAACTTTAAGAACCAACTCAACTGATCAAAGAAATATCCAAAATAATTGAGGTGTACAGCTCAAAATTTTTGATCTGATAAAAGTAATGTGGTCCTAGAAGCATACATTGACGACATTATGCTAGCTGCTAATAAAATTTTACAAATCTGGTGAATGTGATCAATCCTGATAATTACCGAGTCTCGAATGTGTTGAGAAAAAGTTTTCCAAAGACATTCCTGATCCTTCAAATTGTAAAGCGCGAATGGTGTAACAACAAAAAAAAACTTGTACCAGAAATCAAAACATGTTTTATGAATTTTATGTTCTTTAAACTCGACAAATGTTGGTTTTAGATAAGTTCCAGATATACTTACTTTCAGCAACTCAGTTGTAACAAATTTTGGGAAATTCTTTGACTCCATGCACACATTAGAGACTCTTGCTGCTAAATTTATTCATTCTGATATAAGTGATTACAAGCTTGATACGCGTTAGAACAATCATCATGAGATTTCAATCAACTCTTTGTGGATTTGAATGTACAGGTTTGTTTTATCATAACTTCTTAATAAATGACATATGATTGATTTGAATTTTTGATTCATTTGGAAACAGTTTATGTTTTATAGAATGATCAAATTTGAATTGCAATCTATGAATGATATTTTTGAAGACGTGAATTATAATTAATTTGTAGACGTCGTCAAAAGCCTGACAAAAGTACTATTCAAGTCAAACTGTGTTTGATCACCAGTTTGTACAGACGTATGTTGATAATTAGAGGTAAAATTATATTTGTCAATTAAGAACTTATAAATGTCCATGGCGATATACTACAATCCATTCTTATACATAAAAATATAATGTATATTATAGTTGAAAAAAAAATTGATTCATTAACATCTTGATCAATATCAGTACCTATTTTATAGTAAAACCAGTAACATGATATCGAACCTTGATGAATATTTAACTAATATTAATCTTCATATGTGAACCGTTTCAAATATTTAAAGTCAGTTTTGAAGAAAAACAATTTGATTAAAACAGGTTCAATATATGTGAAAGATGATCACCATTGCGGCTATTTGTCCCATGTTTGAAGCTCGATAAGGCGGAGTAGTCTATGACCTGAGACGAATCAATCAGCATTTGAAATACACAAACCTGGATTTCCAACCATAGAAGTGATATTCTCTTTATTTTGAATTACAAACTGTAAAACTTTTTCAATACAATTTATTGAGACTGATGAATGTCAAAACAAGTCAACCATTTTTTTCATTGATTCATTACATCAAGATTTTGCTGATAATGAAGAAGTTCTCAATGAAGAAGCTTTTAATTTATTTTAGAAAATCTAATTACATAATCACAGCATATTAAAAGCTTCGCGAATTATTTTTTGTATGTGAAAACAAATTTTCAAAATTGAACGTTTTCTTTAAAGCGGTTAAACGATTTGGAAAGTGGTGATTTTGATTGTTTTCAAGGTTATTGACTTGTGGGATTTTTGCTGATTATAGCTAAGTTTTGATTCTATAGCTTGTGCTTATTAGCTTCACAGGAGAAACTGCTTTCAAAAATCAAATTTTGCTTGTTCAATTCAAATACCGAGATTATCATATTAAAGATATATAATACTTCAAATGCTAAAACTTATAAATCCAAAGATTCAAAGAGTCAATCCAAGATTGGTTCAATACCAATCAAAAAGAACACTTATATCATTTGTTAGAAATGCTCTAGGGATGGATCCACCTCCATCTCCAGATGAACCAAGTGTGGAGAATAGATTCCATCCATGGGATTCTTCACCATCTCAAGATTTAAGACATAGAGCTGCCACTATAAGAGCTTTAGCTAAATGTCCAGTGACAAAAAAAGAAATTAATTATACATGTCCTTATAGTGGTATACCAACTCATCATTCAAAAGAAGCTTGGGAACAAGATGAAGAATATCATCGTACAAAAAAATATGAAATTTTGAAAAAAGTTAATATATATGAACATGATTTAAGATCTGGTCGTGAATTCCCAGAATTTGATTTCCCTGCTGGTCAAGAATTTGATTCTCAAGTTAATTTATCAAATTGGGATTTATTTTTCTATACAAGAAATTTTTATTCAATGGATACTGAATTTCAATTAGCTGCAGTTACCAAAATGCTTTCATATCCAACAACTATTGGTACATTATTACATCAATTTTCTCCATATCAATTAAATCCAAAAGGTCCAGTTACATTAGAAGGTTTAAAATCTTTAGCCGCGTTACGTTATTCATTATATCCAGATTTAAGAACTTCAACAATTAAAGATCGTCCTCTAAGATTATTTATTATTGGATCAAGAGCAGAAGGTCAATTACCTGCACATGTTTGGAAACAATTAACATTTTTATTCCCAACAACTGATTTTGAATTACATTTTATTGGACCTGAATCATTTTATGATTCTGAAAAAAAACAATTTATTCAAAGTTCAAGACCAATTGTTAGAAGAATTGATTCAAATATGAAATTTATTTATCATACTGATTATTTCCATGTTTTCCATGAAGCTCAAGATTTTTTCCCTTATGATCCTTATTTAGATTCTTTTTTCCTTTTCCATCCAGGTCTTGGTTATCCAGATGTTAAAGATTTATGGAAAAAAACAATGCCAGGTCTTTTGGATTCAAAATGTCCAATTTTCATTACAGGTTATCATGATAAGGATTCTCAAACTGATTGGAATTGGTTAATGGAAAATTTTGAAGATGATTTAGATGTTTTAATGAATATTGAAGAAAATTTATTCTCTTCAACTAAATGGGAATTAAATGATATTAATCCTCATGAAGTTTATAGATATAACAAAAATTTATTTGCCATTAGAGGTAAACGTTATCATGCTATTTATCAATGAAAATATCGATAATTATTATTAGAAACAAAGACATAAAAGGAAATGACTTATACATGTACATATAATTTATATAAATTTTAATGAAAAAAGCATATGAGAAATCAACCATCTATGTAAATACTACAAGATATTTCTTCAACAGATTAAATATAAACATTCATTATGCTGGTGTCATTATAGATTGATAATACAAAATAAATTCTTTTCTAACTTTTTCCCAATTATGAGGATCAAAAAAAATATATAAACCACGTTCACTTTGTGGAGATTGTTGAATTGGTTCAGTATTTGAATCTTTAGTTAACCAAACTTGCAGTTCTTTATGATATCTCCAATTCCTTTGAGTTAAAACTCTTGCACTTAATTCTTGTAAAACATCTCTTGTTCTTGAATAAAAAATATAAAATAAAGTTTCATCAGAAAATAATGATAATTTTTCAGAAATATCTGGTATTTTTTCAATTTTTAAAAAATCTTTAATTTGATATTGTGGTTCAACTTCACTTCTTGAAGTTTCAATCCATGGTGATGGGAAAGTTTTGGATAATTTAATATCAATTGAATTTTCACTCATATCTAATCCTAAAATATTTAGATCAGTTCCAATTGCTGTTGTTGATTGATCATTATTTTCATTTCTTAATAAACCTAAAAGTCCATTTAATCCAAATCTATCCATATCAGTTAATTCTTCTTCAGGTTTTTGTTTTGGTTTATTATTAGTAGTATTATTATTAGCATTAGCATTATTCGTTATAATATTTGTTTGTGATGGAATTGAATTCAATTGAGGTATTGACATGGATGATGAATTTGGAACGTTTTGTAAACCTGGAGGTGGAATTCCACTAGGTTGTTGTTGTAATTGATTTGTTAAATCTTGATTTTGTAATTGTTGAAGTTTTAATAAATGAGCTCTGACTGCAGCATCATTAGCAGCATTGTTACCACTTGAATCAGGAGCAGAATTAATAGCAGTATTCCCTACACCACCACCAAGAGATGGGAATTCATTCAAATTAAATCCTTGATTCACTTTATTTTTGATTAGATTATCGTCAACTTGTTCCCAAGACGCTAAATACCTATTGTTAGTATAATTATAACACCATTTCTCGAGGAGGAATCCCCTCACAGAATCCATCTAAGACATACCCATTTTAACAATATTTTGATATTCAATTTAACAAAAAATACTTTAATTCCTCTGTAAAATACAATCTTGTATATTCTTCTTCTATTTCAATTTCTGAATATTCGAAGCTTTTGAACCAATTTTCATTTTCACAATCAAAAAAGCGCGAAAACGGAAAGTGCACAAAAGCAGAAATCCGGGAGAAGCAAATCACGTTTCGAGTCAGCTGACTGAATTTTTAAGGTCGGAATTCGTTTTTTAAAATCTTTAATACCCATTTCTAAAATTATTATAAACGTTTGCGATGAGATGAGCTTTTGATTGTGTAATTTGTGAGCTTTAAGGAGGTTATATTCGAGGAATATAGTTGCTTAGAAAGATAATAATGAGTATAAGACCATTGCCAAATATAATCATCACTGGTACTCCAGTATGTTGAATATTATATCTTTTTAAATTTCATAGATCTATATACTAACGGTATTAAAGGGTTGTGGTAAAACAAGTCATGCTGAAATAATTTCAAATGAATTAGATGGATTTAAACATATAAATATTACTGATTTTGCTAAAGATAACGATGCATATGATGGATTTGATAAAGAAAGAAATAGTCATATTGTTGATGAAGATAAATTATTAGATGCTTTAGAACCAATCTTAGAAAAGGGTGGTATACTTATCGATTGGCATGCATGTGATATGTTCCCAGAAAGATTAATTGACTTAGTTGTTGTTCTTAGAACTGAAAATGGTACTTTATATGAACGTTTAGAAAAAAGAAATTATTCACAAAGTAAAATTGATGAAAATTTAGATTGTGAAATAATGGAAGTTATATTACAAGAAGCAAAAGAATCTTATGCTGAAGAAATTGTTGTTGAATTAGAATCAAATAATACTGATGATATTGATTCAAATTCTCAACGTATAAAATCTTGGATTGATTCATGGAAAGTTAATAACCCAGAAGGTGCTTCAAATGAATTATCTATGTAATTATACTACAAAATAGAATATTAATTAATCTATGTATTATATCAGCAGTCTGTATATCACAATACCGCATCTCTTTCTACTTTCTAGTTTTCAAGAACTCTTTAACTTTTTCTAAAGCTCTAAATCTATGACTAATTGTGTTTTTCAAAGATTTATCCATTTCACCAAAAGTTTGATCAAATCCAATAGGTTCGAAAATTGGATCAAATCCGAAAACTTCATCACCATTATAACGTGGTTCCACAATTTTACCTTCAGTAATACCTTGGAATAATTTAATTTCTTCACCTGGACCTTCAGTAAATGCAAATGTACAAACTGTTTGAGCAGATTTATCTTCAAATCCTGCTAATAATTTTGGTAAATTTTCAACACCAACTGAATCAACAAACCATTTGATATATGGACCTGGTAATTCAATACCTGGTTTAGATAAAGCACTGAAAACTAAACAAGTATCTTCCACTAAGACAGGTCCTTTAATTTGAGCAGCAGCAGCAGTGACTTTCTTAATTGAAATATCTTTAATTGAACCTTGAATTTCCTCTAAATCAACACTTTGATTTTTAATTGAATCATCACCAATAATGGCTTGGAATTCTTTTAATTTTTTGGCATTACCTGTGACAAATGTGATAGCTGGACGAGACATTGTTGAAGCAATTGACGTGTAGTCTGTATTCTCTCAAATTATTTCGCCATTGTAATTTGAATCTACTATGAAACCGTTTCTTTGAAAAATCTGTGGCAGATAAGATTTTGTGATTGCGGGCACTACTCTCATAACAAAAAATTGTACTTTCCACTTTAAAACACGAATAAAACCATACTCTGTGAATGATCTAGGTATGTTATAGTAAAACACTAGTGATATAGTGACATAGCCTTTATGACTGTAGTTTATAAGTGCTCTTTTTTCCACCATATAATCTCTACAAATTCGAATTCTCTCCAATATTTCATTCCAATCAAAAATCTCTCTAAATTATGACACCAAATTTATACACATATACAATCTTTGAACCAAGAGTCAATTCACATCAGACTCCACAAACACCACCACCATCTCAAGGACAACCCGATGATGATTTTATATCAGAATGGATTCATGAAACTTCTCCTTCATTCTCACCTAATTCTCATAAACTTGATGATTTTACAAATTCAAATATTCAACCAACTGCATATATGGCAAATTTAATTGATGAATATTTATTCACATGTTCTGCAAATTCATCACCAAGAACTAGACCAAAAGATAAAGTCCCTAAGATAACAAGTGTTATATTATCACCACCAAAGTTTAAAATTGATAAAAATCAAGGTACAAAAAAATCAATGGCTGGTACCAAAAGAAATTATACCACAGATAAATCATCAAATGGATGTTATATATGCCGAGTAAGACATAAAAAATGTGATGAAGAAAGACCAATTTGTAAAAATTGTTCAATTTATGAACTTGATTGTGAATTCCCAGGGATAAATCAACAAAATAAACCAATTTATTTAACGGATAAAAACGCCAAAAATGTTAAACTTGAACAAATTAAACAAAAAACACAACAAAAATTTCACAATAAAACAACAAATTGAAAAAAACGCCTTTTTGATAAAAACACAAAACATCTTATTCCCATTCTGAAACTGAATGATATTTACGAATCACACGTTCATGCATACTTGTTGGTTCATATTGAATTTGTTGAATATAATCACCATCAAATCCAATTATTGGACCATCTAATGGATCAGTCAAGTATGGACATCTATAAGTTTGGGTTTCTTCACGAGTTTCATCAATGGTACTTCTTCTTTTCTTTAAACGGGTTTGCTTTTGTTGTTGTGATTCAGCTTCAAGTAATGGAGTTGAAGAATTTGTTTGTTGCCAACCTGATGATGTTGCATGAATTTCATCAATAGTTTGTGAATTAGGCTTTTTGATAGCTTTTAAGGCAATGAAAAATGATAATGGTAAATAATCTTTTTCAAATGTATAAGCAACAAATAATGTCATGATGATTAATGGAACAATTAAAATTGATAATAAAAATGCATGTTCTAATGCTAATGTACCAGCCATTGTAATTTGAAATAAAACTAAACCAAGACAAATTCTTCTGAAAATCATTGGCCAAGCTTGACCTGTAGAATGTTGAGGATGAACCATGGTATATAATAATTGATATTTGTAGGTATAATAACCTAAAACATAATAAACTAGACCAGCTGTAACAATTTTAGTTGATGTAACTGAATAAATCATTGTTATAATTAAAATCAAAATATGTTGTGGTAAAATAATACCAAAATCAAAAACCGGTGGTGTATAATATAATGTTCTATAATCTCTTGCCGTTTTAGCATAAAATAATTTGGAAATAATTTCTAATCCAACATCACCGATTTGTAGTAATTTGAAAGGGAATAGACCCAAACCTTGTAATAAGATTAAATCAACATAGAACAGTGATAAAGTCTTCAATGAGTTTGCTAATTCAAATGCAATCTTGGTAGTATCACCTAATAAAGCCCAAACATTTGATGCAGTACCAGCTAAAGTGAAGACCAAGAACAAGTTAAAAAAAATATAAAAAAAGTTCTTTGATAATGTTGATAATTCCACTTCACCATTTGATAAATAACCTTGTTGAGTTGATAAAAATGAATAAAAATAAGGAATTGTGACATTCAATAAAGTATAGATATATGGTGGAATTAACCCAATAATCAAAATTGCAAGTTCAGATTTTGAGATTAATTCACCTAAAGCAGGCCAAAATTTCTCAATTGTTTTCAAATTAATCAATGTGGATAATGAAACAACTGGGAAAATTAAACCAACTGTTGAAATACCAATAATTATAGTTATAAGATTTGCTTTAAAGAATTTTGTACTTTTAGAAATTGAGATATTATCCCAACAAACATCATGAGGTGCAGGTGCTAATCTTGCAATTAATCTATGAACATGTGGATCTAAGACAGCTTGAGCAGCCATTTGAGCAGAAGCAACAGAATCCATAGTAACAAAAGCAGATCTTGCTTGTTTGAAATTATTTTTTTCACGTTCAAATTGAATTTGTTTATCGATTTCCACTAATTGATCAGAAAAATATTCAATTGCATCAACTTTTTCACCAAATATACCTGCAAATCCTAGACGTAATTGTGGTCTTGGTCTATCCTCTACAAGAGGTTGTGCTTCTGTATGTGGTAAGTTCTTAACAGGTGACACTGAAGGTTCTAAATTACCATATGTATAAACTTCAACTTTCAAAGGGCAATATTTTGCATAAGAAACTTCCAAATTTCTTAAAATTTGTTTTCTTTTCTTGAATAGCTCTCTAAGATTATCCCAATTATATGAAATATAAATCTCACGAACTTTACCAATACCTAAATCTTCAATATAAGTTTTTAAACTTTCTTCATCAAATTTTTGAGTATCTTGTGAAACAAGATCAGTTGAACTTGAATAATCATTTGGATTCAATTCAGTTGGTAATCCTTCTAATAAAATAGTTCTATCAGTAACTGAATTTTGTTGACCAAGATATTTTTGTCTAACTTTAACAACTTTTTCAGTCTGTTGCCAAAGGAAATAAAAAGCCAACCAAGTGAAAACATATGTGAATACGGTATAAACCCAAGCAGCTTTATATTGTTTAGGATCCAATGGATGCTTATCATCAAAAGCCATATTGATTGTATCAGATACCACAGAGTCCCATGATATGCCATCACTATCGAAATGACCAGTATAATAATACCTAATAGGACCTATTATAAAGAATGAAATTAAAGAACAAAGGGCAAAATATTTGATAGCCATTCTGAAGAATCCTAAAAACACATAAGCATCTAGCCCCCCATGCTCTAAAACTTCTTCATCTGTGATCTTGTACAATGCAAGACACCAACCAAATAACGTTTTGGGCAAATTCCTTATATCTTTCTTTCTCAAGACACGAACAGCATAGATATGAGGCCACCTATAACGCAGCACACAGAACGTGAAAAACGCCAGAAAGCCAAAAGTCGTACACACAATCAGCTGAGCTTTGAAAACCCTTTGCGGCTGCTTTGTGGGATCCAAGTCTGGGGGCAACGCACTCATTGATTTAAATCTGGGGTCAGATACTGATTTTTCTTGATATTGAGAATGTGTGATTTATATGTCAAAACCTCGAAATTGAGCCGTTGAAAACAATTGAAAAACAATAAACAGCAAACCAACCTTTCCAATAACAGCTGAAGTACCAAATACCAACAAAAACCAGCTCCAATGGCTCACAAACTACCAAATCACTGCTTTGTTTACTATTCAACAATAGTAAAATTCCGTATAAATAAAACCAAAACAACCAGAAATTCGCGAACTGATTTTTTTAATTTTTTTTTCGCGACGTGTGTTTTTTTTTTTTTTATTTTGTTTTCATCGACGAAAATTTTGAGAATAAAAAACATTGAAATCGAAAATTTTGTATGAGATCTAGAAAGTAAACAGACTTTTGGTGGCTTTAAACAGGTTATTTCGGTGATTCAGCTGTGTTAATTGGTTTCAAAAAGGCCTTTAAACATACATTTCGTTTTTTTAGGTTGGTTTTTACGCTGCTGGTTCTGCATTTCTATGGGTAATAAATTATTTGTACAATATTTTGGTTTTAGTTAAGTTATAGTAATACTTTTGGCATTTGACATATTTTGGTATCATTTGCTGTCCATTCTTTTTTTCTATTGATAATTTATATTTAAAACAACAAGATAATAACTATAGCCATGAGTGACGTTTACATTGTGATCCACTTATCCACTACTTGTGATGAAAATGGAGTTTATGTTAGTAAAGATTCAGCTGAAATCATTGAAATTGCATGGATTTTATTAGATGCAAATACTTTACAAGAAATTTCATCAGATTCAATATTGATTCGTCCTTTAAATACACCAATCACTGCATTATGTACAAATTTGACCACATTAACTTGGGAACATGTTCGTAATGCTGGAACGTTTAAAGATGCTATTTTGAAATTAGATTCATTCATTCATGATAATATTACATCAAAACAATTAGATTTTACATTTGTCACATTAAATGCATGGGATTTAAGAGTCCAACTTCCAAGAGAAGCTAGAGATAAAAATGTTGTTTTACCTCCTTATTTACAACATTCAAGATGTTTTGATTTAAAACAAGAATATGCTAAATGGCAAACTCATCATCCAGAAACTTTATCTTATAGTTCATCAAATCTGTCATCAATTTGTACAGCTTTAGAAGTTGAATTGGATGAACAAACTTTAACTCAAGTTCAACAACAAGCTCAACAACAACAGGTTCAACAACAACAAGCACAAGTTCAAGTTCAACAACCTCAATCAGGGAATTCTACACCACAACCAAGTTTAAAATCAACTTTACCATTTCAATTACAACAATTGGCTATTCAAACTCCACGTCGTGCATTAAATGAAACAAATGTTTTGAAAAAAGTTTTACAATCATTAATTAAGAAATCAACTCCAATTGAAGATCATTCAGATGTTTTAACAAGACCATTTGATGGAAGAGCTGATGTTCGTGCATTTTTAGCTGAACGTTCAAAAGTTTTACATTTAAATAATTTACCACAAGATACAACTCAAAGTGAATTAGAATCTTGGTTTACTCAATATGGTGGACGTCCAATTGCATTTTGGACTTTGAAAACTCCAGAACAACATAAACCAACTGGTTTAGGTTTTGCTGTTTTTTCATCTCATGAAGAAGCTGCAGAATCATTAGCAATGAATGGTCGTGGATTAAATGATAAATCAATCGAGGTTCAACCATCAAGTGCAAGAGTTTTAGATCGTGCTCAAGAAATTTTAACTCCATTCCCACCAAGTAAAAATCGTCCAAGACCTGGAGATTGGACATGTCCATCTTGTGGTTTTTCAAATTTTCAAAGAAGAACTGCATGTTTCCGTTGTTCATTCCCAGCAGCCAGTGCTGTTGCAATTCAAGAATCTATGTATTCAAATAATGGTTCAAATCAATCATCTGGTTCATTAAGTAATGGTGGTGGTCATAATAATAACAATAATAATAATAATCATCATCATAACAATCATAATAACCATAATAATCATCAAAATCATAACAATCATCATAATAATCATAATAATCATCATAACAATTATAATAATAACAACAACCATAATAATCATAATAACAACCATACTAATCATCAAAATAATGGTTCTCAACATTATCAAAATAATAGCTTAAACTATTTAAACAATAATGTTTCAAATATTGGTAATGGTAATGGTCATAACAATAACAATAATAACAATAGTAATGGTAACGGTAATGGTAATGGTAATGGTAATAATAGAGTTTCATCTGTACCATTTAGAGCAGGTGATTGGAAATGTGGTAATGAAGGTTGTTCATATCATAATTTTGCAAAAAATATATGTTGTTTACGTTGTGGTGCACCAAGAGTTCAATCAAATATTAATTTAGATCAACAAGTATCACAAATTCCACAAGTTTCAATTCCACAACAACAAGTTTCTCAAGTTGCTCCACAAATGTCACAAATTCCTCAAGTTTCACAACTTCAACAACAAGTTTTAAATCAAGGTTCAAATTATCAATATGAAATTCCTGATATTACAAAACAAATTAATGGATTAGTCTTGAATCCATCATCAACAAATTCTGGATTACAAACACCAATCAATATTGGTGAATAATTCAAATAGACTTTTGGGTCTTTAATTTTTTTCATCTGTAAATTATTTTTTTTATATGTACATTATATTATTATATTATATTATTATATCATTTTGGTTAGATTTTAGGGGAAGAGAATAGTCATCATATAATTAAGGGGGCGTGCTTTACAAAGAATGTGTATATATGTGAATAAGTGTGTGTGTGTTTTTAAAGTTTTTTCTTGTTGTGGTTATAAATCGTTGCATATGTATAAGTTTTATTTTTCAAATGGAGGTTTAATTTAATCTAAGTGTTAGATACAGTAGTTTGAAGTATGATATGGTGTTCAAGAACAATATTTGATATATATCAAGTATTTATAAACGTCTGGATTAACAATTGCTTATATGACATGCTAGACATTTTACTTAAAGTTTACCATCTGGTCTTGGTGGTTCATTATGAATATCTTCATCAAGATTTTGATCAAACGTACCACACTTTCCAATTTTGACCTCAAATTTAGGTTTACCGTCATCATCTGGGATGGCACTAAGGTGTTGGATAAAATTTAGGCCTATTGGAGATTTATAGTTATCAATTGTTTCGTAATGCGCGCCATCATATTTTCTGGCATAATATTCACGACTAGCCACTCTACCAATACGTACATGCTTACTTTGTATTGAAACCTCTCCAAAAATTAATGAAGAATTGAGAACCAAATTTGTTTGAACCATCATTGAACATTTCTAAAGCACCAGGGGCTTCGTTATATTGATCACGATCATATCGGATCATTCTAGTCTCATCTTCAAATGGTTCATCATAAATTGATTTACCTCCATTACCATCAATATCACCACCTAATAACATTTTACCGTGTTCGATTTTATGAAATGTAGTACCTTCATAACCAAAACCATATTCACCTGTAGCTAAAGCTCTAAAATTTTTACAAGCTTTTGGTGCTTGATCATCATGTAATTCAAAAACAAGTCTTTCAATAAATTTTCCTATATAACAGTATAATGTTAGTTTTCTAAAAGTTAGCTTATAATCATGATGTGAAGTTATATTGAAGCTCCAGATCAATCAAAGATCTCACTTACCATCTATCTCAATATCAATTAGTAAACAAAATTAAAATTAGGCATGATGTATTATAAGTTTCTGGTAATATCTATAGTACTATATCGGTAAGAAAGAATTGTGAAATAATATTAAAGGGAATATCCTGTATATTTATATGAATCTTTTGAATATTACTATAAAGTGGGAAAGGGTTCAAGGGCCATGGATCATGGTTGTCAAAAAGGTAAAATAGTACAAATCATTGTACATTGTACGCCTTGTTCATCGAGATCCCAATTAGAACCAATGTAAATCTTTGAAGCAAGATTTTTACATCATCAAGGATTATTATACATAGATCGTAATCGAAGCTTGTTCATGTGCACTTTAGAATAATGGTTTATTTGTACAGGATATTCGTACTATATAGTATATACTATTTACCTTCTTTTTATTGTTGATGGAATTGGATGAGCGTATTTCATTGCTTGATTATCCATATGATGAAACCGCACTTTTGGAGCACAGCTAGATACCAGTGTGACTAGTGATCAGATATGATTGTCGGGCAATGAAGAGAAATTCAAGCTCTTCTATGGATTAACGTACCCACTTTTATTCCAATTGATTATTGATATTGATTATAATATATTTACTATAGCTATTATATTGATAGGTTATCTTGGTCTTTGAGCAAACTGAACAGCTACACATCCACCATAGCACTCTACCAATCAATATTTAGATCTAAGACGAGCTATAGCTATAACCTTATGTTGTATGTCAATAGCTCCAGTATATTAGCAAGCTTTCAATAAACGTTGAATCATGATGAGATCAGCCTGTATATTATAATGATTTGAGGTCTATTCAAATTTCACACTATATAATTACATATACCAGATCTATATCACTTCCGAGGGTAGATAATTAGCTATAGTCTTCAAATTTAGTATACATTTTACAGTATAAAGTTCAGAATGAGACTAGTCTTCTGATTAATTTTAATTCGACATTGATTAGAGCTTTATACTTTTGTGTAATCAAATCATGTATATACAAATACATATTCCGAGGGTTTGATGATGAAGTTCCGATAATTTCTAACATGCCACAAAAACACATTTCCGATGATTTCGATGCGTCAAATTTGTAAGTATTAAAGTTTGAGTATATACATAACATGACGTTTAACGACATTCAGCTGTAATTCTAATTTCTATATGAATAAAGTTAAAACGTTTCCTTCTAGTACTTTAACAGGGTCCAGCGTAAATCATAGCACTGAATTTCGATAAAATCTTATCGACCCTCGGAATTCTTTGTAATCTTTCATTGCAAACGGTAAAAAAAATTCAGCCCTATAAAAAACAAATTAAAGCCGTGATTGAACTCCGATATATCTATATATCAGTTGAATATTTATATAAACTGAGATCAAAGTTATACAAATACTCTCATAATTAGCATACTTACTACATCTTTGAAATCAATCCAGTTAAATAAATTAAGTTTATATTAAACGATCAAGTACAAGTGAGAATTCTGTGACACTATAATGTACATACATTAAATGGATACTGAACCAGTAAAACCACAATAATCTTTTAATATGAATCAGCAAATTTATACTCTGAACTCAATTGAGTCTAAAACTTTGATTTTCCATTATGCAAACTTTTTAGTTAATCAAAATTAACAACAGCTCTAATACATTCACCATTATGCATATCTTTAAAAGCTTCATTAATTTCAATTAAAGGACGTCTATGAGTAATAAATTCATCAACTTTTAATTCACCTTTTAAATAATCTTCTACAAAACCTGGTAATTGAGTTCTACCTTTAACACCACCAAAAGCACTACCTTTCCAAACTCTACCAGTAACCAATTGGAATGGTCTTGTTGAAATTTCCTTACCTGCAGCGGCAACACCAATAATAATTGATTCACCCCAACCTTTATGACATGATTCTAAAGCTTGTCTCATAACATTAACATTACCTGTACAATCAAACGTATATTCTAACCCACCATCAGTCATTTCAATTAATTTATCAACAATAGTTTGACCTTCAGGTAATTTAGTTGGATTAACAAAATCTGTAGCACCAAATTTATCAGCCCATTCTTTTTTAGAATCATTAATATCAACAACAATAATCTTATTAGCTTTTCTTAATGCAGCACCTTGAACAACAGATAACCCAACACAACCAGCACCGAAAATTGCAACATTATCACCTTCTTGAACATTAGCAGTGTTTATCGCAGCACCATAACCAGTAGTAACACCACAACCTAAAAGACAAGTTTTTTCTTGTGGAGCCTTAGGGTTAACAGCAACAACTGAAACATCAGCAACAACAGTATATTGTGAGAAAGTTGAACAACCCATAAAATGTAATAATTCTTTACCACTGGCTTTATGTTTAAATCTAACAGTACCATCTGGCATAACACCTTTCCCTTGGGTAGCTCTAACAGAACCACATAAATTAGTTTTACCACTTTTACAAAATTTACATTCTTTACATTCAGCAGTATATAAAGCAATAACTGAATCACCAACTTTAACACTTGTAACACCTTCACCAATAGATTCCACAATACCAGCACCTTCATGACCCAAGATTGCAGGGAAGGCACCTTCTGGATCAACACCTGATAAAGTATAAGCATCAGTATGACAAACACCAGTGTTTGTTATTTTGATACGAACTTCATGAGCTTTTGGTGGAGCAACTTCGATATCTTCAATTGATAATGGTTTACCAGCTTCCCAAGCAATGGCAGCTTTACAAGTGATTGTCTGATGGTTAGTTAAAATGTTCAATTGAGCTGAATGACAACTTGTTTACTTACTTGACCTTGAGTAGACATGTTTATATTCTTTATTGTATAATTGATTCTTAATGATCTGTTGAATTGAAGTTTCAAGTCTTTTCAAAAGTCCGAATCCAAGTTTCTTTATATACTTTTCTTAAAATTTCAAAGAGATATCAAATTTTACCGCAAATGGTTAAAAATTCCACTAGTTGACAATTAATAGCGATGGAATTAAAAAACGATGATAATTAAGACAAAATGATTGGTTATAATGAGGGAAATAAAGTAGATTACAATGTGATTAGGAATAGAGTTGATTAATAGCATTCTATCCCATTTTAAACCAAGTTGTTGCTGTTCCGAATGATCTTGTTGCTGTGATTGGCTGAAGGTTGACACATTGAATAAGTAAAAAATGTTAAATTTGATGGTGGCCGTGAGAAAAGACGTGTTTAAAGTCTTGATTTGGGAAATAATAGTTATTAGTAATTGTAGGGTCTAGATCTATACAATAAATAACTCTTCACTGACATCTTTTAGCATCGTATTCTATATTGTTTCTATTGTATTATGTCCAATCACAAGCACTCCCGGATAGGTAACTCGGAACAGCTCAGTTTAATATATATAAGAACATTGGAATACCGCGTGAATTGAACCAAACTTTCAAAGTAAACTACACTTTCACAGCCTTACAATGTACTCCATAATAGATCTTTACTAATCAATAAGTTCATTAAAGTGTTCAATTAGTGTGATGGTGAACAAATTCTCACACATTACATAAGCCATCACCCAAATTTATCGAACCATAAAAACTAAATAATTTAAACCCATAAACATTTGAATAGAAGTGTAACTACTTATATACCACCTACTACAACACCAGGCACCATGTTCAAACAGCTAAGAGTCATACCAAGATCATTCTCCCCTCTAAGATCATCGATCACAAGATCATATCATTCAGAAGATCATAAACCTTTCCAATTTACAACACCTCAAACCAAAATATTAGATGAAGCTTTGAATTTAGTACCAATTTATGGATTCCAACATAAAGCTATTCTTGAAGCAAGTCGTTCTCAGGGTTATAGTGATGCTATTCAATCCCTTTTCTCAAATGGAACTTATGATTTGATTCATCATCATTTAGTTAAACAACGTGAACTTTTACAAACTTTTATAACTACAGATGAATTTACTTCATTGAAATCAGAAAATGATAAAGTTAAATTTTTGTTGAAGAAAAGAATTATGGCAAATCAACCTTATTTAAAACACCTTAATCAATTACAAAGTTATTTAGTATTACCACCATATTTCCAATATTCTTCAAATGAATTACATAACTTAAGTGATGATATCTTACATTATTCAGGTGATTTTTCAAATGATTTCGCATGGTATTCTAAAAGATTATCCCTAAGTTCAACTTATGTTGCATTAGAATTATTTCAATCTCAAGATAAATCAAACAATTCTACCAAAACTTTAGAATTAATTGATAAAAGATTAAATGGTATAAATGAATTAGGAAATTTTTATAATGATGCTGAAGAATTTTTAAAATTTAGTATTAATTCAAGTATTAATTTATTTAAATCTCAAGCATCAAGAGGTTAATTTTACTATGAATATATATATAATGATATGATACATGAATTTTATAATATACATATGATATTGAAACAAAGTAGTATGAAGACCTTTTCCTGTTTGATTGTGATACAATTCACAATTCACAAGCTAACGCTTGTTCATTGTTCATTGTTCATTGTTGTTGTTGTTGTGCAGCCATTGCAGTTCTAATCTCAATCAATTTATTTCTACTACCTTCCAACTTCCCTTGAACATCAACAACATTTTTTTCAACTCTTTCAATCTCACTCTTGATAAATTCTAATCTTTTTTCAACATTTAAATTAGCTTCATTAGAATCTTGTGGTAACAAGACAGGACCAGTTAATTTATAAATTTTTGCATTTGATTCTAAATTTTTAAATTCATTAAGGACAATTTGATTTTCTTGATATTGAGTTTCTAATTTTTGTCTGGATGTTATTAAGTCTTGTAAATCTGTTTGATATTTATTAAATTCTAATGATATGGATTCTATAGTTTGTGACATGGTTAATGGTGTGGGTATGTGATGATCTTATTGTAGGTTATAAAGTTTCTTCAATGATCTTGATTTTTCAAAGTATATGGAAAATGGTTCGCGAATTATATAGACCCATATGAGCTTAGATCAAGGAAGAGGGCTCATCAAGGAAGAAGAAGAAGAAAGTATAGATTGGAGAGGAGTCAAGTACTTAATTAGACTTATGTGAGATGAGATCTACAATATATAGAATAGAAAGAAGTTGATGTAAAAATATCGCAGTTTATCACTCAAGCAAAATTGGTCAAATTGATTAAAAATGAACACAATTTAATTGATGATCAAAAGCTCTTGTATATTATCAATTATACCAAAGAACCAAATATCTGATCAAAGTCTTTCTTCGTGGTAAGACATTGGATGTCTTGGATATTAATGATTGATCAATGGCATATGATATTTTATGATACTTAATCCATTTTGAAAACTGGCTGCGCAAGCAAAATTCCAGGTTGTAGTTGGATTCGAAGGACTCATTTATCGTCTGTCAGAACCACATACGCTTCATTTAAAATAAACATAGAAGAATTCGCAATACAATCAATGATAGCCTAACAATTGGATTGTAGCAAATGGTTATTATGTCGTAATATTGATTGTAATTTGTTTTGCGCATTGCAAAAAAAAAACATCATTTTATATGACTAGCTGATGAGCCGGGCTTATTAACCACTCCCCTTTTAATGTATAACATGAGAACATATATAAGAAAAGTCAAGTAACGTACAGATTCATCTGATAGTATGTATCATATAAATTCCAATTTCTATGTTTATATATATAAGACGTTGACCATAAATCTGTAATGAGTTCTCAATGAAGATTTAATAATATCTATTCACTACGTAACCATGGATTCAAAAATTAAATAGTCAAATCTTTTGAAATTGGTCATATAGATCAAAACATGAACAAACAATTTCAATGATAAGACTTTTGTATATTGGAATATTTTTATGAATTAATGATGTGATCTGTAGATAGAGATCTTGGTCAATATACATATGAAAAAGTTTATTTTTATCCATGTATATAGTTTATGAAATCTGATCTGATCAAATCAACATTTCCAATTCCACACGTTAGCTGAAATTAATCAGAAAATGAAATAAGGCTATCATTGACAATGAGCTTTGATGGACTAACTGTGATAAGAAGTCAACCCTGGCCTCTACTCTTTCGGACTAATTTAGAACTAAAAGAATCAATGAGCTTTTCGAAAACTACATCAAATCGTCCTATATTGTGCGCAACTTCAAATTTCAAAATCTTCGTTGAGTTTTAAAGCTTTGGACAGGGCGCAGAACCGCTTCCCTTTTAGTACAAGAGAGCTCTTTTATAAGGTGCTAAGAGTATATAGAATACAGATCAGAAATGAAAGTTGAATGAATTATTCTTATATTCAATTATAGTACTTAGCTGTATGAGTCTATGGCTAGGAGCGTGTCAACGAAGTGAGGGTTATACTGATTAGTGGCTGGACTTTTGATATGTTAATCAGTGGTATATAAATCAGGGGTTCCATGAGTACTATAGTATAACCAACTACAAATTATAATATTGAATTGAATTAAACATATCAAATGATTAACAAATGACAGTATTAGTTAATCGTATATTTTCAACTTAAAATAAAATGACAAATCATGTCAAAGAAGTCAGGACTGTTGTTAAACATTCACATGATTTCAATGATGATTAACTTGTTTTGTAGATAAACTATTGAATACCAGTAAGCAGCTATCACAAACATGTGTATTTCCATAAGGTATAATGAAGAGTTATCTATGATGGTGTAAAAGCTGTCTGATTAATATATGAAATATTAACAATCGCATTAAATGAATTCAACCGAATGACGTGTAAAAAACTCAAAGAAAAATTTGAAATTAATATTCTTAATACATCAGATCATCTAAAACCAAATTGTTGTAAGGTTCATCTAAATCTTTGAACTTTAAAATCTGATGTCAATTTTTTTCTTGTTGCTGCTAAAATAAACAATATTGAATAAATACTTTTAATTGTATTTGTAACTGCACCGACATTTTCGCGCATGAAAATTCAAGAATTCTTTATAAAGGTCAAGAAATTGTTGTATAATGGCATTGGAAGTTCGATAAATGCTTCTATGATAGTGAGGTGTATTTAATTCCTACAATAAAAGTAGTGTATAGTTCAAGTTAAAAAATTCATGTCATCATTAATGTAAAGATATTGGTCATATAGTTTTAAACATGAACAACAATATCATAATAATGAAGTACGTCTAAAGTCATGTTATATTATACTTTAATATAATCAATATGATTTCTTATCAAACACGTATTTTTAAGCACTCATGATCGGAAAAACGTTCTTAATTGGAAACGTAATCATCAACATTTAGCTATATTTGAATAGTTCTATGATAATGATCAATCACATTTCTTTTAAATCTCATTCATTTCTGTCACTAGATGGTGTAAGTCTAGACAAGAAGAATAGTACTTGGCCAGTTATCATCAACTTAATAGATTTTTAAGGATGAATGAATGCTATGAGATTGAATATGCTGAAATTGAAAAACTCACTAGTAACTACGTTGAAATAAAATTTGATAATAATTTCAGGGGTTCGTAACCATTTCCGTTTATGGTTTTAGATCATAATCAATTATGTCCATATATTTTATAAAGGTTGAGTTAGTATCATGGCAATTGATTCGATCAATTGATATTTTGTACATACTATTCACTCTAGTAACAATATCTCTATAGGTATTAGTCAAACGTACTGTTAATGGAAGGATGGATGCGACTACACGCTTAATATAGGGCATTCATGAATAAAATCATAGAGTTATATCAATTAAAGACATTAGTCATATAGATTTAAATATGAACAACAATATCAATAATGTGTAACTTTCTATATATATTAGTAATTTTGATAATATTATATATTACTAGTCGATATGATCCAGATCCTAGATTTTTTCAAACAGGGTTCTTACATGAAATCATGAATCAAATTCAACAGCTTAGTATCATCAACAATCAGGAGGACCAGTTTTATGCTGCTTGACAAAATGAAGTTTTTTTTTAAAAAATGGTCCTATCATAGTTGAAAAGGTGAGGAGTGATGAAAATCCACACATATGAAATAAGTATTTTAAACATTTGCATAATTTCACCAATAATTCAGTTTAAATCAAGGTATGTAAGGACGTAGTAATTGAATATGATTGATTAGTAGAATATAAGAAGAAAATTAACAATTCGACAACGAGCAGCCGCGCGCTGCGCGCTCATTTACCCTGACCACTCTAATTTGTGGATCATAACTCGTTAACTATTGTACGAGTATATCTATGTTTGATCTGATTGATAAAATTCAAGGTCTAATGAATACCATATTGATGATATAATCTATCTACAAGTTTAATTTATAGAAGCTTGATATTTATAACAGATGTCTATACATACAATATATCATCTTCGATCTTCTCAACTACAACAAGCAATTCAGACAGCTTAAGGTATGAACAATCAATAAATCAATTGTATATTTTATGAAAAATGAATAGAATCATATCAAATGAAGATCAGAAATGTATTTTCTCAACATTCACATGATTTCAGTGATGATTAACTAATTATTGTTTTGTAGATAAACTAATGAATACCAGCAACATAATGCATATCGTATCAAAGTATCAAGTATCAAGTATCAAGAGATATTTTATTCCTGTATATTTTCAACCAAACTATAACATTAAAGAATGAGTGTACCCAAAAATGCATTGTATAAGTGTCATGGGAGATGTAAAAACAAATTACACATGTATAGAACATCAAAATGAAAGATAATTTCAATCATAATTTTATGAAAAGCTAAGAGTCAAGCAGTACATCAAATTTATTTTCCAGGGATAGCTTGAACAAATTCGCGCATATTGAAAATATGGAGCAAAGCCTATCGTACTGATGTTTATATACGCTGAAAAGCTGAGCTTTGAAGAATAGTTATATTGACCTAGTATTGATGTGATTGATAACTCCATACATGCATTCATGATATTGCGATATATTATTGAATTTCTACAATGAAAATGGTGTTTGATTGGAGTTCAAAAATTTTGATCATCATTGTAAAGATATTGGTCATATAGTTTTAAACATGAACAGCAATATCTTGATAATAATGATTAAAGATCATATTTATTATAATTTAATACAATCAGTATGATTCCTTATCAAACACATATTCTTAAGCACTCATGATTGGAAAACCGATCTTTATTGTAATCATCAATTTCAGAATGAGCTATATGAATAGTTCTTTGATAATGATCAATCATATTTGTAAAATTTGACTATATCATTACACATGACTTTGGACGGTATATCAGTCGACAAAAAAAACTCCGCTTGGCCTATCATGTTTTATATATTAGATCTTCAACAGGTGATGTTAATATAGTACGTATAGTTGAAAATTGAAATGCAAGTAAAAATTTTATTTATATTATAACGTCCGGGCTTCAGAACCATTACCATTTATGGCTTCCGATAATAATAAATAATTATAAACAAAGGTTGAACTTGAGCATATAGTAAATTTCAATCATTATTTTGCATATACGACTCTTTATAACATCTATATTAATCATTTTGATCAAAAAAATAATCGAAAGATGGTTGTATCTACACTCTTTTATTGAACATTTGAATAAAAACATAAAGTCATATCAATTAAAGACATTGGTCACATAGGTTTAAATATAAACAGCAAAATCAATAATGTGTAACTTCTTCATATATTTATATGTCTGGAATATCCAAAGTGATCATAAATATATAGACCTTGATATGATCAGTGCAAGATTAAGACATTTCAATGAACTCCAAAACATAACACTATTAAATCAATTTTTGGTCCCGTAAACCTAACGTGCTTCCTTCAGCTAGACGGCGGCGCAATTAAAAGCAATAGATCAGTATGGCCAATAGAATTAGACGTCAGATTTAACAGATAACAAGCTGATTTAGTGAGCAATAAAGTATCAATGACTTAATGAGACAAAATCCTAGTCAAAAAAAATTCAAAAGATTGAATTCGTGATTTTCCAGTGTCTCGTAACCATTACCTCTTTCGAAGAATAACTACTAGTTGTTCATTCTATATGAAAGTGTATATAATTCTGTTAAGTATATAAAATTTCAATATATAGTGTATATTATATTGATCTCTAGTCATATTCACTTTTGTAGGAAAACGTAAATATAGACTTGTGTCCATATATAGCCATCGATTTGCTCAACTACAATTCAAATAACACTAGGCGAGGTATCAACAATCATAAATCAATTGTATATTTAATAAAAAAATGAATATGATCATACCAGATAGAGATCAGGAACGTATTTTCTCAACATTCACATGAGTAAGTCTCCCTTATGATCACTTTTTTTAGAATTAATTATACTAAATCTCCATTGAATCATGTAATTTAAAAAATTAAAGCATATATCAAATATAATTGATCTGTATATTTAATAGACTTTGAGAGATAATATAGTAAGACCAGGTAATCATCAAAACAGCATTGGACATCACCAAAGCATACCATACAATAGAATTAGATCCTTAAAGTATAAGTTGTAAAAACATTAAAAAGTTCAAATGTGAATGGAAAATTGAATTTTTAATCGACCAAAAAATTCGCGACCATACACTCTTGAAATAAATTACTTATATAACTTATTATACAACGATCTTTTAAACCAAATATTGCAACATCAACTCATAGATCAAACTCATATTCACCACACACAATGGTCTTCAAACCTTGGACAGAAAGAGCACCACGTCATACATTTGAAGATATAACTGATCAATTGGTTTCTCAACCATTACCAAAAATTCAATTAAATTTGGCCACCCAAATATCAGGTACAACAATAATAATACCAAATACTTTATCATTTATAAATGATTCATTATTAAAATTATTCCCTGAGAATACAAAGATTGGTACTGTATCAATTTATAAGTTTTTGACCAAAAATGATGAAAACCAAGATGAATATTTAGAAGATGAACAATTATATAAATCACAAAAACAAGATCAATTAATTGAAGAATTTGATCAAGAATTATATATCTATAAATTAAACAATGAATTAAATTTATTATTAGTTCCAAATTTCCAGAATGTTATTTATTATAATTTAATTTCCAAGGAAATTTTATCCAAAACAACTGATATTTTAACAATAACACCAGGAAATTTATCATTTGATCAATCAATTGCCATATTAGGTTCATCATACCCAGATACAAAATTCCCATATTTACAACCACCATTCCATATAACTGGTATATCTGGAAGTTTATTAAGTAAATCATCAAAAGTTAAAGGTTTAATTTTGAAAAGTGAAGGTGTTTCAGGATTTGAAAAAATTGATAAAGAAAGTATTGAAAATTTAAGTTATTATTTACAAAAGCAATTTAAATTTAATGAAGAATTTTTAAAATTTATTAGAAATTCATTAAAAAATCATAATTCAAGTAATAATTTTGGTTTATATCTATGAAATGAAGAAAACAATGTCAAAGTATATATATAAGTACTCATGTAATATGAAAACATAACCAGTATGTTGACGCATTAATCACTTAATCATCGTAGAACTTGTTCATCATCATCAATTTTAATATCAATAACTCGTACTTTATAAGTTTGATTTTCATTACTCATACTTAATGATCTACCACCATTTGAATATCTATGATTTATATTACGATCCTCATGATTTGTTGTATCATAATCATCTTGATCTTCTTGCTCTCCATGTTGATTTTCATTTTCATTTCCATTCTCATCTTCATCTTCACTATCTTCAAATACATTATTTGATTGTTGTTGATATTGTGAAGCAAATAAATCCTGGTTCCAACAAAAACCTTGAGATTCTTTTAAAGAAATTGAAAAACTTGGTACATTATTTTGATAATAAAAAGAAGATGAACCAATACTTGAATTTAATTCATAACTTTGATGAGTTTCATTATTAATCATTGATGGAGAAAGGAAAGAACGACGTCTTGCAAATGATGATGAAGGTGATGCAAATGATGAACTTCTACGTTCTTTTGTAATCTTGGGGGAATTAAAACTGGAACTATTTGATCTATTATTGATGAATGATATTGAATGACGAGTTGAAGAACGTGGTGTTATATTTGATTTGGAATCATTTGTACTTATATTACCATCTTTTGAAAGAATTTGATTTAATTGAGCTTTACCGTTCCCGCTTGTTGGAGAAGGTGTTTTTGATATATCCATGGTTGGAAGGGATGTTAAACACTTAATGGGCTATGTGATGATTTGACTTTATGAAACAGTTGATGAATAGTAATAAAAGTACTTGTCTTGTCTTTAAAGTGTATGATCAAGCTGTCTTGTCTTATGAGTCAAATTTTAAAGCTTGTTAAATTTCATTTCTGTGGAGTCTTTGATAAGCAAATACGCGACTTTATACGTCAAATAACAATTCGCGCATGGAATCTAGAATTGATTGAACATGTGAATGATGGTATAACTAGTGTAAAATTGGTTGAATAAACAAGAGAAGTATTAAAACAGATACTACAGATTTTTCTTATCACAACCATTCAATTAAATATTCAAAAAAATAAGCAAACACTAAAAAATTAGAGCTTATACAAAAAAAAACAAGTGTGCGATTTCTGTGGATTGAACACAGGACCTTTAGATCTTCAGTCTAACGCTCTCCCGACTGAGCTAAAACCGCTTGTCATGTGACATTTTTGAACCCGTGGATCACCGAGATATCCCAGCGACAGGGTAACACTTTTAAAAAATTCTGCCAATTTCATTACGTGTCAATTGAATTTTTCGGATGACATAATCACTGACAAATCTTTTTTTCAAATGAAAATTTTCTTAGTGCCATCAAAAAAAAAGAAGTTTTGAAAAAAAAAATTTAATACCTTTGATGAGATTGAATTTTTAAAAGGTTCTTAGGGTATCATTCAACAACCATACATAATGTCTGCTGTTGATTATCTTCTTTTCGAAGAGGCCACCGGTTATGCCGTCTTCAAAGTCAAATTACAACAAGATAACATTGGTTCTAAATTAAAAGAAGTTCAACAACAAATTAATGAATTGGGTAGTTTTACAAAATTAGTTGAATTAGTTTCATTTGCTCCTTTCAAAGGTGCTGCTCAAGCTTTAGAAAATGCTAATGAAGTTTCTGAAGGTTTAGTTTCTGAATATTTAAAATCTGTTTTAGAATTAAATTTACCAAAAGGTTCAGAAAAATCCACTATAAAGTTAGGTATTTCTGATAAAAATTTAGGTCCTTCTATAAAAGAATCATTTGGTTATATTGATTGTATTTCAAATGAATTAGTTCAAGATCTTTTAAGAGGTATTAGATTACATGGTGATAAATTATTAAAAGATTTACAAGCTGGTGATATTGAAAGAGCTCAATTAGGTTTAGGTCATGCTTATTCAAGAGCTAAAGTGAAATTTTCTGTTCAAAAAAATGATAATCATATTATTCAAGCTATTGCTTTATTGGATCAATTAGATAAAGATATTAATACTTTCTCAATGAGAGTTAAAGAATGGTATGGATGGCATTTCCCTGAATTAGCAAAATTAGTTCCTGATAATTATACTTTTGCTAAATTAGTTTTATTTATTAAAGATAAATCTTCATTAAATGAAGATTCTTTACATGATTTAACTGCTTTATTATCAAATGATTCCGGGTTAGCTCAAACTGTTATTGATAATGCTCGTATTTCAATGGGTCAAGATATTTCTGAACAAGATTTTGATAATTTATTAGTTTTCGCTAAACGTGTTGTTTCAATTACTGATTATAGAAGATCTTTATATAATTATTTACAAGACAAGATGCATACTGTTGCTCCAAATTTATCTGAATTAATTGGTGAAGTTATTGGTGCTAGATTAATTTCTCATGCTGGTTCTTTAACAAATTTATCAAAACAAGCTGCTTCAACTGTTCAAATCTTGGGTGCTGAAAAAGCTTTATTTAGAGCTTTGAAAACTAAAGGTAATACACCAAAATATGGTTTAATTTATCATTCTTCATTTATTGGTCGTGCTTCTTCAAAAAATAAAGGTAGAATTTCAAGATATTTAGCAAATAAATGTTCAATTGCTTCAAGAATTGATAATTATTCAGATGAACCATCAACTGTTTTCGGTCAAGTTTTAAAAAAACAAGTTGAACAAAGATTAAATTTTTATGATACTGGTGCTGCAACTATGAAAAATTCTGATGCAATTACTGAAGCTTTAGGTTTATATAAAGATTTAGATATTGAAATCCCAGATGCTGATGAAGGCAGTGATGATGATGAAGAATCAAATAAAACTTTAGATACTCCAAAGAAAGAAAAAAAGGAAAAGAAAGATAAAAAGGAAAAGAAAGACAAAAAGGAAAAGAAGGATAAAAAGGAAAAAAAGATAAAAAGGATAAAAAAAGATCAAAAGGTGATGATGATGAATCACCAAAAAAGAAGAAGAAATCAAAAGCTTAAATTTGATCCTTTGATTTAATTCTATTAAAATTATACCTTGTACCATTAGTTTTTTTATCTATACTTTCTTTAAATTTTTCTAACATATTTTTTATAATATCTATAAGATCTGTATATTGTTTTAATTAAAAATCGCATATTGAGAAAATATAAATTGTAGCTACATAAAAATCCATATTATACAAAATGTTTATTAAAAGTTAATCTATGCAATATCAATATCATCATCACCACCTTCATCTTCACTTTCAACATCACCATCAACATCATCAACTTGAATCATAGTTTCAGTATAATTCCCATCATATTTTCTTGCAATTCTTGATTGTTTACCTTTTTCTTTAGCTTCTTCTCTAGCTTGTTTTTGTAATTTTGATAATTCATTTTTGAAATTTGATCTAACAGCTTTATTTGAAAAAAAATCAAACATTTTTAATCCTTTATTAACACCACCAATAACTATATTACCTGCAACTTCAATATCTGGAGCAAAACTTGTTGTTAAAACATTACCAACACCAAAATCTCTTGACATAACCATTGAAGGCCCATTTTTCAAAACTTCACCTTCAGTATATGTTGGAATTTTCCATAATTTAACAGTTTTTTCACCCATTGCACTTGTAGCCAACATTTCAGGAACATATTGATTAACATCTAATGAAGAAATACCTGCATCATGAGCTTGTAATGTCCATATTGGTTTATCTAAAGTTCTAATATCAAAACAATAAACACCACCTTGATCATTACCAGCCAAGAATTGAGATTCATTAACCCATTTAACATTTTCAACATCACCATTTATTGACCAGTATTTAGAAGTTTTGGAATCATCTTGAATACGAACATCTGTTAAAGCAACACGTGAATCATAACCACCTGTTAATAAAATGGCTTGTTCAGTTGAATGCCATTGAGAACTTGATACATTTTTACCTGAATGTATTTGATTGAATGAACGAGCTGCAGTTGCAGTGTTTAAATCCCATAATTTAACTGTAGTATCTGCTGAAGTTGATGCTAAAATATTTCTATAAGATCTATTATGTGATAATGAAAGAACAGCATCTATATGATGAGTTGTAATATGTTTGTTTTTTTTGGTTTTCTTGGATTTTTTCTTTAAACTTGGTGCACCTGATGGTTCACCTAATATAATATCTGGGAATGCCTTATCCATACAATCTAAATTCCAAATTTCAATTTGTGGATCAAATGTACCAACTGCAGCAAAATTACCAATATCTGATTCACCTTCAGGTTGATTTGGTTTAAAATTTATCCATTCCACAGCAAGTGGGAATGCAGGTAACATTAAATCATGATGAACATATAAAGCATTTGGTCTTTCATGACCTTCTGGAACTTCAGGATCTAATAAATCATCAGCACCATCATCATAAATATGAATATCTAAAAATGAAACATCATCTTCAGTACGTGTAGATAAGATTAAATTATCAGTTGGATAAATTTGTGATTCTTGTTTATCCTGTACTGTTTCTTCTTCATTTGGTAAAGTAATATAAGCTTCATCTCCATCTTCATCTTCATGGAATTCAGCATCATTTGATAAACCTGGTAACATTGTTACTCTTGAACCTTGAGTTTCTTCATCATCATCATCATAATGTTCTAAATCATATTCTTTTAAATCATCATCAATTTCAAATTGATCACCAAGTTTAGCAGTTTTTGGTTTATCATCTTCTTCTTCTTCTGGTGAATCTGAACTAGCATTTCCATTATTTTGTAATTCTTCAATTTCTTCTTTAGCATCATTAATTTCTAATTGTGCCAATTGATTAATTCTTTCCATTTCTTCATCATCCAATTCATATTTATCTGGGAATTCTTTGGCAAATCCTCGAGGAACCCAAGTACTTGAAGACAACATTGTGATCTAATATAAAATAATCAACAAATATAAAAGACTTTAAACAGTTTAAAACCCAAATCAGATCAAAATCACTATAAAATTTAAAGCTCATCGCATAACAAAATCAAAAAAATTTTCAAAAAAACCGAAATTTCTGCCATTTTGAACAGGGCAGAAATTTTCCCGCGAATTAATTTTCGTGGATTTTCCCATTTAATGAACGAAAAATCAAAGAAATTAATACTAAATTTACACAGAATTTGGTAGAATTGATCTATAAGGAAACTATGTCTGAAAAGTCCATTGAAGAGCTCTTGAAGAAGCTTGCTGCCGGTGCGCAGCTCAGTGAGCCAGAGAAAAAAGAAATGAAGGATTACAAGTTCTGGAAGACTCAACCGGTTCCAAGTTTTGATGAAACAATCACTACTCAAGGTCCAATTGAAACTAAAACAATTGCTGATATTTCTACTGAACCATTACCATTATTGAAGGAATTTGAATGGGCTGATTTGGATATCAATAAGCAAGAGGATCATGATGAAGTCTTCAAATTACTTTATGAAAATTATGTTGAAGATGCTGATTCAACTTTCCGTTTTAAATATACTAAAGAATTCTTAGATTGGGCTTTAAAACCACCAGGATATCGTCGTGATTGGCATGTTGGTGTCCGTGTTAAAGCTACCGGGAGATTGATTGGGTTCATTGCTGGTATTCCAACTGATTTAGATGTTCGTTCTCAAGAAATTAAAGCTGTAGAGATTAATTTTATTTGTGTTCATAAAAAATTAAGATCCAAAAGATTAGCACCAATTTTAATCAAAGAAGTTACAAGAAGAGTGAATTTACAAGGTATTTTCCAAGCTTTATATACCGCTGGTGTTGTTTTACCAAGTCCTGTGAGTGTTTGTAGATATAATCATCGTCCAATAAATTGGAAAAAATTACATTCTGTTGGATTTAGTTATTTACCAGATGGTGTTTCAGAAACTCAAATGATTGCTAAATATACTTTAAGAAATCAAGGTAAAGTTAAAAATTTAAGAAGAGCTACATTAGATGATTTTGAAGGTGTTGAATCATTATTCACCAAGTTCCAAAAACGTTATGAATTAACACAAAAATTCTCCACTGATGAATTAAAACATTGGTTATTTGGTGATGCATCAATTAAAAATGAAGATAAAGTTATTCATACATTTGTTGTTGAAGATGAACAGGGTAAAATTACAGATTTTTTCAGTTTTTACCTATTACCATTTACAATTTTAGATAATAAAGAACATGATGAATTAGGTATTGCATATTTATTCTATTATGCATCAGATGTTGCATTTGACAAGGAAGAAAAAGAAGGTAATCAATTATTAAAGAAAAGATTAACAGAATTAATCGGTGATGCTCTCATAATAGCTAAAAGTCTTGGAGTTGATGTTTTCAATGCATTAACTACTCAAGATAATAATTTATTCTTACAAGATTTAAAATTTGGTGAAGGTGATGGTCTTTTGAACTATTACTTATTCAACTACAGAGTCAAACAAATCGAAGGTGGTCTAAACGATAAGAACCATGTCGACTACAACGATGTCAGTAAAATGGGTGTTGTGATGCTTTGAAGTGTATAAATGTTTTAATCTTTGTATGACGTTTCGGGTGTAGGCGCTTTTTCAAATTATCTCCGGTATAATATAAACTTTTCAATTCTGGATAAACCAATTCACATTCCCTAATTTATAATAAAGTTTTGTGACAAAGAACAAGGGGTAATTACTCGCTTGTCATGGTTATATGTCAATTATCTAAAAGGCTAGTTTGTGTCAAAAACTTGTTACGTTTGAAATTATATAAATAGGAGTTGAATGTATTTTATGCTTTCTGTGTTTGGTTGAAGTGGTGATATATGACAAATATAATGAGCAAAAAGGTTGATGATCTGAACATGTGCAAGTTTGATCTTTTATCTGACATATTGGGAGGTCCGTACTCTTTAATAATGGTTAATCAACTATCAATTAAGAGATTCATACATTTTTTCTATGGTTTAAGTAAAGCTTCTGAAGGTAAAAAAGTTCACAGGATTTATAAATTTGCTTTGGAAGGTTATAAAGGTATTTGGGAAGTTGAATTGATGAAAATTGAAATTGAAAGGCTCTCTATATTAGTTAATGTGGTTTTGGGTCATTTTAAAGGCTCTGACGAGTTTTGTGACGATATTTTTCCAGTCTTAGAAGAGTTAAGGTTCAATATTAGTAAAGGGAAAGTACAACAGAGTAGTCGTCAAATACTAAGAGATACGCTTTTCTCACTTCAAGAGTTCATCGATGGTTCAAAAACCTATAAAAAGAAAAAAATCAACTCAATAATACAAGATGACTTGAATATTCTGAAGGATTCTTTGAGCTTAGAAGTTAAGGTATTAAATCGTGAAGACTTTATGAACCTCCATAAGTTTCCAAAATTGAAAGAGAATATTACAAAACAGAATTCAATATACAATGATCACATTATTCAAAAACAAAAATCAAATGAAGTTGATGATTTATTAACAAGTGCTGAAAAAGAAAGTCAAGATGAATTAGACAAAAGACACGAAGATGTTGAATTGACCAAAAATTTGGAAAACATTAATAATAGACAGTTTGGAAATGGGTATGAAAATAAAGATAAGTTTAAGGCCCCTTCTAAGCAACAAAATACCAAGAGTCATCAGGTATCACCTGTCATTAATAAACAGAACCCATACCAATATTCTCTCAGAGATGATAAGTTGCGAGATGTGTATGGGAATGGTGCAAGATTTTCAAATTTTTGAAAAACAAGATACAGCACTCTTCTTTTCCACTAGAGATCATTTTTAATTGTCATTAATTTATCACCATAAATTATAAAATATTGATTAATGAACAAATATTTATCAATTATAGATATAGAATAATTCATCGCTCATGATATAGTATTGAGAATCGCAAATTTGAGCTTTCAATTGATCCTCGTGTGATTAGCTGTTTAAATTGAGAGCAGCAGGGCTACTTATGAAACATTCCTGATGAACCCAGGTTACCGGTGATATATCTACATGATGTATAGTTCAAAATTATCTATTACCTATTATTTATTAATTATTTAAATATACCTTTAAAAACACAAATATATATTCTAAGTATGTTGTTTTTCAACGCTTTCCTCATCATCTGTAGATACAAATTCAGCACCACCTTCAGTAGTATCTCTAGCATGACCATTTTCTTTCAAATATTTTTTATCATCTCTCTTGATTAAAATATAAGTTAAAACAGTTAATACTAAACCTAAAGCAGAAATTGCAGTTGTGAAAGCATAACCTTTCTTAAATCTTGGTGCTTGATCTTGATTGAAAACAGCTAATGAAATCCAAGCTGTAAAGATATAACTAATCATATTTGTTATAACAACAAGGAAATTTCTCTTCATATCATCATGTGCCATGTTTTTATTAACCCATGAAAAAATCATTGATTGACCTGATGATGAAGTAATGGCATAGAAAAAGAAACAAAACCATTTAAATCCTCTGTTAATATTCCATTGTGTTAATCCTGCATATGAAACAATACCTGAAATATACATAAATCCTAAGAAATATTGGGTAAGATTATTTTGGAAATAATCATTAACATAAGCACACACAATCGAGTAACCAATACCACCACCATTTATACCAGTTGGATAAATATTATATTCATAAGATGATAAACCTAAATCTTTCTTCATCCATAATGTAAACCCACTACTTGATAATGAAGCAACGTTTGTTAATCTATAAGTACAAAACAAAACTGGGAAGACCCAAATATGCCAAGTATTGAAAAAAGATTTGATCTTAGGCCATGAATAAGGTTCTCTTGTATTTAATTGAGCACCAATACGTCTTCTTCTTTCTAGTGCGACTAATTTATCTCTTTTACTGAAATACCATGCGTTTGTTGTTGATGGAGTATTTGGATCTGCAAATAATGTATAAAATCCGATTGGAGCTGAAATTATAGCATCAAAGATAAACATCCATTGGAATGGTTTCCATTTCGAGGTATGTGTGAATGTTGCTTGTAAAATACGTTGTTGTAATGGACCTGAAACTAAACCAGCTGCTGTACCGGCCGCATTGAATAATGTTGATCTTTTATTAATTTCCACTGATGAATACCATGAGCCAATCAAATATTCTAAACCTGGGAAATAACCTGCTTCTGTTAAGCCAATTAAAAATCTAATAGCATAAAGACCACTCATTGATTTTGGTAAAATCATTAAAACAGTTAAAAAAGCCCACAAAATTTCTAATCCCGCTAAATAATATCTGGCACTGATTCTATGTAAAATTAAATTTGATGGAACTTGACCAACAATATACCCCACAGTCCACAAAGTATTTAATAAGTTATAATCATTACCAGACATATTATAGTATTCTTTCATCCCATTAACATAAGCTGTAGAAACATTTGTTTGATTTAAAGTCTTGATGAAATAACCCAACATTGCAGATGATAACAAGAAGAAATCTAATTTGAAAAGGAAACTTCTTTCATGAGGATGTTTATCAGCTGAATCCCATAAAAAAACAGAAGTTTTATACCACCATGTTGAACGACGTTTTGCTTCTTCTGGTGTGATGTGGATTGATATATCAATATAAGGTTTGTCTTGAGCCTGTGTGTCATCAATCACAGAAACACCATCTGACACGACTTCCTCTTTGGTCTTGAATAAGTTCTTGACAATGGACATCCTGATCTTCTTGGTATTCTTAGCAGTTCAAGCTTTCAAAGAAACTCAAACGTTTCAACTCATCAGCAAGCCTAAGACCTTTTATACCCACAGTCATAAGATGAAAATTTGATAAGAAACAGTGGCATATTCCACGTATTTGCCACAATAACAAGCATCAGACATCTTTCAGTTTATAAGGGTTCAAAATAAAGTACATTTGCAAGGGTTTATCCAGATTTAGGAATCCTATAGCTGAAAACTATGGCGTTTGAACGTTTTTGGTAAAACAGCCACTTTTTTTTTGCGGATCTGCCACACTAAACGGTTTAAATTTTGATTGTATAGGAATAAATTCAACTGTTTATAGGAGAGTAAGACAGTAAACCCCAAGAGATCTTCCCGATTAGATCTGATTAAGTTGACTGTAATGATCAAGGGGGCATAGTTTGCTGTATACTTTTTCTCCTGGTTCATTTGGTGTAGATTTTGCTTTGATTTCAGTATTGCACTATTTTCAATCAATTTACACAATACACAATACACAATACACAATAATGCGATGACTGCAGTTTGCGATAGTGATCACTGATAAGTTGATAACTTTTCAGCGGAGATCATGAGTATCCCTAGGATCCACAACTTTCCTTGTGAACTTTACGGCCGGTGTACTTCATGCACAATAGAGATTAGGTTAATCCAAGTAGTAAAGATCTCTACATGATCAATCGTCTCTTGATTCACCTCATACATTCATGCATTCACCACGTTAAAACATCTTCTTCCTCTTCCTCATCAGTATCATCATCATTATTGTTGGCCCATTTCTTTTCCAACTTACCCAGATTATGTTCACAACTTTCCAATCCCATTGAATAACCAAGTTTTAAAAATTTTCTAATCAACTCTTGATCTTGAGGATAAATTGATGATCTACCCACTAACACAATGACGAAATTTAAATGTGTTATACAAACATTATCGAAATTTTCCACTTGATTTAAAACCTCAATAAATTTTAAAACTTGTTTAACTAAACTTTGAACTAAGATTGATGTTTTAGGTTGTTCCATGATCCTAGTCATTAACACTAATTTGGCAGCTATTGTATGACATTGATGACTTATATCATACCAACTATATGTTATTGGCTCATTATTTATAGTTATGGTTTGAATACTTTGAAAATTTTGAAAAGCTGATGTTTTGGAAGGATGATTAGGATTTGAATGTGGGATTATACCTGATTTATGGATGATTTCTCTATTTTGTAAATTGTTTAATTCAATCATTAAAGTTTCAATGGTTTCATATGTAACTATATTTGGTAATAAATCTGATGAAAGATGAGATTTTATGGGTAAATTTCCTTGTTTTTGCTTTTTTTTATAATCACGTATTTTGTTTAATATTTTGATTATTTGACAAAATACAAGATCTAAATCAATTATATGACCATTTAGATAATTAAATCCATGTAAATCAATCATTCGAAGTTTCTTCAAAGATTTAATATATCCGGCATCATTTGAAATGAATTTGTCTAAATTATCATTTTCAGATTGGAAAATACCACCATATGCATTGGTAATACCTGCTAAAACTTCATAGCCAATAACCCAATTCTTACAGAAATTTATTGTATCTGTTTGAACATTAATTTTTTTGAATAATTCTTTAGCACCTTTTAAATGAGCTCTCCATTTGGTATTTTTACTTGAAGCACTATCACTAGTTAATAATAAAATTGTTAATAACATAGGTTCCACTGTCTCAGTTCTCAAGTTTTCCTTTGAGAAATTTTCACTAAGAATATTCAAACATGATGATAAATATGAACAATAAGCTTGATCATCTTCAATTTTGGAGCTTTTCCTGAACGCAGTCCTGGCACCACAAGCTAAAATAGCATATAATAAGTATGGTTCTCTTTTAGCATAATTCAGCAAGACATCACGTATAGGATTCAATCCAATATTGGGCATCAATGGTGATAATGTTGTACTGAAATCATGATAATAAAATGCCAAATAATGGTTATGAGGATCACCAAGCGCAAAATAATCCAAAGGTATGTTAACAATAATATCTTTCCCCGGCCTGTCTGTTTCATCAAAATCACTAGAAAATTCTGTATTGAATGGATTTGCTGATGTTTCTTCAATGTATGTTCTTAAAGTTGGTGTAAGAGCTTCTTCTAACCTTGAATTAACAATATCGTTTAAATCATTATATAGTAGATTAGCATCTGATAGAGAAAAATTGAAATCTGAAGGCAGTACAACATCTGATAATGGTGATTCTGTATTTCTAGTGACCTGATTAACCAAATTATCAACCGAAAGCATTCTTAATCTTTCTCCTGACCCTGGTGTTGTTGATACATTCATCTTTTTCAACTCTTTCAATCGATCTCTTTCCATTTCAGCTTTTGTACGACGTTTCCTGTTTTTAGGATTCACAACGTATTCACATTCACGTCCTAATCGTTCACATTGCCAACATGTTGGTTTTGTTTCATCACACTGGAGGTGGTTTTAGTTAGCTTCTTTCTTGATTAATGTGTCAAAAAAATTTGGTATTTAATACTCACTTTCATTCGTCTCTTTTTGCACTCCACACATCCATTTCTCGAATACTTTCTTCGAGTAGTATCTTCTTGTCTGGTTTCCTCTGTCATATTTCCCACATGAAGTACTTTGAAGTTGATGATGGTGTCTTGTGTTGTATAATTATTAATGTTGATTTTAATATTTCATTGTTTTGTTTTTGCTGGTAACATTTTTTTCTTTCGGAGAAATTATCTCTTTTAGGTGAAGCGTTCCGGATAAATAAACAGCTGCAATTTAACCGTCCTAATAACCATGAAACCTACAAAAAATTTCGAAAAAATTTGTATAATTTATTATATATAATGTATTAAATAGTTACAGAGTTGATATGAAAATTTAATTACCAGACTTGTAATTCCTCGAACAAGTCAATACGACCTTTGGCACTTTGTAAATGTTTAGCAGTCAAAGCTCTAACAATATCAACCATCTTTGGAGGACCACAAGTCATCACACCGACAGAAGGACCAGCTTCATCTGTGAAATTTGTCACAATTATTTCCTCTAGGTTAGGTCTACCATAATGGAAAGCAATATGACTTGATAATGAGTCTATTATTTCAGTGATGGAGGAAGCTTTCGAACTATCAGAATCTGTGGATACCTTCTTTTCATCTGTACTGATGTTCTTTTCCAAACTTTCAGAACAATCAGTTGGCATCTTCCCAGTTATGTATATCTCTGTTTGAATATTTGTATGTTGAAGAGCTTTCAATTCATCATGGAACCAAAGTATAGCTTCAGGATTACGAATGACCCATCCCAATTTGATTTGTTGTTTTGTAGATGATTCACGTTTGGCTAAATCAATAGCGTGATAATATGGGCCTGGAATACCGTTACCACCTGCTAATAATAATGCTGTGTCATATTTTTCCATTGGTGCTCTATGACCATAAGGGCCTTCAATAGAAACTCTAATTGTCTTTTTGTTTCCTGGAATTTTGGATAATTGTTTGTTGATTCTTTTGGTGATACCAGCTTTGGTTTTGATATAGATTGTGGTAACATCTTTTTCAATAGCTGAATCAATAATTGTGAAAGGATGTGATTGCCAAAACATTGTAGGAGTAATGAAATAAACATAGGCATATGAACCTGGGAACGGTGCGAACAACTTACCATGCTTAACGGAAACTTTGAAAGTATCATCTGAAATCAATTCAATCTCAGCATTTCTAAACCCAAAAATACACATTCTAATAACTCTAAGCACCCTATCAAAAATCCAAACAGCCCATGATGCATAAATCCATTCTAACCAACCCATGTCATAACAATGCCACCAACATCCAACAATGAATAAAATTGCAAGAATAATATGTGTGACAAGAAATACTTCATATGACATATTTCTAAAGCAATGGAATGCTTGTATTAATATGAAAGCACCAAGAATTGTTGCAACAACACCCCATTTCCAATACGTTTCAGAATAGTATGACTTTAGATACCCTCTATTGACAGCATATGAAGTCCAGCATGCAGAATGGATCATAGCAGCTAACCACATTAGCCTTGCAACCCATTTGTGATAAACAATCATTGAAGTGTATGGAATACCAGTAAGTGAAGTTATTATATTGTTTCTTCCTGCAAATATGATCAATAATGGTATTAGACCAAAAGCAATAAGCCCCTCACGATCTGCAACAAAAATAGTAAAAGCTTGGAATCTTGAAGTCATTTCATAACCTGCAAATCTATAATGAACAGTTGAAAGTAATAAATTTAACATTATGAAAAAAAACACAACAATTGATTCAGCTCTTGTAGGAATCAAAGTTGAGAAAAATTTCCAACGTGATGGTGCTTCTGTATGTTCACCATTAAATAAAGCTGGAATTGAAATATTTGCACGATACCAGTTAATGACTTTGTTATTGAACTTTCTATGGAATCCTAATCTCTTAATGAAATTTGCAGCACCGAAAATGATAAAAATCAAAATAAAGTATAAGTACATCATACCGGCAAGCATTGAAGCTTCATCAAAATTGAAATATAAATATTCATAGTAAGACATGGAGTTCAATAAAGATTCTTTGGAAATGTTAATTGGTTCATAAAATTTCATTGCTGTGATGTTACCAGTCAAACTTTCTGGATCAATAAGATACTGTGTAGCATTTTGATATACATCTTGTAATTCTGGTATAGTGTAATTCAAGTGACCATATTCTTTACATAAAGTTTGAACTCTTTTCATTGATTTTTGAAAATTTTTTGATTCAGAACCCAAATAATTAGCAGCACAGTTAAGAATTGAACCAGTTAAAGGTGGGTATCCACATAATTTTGGATAGTAACCCAAAGAAGCATTGACACCAAAAGTATACTCTTCAACTGCTTCATTACAGGCATAAACAATATATTTCCATTGATAACCATATCTTTCAGTCTTGGAAGGACCTCCAGCTAGTACTTGACTGAATAATGAAACAAGACAAAAAATTAATATTGATATCTTCATAATATCCTCGAGAATTAATCAAGCTTTTGATGATATTGAAACTTGGCACTTCCCCAAGAAAAATCAGGAACCATACATCAATTTATACCTCATCTTTAGTTTATTATAACCCATTTCAATTAAGCTTAAAGATTTAAAGAACTTCCCAGTTAAAAAAGCTTCATGATCAGTTATAACCAACAAAGCACCGCTTAAGCATGATATTTATCGACCCATCTGCAGCAAAATTTCCGTAATATGGTGACATGTCCCTACTCCAAAGGATCTTCAGCATTAACTTTGAATCTTTTTTCTATGAAATTGTCCAATTTTTCAACAAACATGCAAGATCTTCTCCATTTCTGTTTAATTTACACCCGACTTGATTCGATCTTTTAGATAAGCTTAAATGACTGTTGAAGCGTTATTATTTTAAAAGCAGCAACAGTCTCTCCTTACTTCCGATCATCATCTCATGATTATTTGGAAATTATATGACCGTATTGGCTGGTTCATAAATTCATTGTGCTTGATTGGTTTGTACCTTGAATAATTTATCGTAAGTATTTCAAAGGCATCTCGTAAAAAATCTTCACTCTTTTTTTTTGACCTTCGTGCATTATGGGGTCCTACAGCCTGGACTTTTGAGCTGGGACGATGGGACTCGAGACTTTGGACATTAATAGCAGATCAACCGTTACAACTTACACTTACTGCAAATATATACAAACCCTTTTGTTCTCGTATTTTTTCAAGTAAGTAATAAGGTGTTGAGTTTTCCTTGCGTTTCTGTGATCTTCCACCTTCCCAGGGTTGTAATTTGAAAACCATTTTGCCCTATCATATTATTTACATTATACATCACTTGTATGCAAGTCTTTAGACTATTATATGGCCCTTCTATTAGGTTCATACCATAGGAGCTACATCAATTCCAACCTCCTTTAAAGCAATAAATTCATTAATTTTTATAAATGTTACAAAACCAGTTGTAATTTACCAAACTTGTAGTTCTTCAAACAAATCAATACGTCCTTTGGCACTTTGTAAGTGTTTAGCTGTGAATGCTCTAACATTATCAACCATCTTTGGAGGACCACAAGAAATAACAGCAACAGATGGACCTGATTCATCAGTGAAATTCTCAATAATAATTTTTTCAACATCTGGACGACCATAATGAAAATTAATATGACCTGACAATGATTCAATTAAATCAGTAATTGATGATGGTCTAGAGCTATCAGTATCCGATGAATCACCACTAACACCTGTTGTTGTAACATCCTTCTTTTCTTTATCAGAATCTGATGAGGAACTTTCAATTTTTGGAATTTCACCTGTAATATAAATATCTGTTTGAACTGTTAAATGAGCTAAAAATTTTAGCTCTTTTTGGAACCAAAATAATGCTTCTGGATTACGAAATGTCCATAATAATTTGATTTGTTGTCTAGTTGCAGATGCACGTTTGGCTAAATCAACTGCATAGTAATAAGGACCTGGAATACCATTACCACCTGCCAGCAATAGAGCTGTATCATATTTTTCAGCTGGTGCTCTATGACCATATGGACCTTCGATACTAATTTTAATGGTTTTCTTGTTTCCTGGAACTTGACCTAGATGTTTTTTTAATCTATTTGTAATACCAGCTTTGGCTTTGATGTAAGCTGTACATTCATTTTCATTTGAAGCTTCATCAATGATTGTGAATGGATGTGATTGCCAAAACATGGTTGGTGTAATAAAATAAATATAAGCAAAAGAACCTGGAAATGGTTTGAATAGTTTATTGTGTTTAACAGTAACTTTGAAGGTATCATCAGATATGAATTCAATTTCAGCGTCTCTGAATCCAAACATACACATTCTAATGATTCTTTGAACTCTATCAGCACCCCATATGGCCCATGAGACATAAATCCATTCCAAATAACCAATATCATAACAGTGGTAAAAACATGCAATAACAAAAACAATAGCTAAAACAATATGAGTAACCAAAAAAACTTCATATGACATGGTTCTGAAAAAATGATAAGCTTGTAAAAGTATGACAAAACTTGCAACGATACCAACTGTACCCCATTGGATGTAAATCTGCAAGAAATATGTACTGATTTCATTAAACATGATTGATCTATAAATATAAGTGATTGAATGAATAAATGCATTAATCCACATTAATCTTGCAACCCATTTATGATAATGAATAAACGCTTTGAATGGGATACCAGTAAGTGATGTTAATAAATTATTTCTACCTGCAAATATAATCAATAATGGAATCATTGAAAATGCAATAATACCAGTTCTATCAGAAACTAATTGTGTAAACATATAAGCCCATGTTCTTGGAGAATAATCAAAGTTGTAATGGAATGTTGAAATCAATATATTGAATGAGACAAATAAGAGTATAACAACGCTTTCCATTCTTGATGGAATTATAGCTGAGAAAACTTTCAAAAAACTTGGTGCTTCTGTATGTTTCCCATTGAATAAAGCTGGGATTTCAATATTGGAACGATACCAATTAATGTATTTATTATTGAATCTTCTTTGAAATCCTAATCTTTTGATGAAGTTCGAAACTCCATAAACAAGGAAAACGATAAGGAAGAATACATAATTCATACCACCAATGATTGAACCTTTATCTTGATTGAAATATAGGTTTTTGTAATATCTTAAAGTTTCAAACATCGTGTACTCGGGCATTTTAACTGGTTGGAAATATGTAATTTTCTTGATAGCTTTCTTATCAATTATACCTTTCTTAGTAATTGGTGGATCCACAGAATACTCAGTAGCATTTTGATAAACATCTAAAAGATATTCTAAAGTAATTTTCCCCTTGGTTGGTTTTTTACAACTTTTAGCTAATAATTCTAAGCTGCTATTGAAAGCTTTGTTCTTCCCTCCTAAGCCGTCACTCATACATAATACCATCGAACCTAACATTGGTTCAAAAGTACATAATTGTTTCTTTGTAGCTGCACTAGCAATATCTTCATCTTCACTTTCAAGATCTGGATCTTCATAATCATATTTAACAGGACCAATCATAACACCACATGCTTTTTGCATCCATTTATACGGAGGACCATAAGGTTTTTTGGTAGCTGGTTTAGCTGAAACCTGTATCAACAGTATACAGGCTATTATAAATCTGAAAAACTTCATTGATGATATTATAAATTTAACCAGAATGGAAAACCGTTAGAGCTAAAGCAAGGATTTTCCCATATTTAAATGTCTAATAAACGGATCTTCTCATCATTTATTACCATGCCAATCTCCATTCATCTTTTCCTTGGTTATTCAAACGCTTTCGCAGGCATGAGCCATATGTACATATGAGCGCGCCCTGATTCGATAATAGCTTCCAACTTCCAAGTTAGGATAGCATCTCATAAATAAACCTTTTGACAGCTTTATCTTACAATTACTTCCTTTAGTATCATGTCTATAAAACCACCAGCAATGCCTTAGCTGACTCTTTGTTGATGGTATTCGTAAACATTTACCTTGTTACTTTGAAATAATTTCTGTGAAATTTCGCGACCATATACACTGAAATTTATATCTTCAATATCTAAAAGATCACCAAGAACAACTCGGCCAAGGAAGTTTAGTACATTGAGTGCATGCCTTGTACACATTATAAATCGATTCTGCTCTATAAGTCTCAGCTTATCACGGTTTGTGACGGGTTTTCATAGCAGTTATTGGGTGATTTTCAAGCAAAGGAAGGTAATTTACAAGCTTTTCATTGGAAGAGTAAGAATAAAGCTTGGATGATGTGGTTTCGAATCTCGATATTATATAGGGGAAAGCTTAAACAGCAAGGGGGTTAGCTGTCTTAAAAAAAAGCTTGATCTTAACAGCATATAGTTTCATTATCAGATAGATCTAGTGGTACTGATCGAAGCCACGAAACTAGCTGTCGATGGTCAAAGGTTGAACTATATTGATTGATTTCGAAACATATTATATTATTCCCAATGAAATAGGAGTAGTGTACCACTATCATCATTTTCTAAAACGATTTCCAGCGATTAATGTGCTATTTAAAATCTGTTATCAATAACTAAGCATTACTAATGAGTTGTCAGCTTATCCACTAAAAGCTTTGTGATCAAATTTCTTGGTAGCCCATGTTCTGCTTATAGTTTGAGCATCCAAAAGCGCCTACATCCTCATTTTCACATGAATATATCAATTCTTTTATACTATTGGAATGAAGAATCTGGTTGAAAAAGCTTGGTATAGAAACGAGGAGCGTTGATCGGATCAGAGAATTATCTTTGAAAAAGGGACATCCTAAATCTCCAGAGTTGATAAATCCTTGATAATCTCAATCAGCTTCCAGTCACCAACGTTCAATAGTGAAGCACACCAGATCTTATGAGTTGTAGGTTGTGGGTTGTAGGGCTGAAGTGAAAAGCTCAATATCGGGTTTAAAATAAGAGTCCGAGACTCCGATCGCAATTATTTTAAGCTTAATTTTATGCAAGGTTTTTTTGGGCATAAAACTTTTTCAGGGCTATAAACGCTATAAAGTAAAAGGATATAATATATTTCATCTTTTGATAGGACCCTTGAATTGGGTTATCATAAAATTCCTGAGAGTTTACGTTAATGGGTTTGAAATCTTTTGTGCTATATATAACCTGATTCATTTCTCAACAATATTCAAGCTTTAAAGACCTCTATAATGTCCAAAAATTAACTGGCCGTGTCAAAAATTCTAGACTACATTAATATATGATTTTGAAATATATCTAATTATCTAGTTATATAAATATTCATATACATACATGAGCTCCTCCTAAATAAAAAGATTTTTGTGAGCTTTTAATAAAACCTAAATGACAAAATAAATACAGGCCAGCTGTAATGAACTACCAAACTTGTAATTCTTCAAACAAATCAATACGGCCTTTGGCACTTTGTAAATGCTTAGCAGTGAAACCTCTAACATTATCAACCATTTTTGGTGGACCGCAAGTCATAACACAAACTGAAGGACCTGTTTCTTCGGTGAATTCTTCGACAATCAATTGTTCAAAATCTGGACGACCATAATGGAAGTTAATATGGCCTAATGAATCAATAGCTTCTCTGATAGTTGATGGTCTAGAAGAATCTGCATCTGATGAGCTCCCGTTCACTTCAATAGTAGTACCTTCAGTTTTCTCCTTATATGAATCTGATGATGAATTATCAGATTTTTTCTCTTTATCTGAATCTGATGAGCTTTCATCATTGGGTATTTGACCAGTAATATAAATATCTGTTATAACACTTGTTTTAGAAAGAGCCTTCAATTCATCATAAAACCAAAATAATGTCTCTGGATTACGGAATGTCCATAATAATTTGATTTGTTGTCTTGAAGCTGACCCACGTTTAGCTAAATCAACAGCATGGTAATATGGACCTGGAATACCATTACCACCTGCCCATAATAAAGCAGTATCATATCTATTTGTTGGGCATCTATGACCATATGGACCTTCAATAGACACTCTAATTGTCTTTTTGTTTCCTGGGAACTTGCTCAAATAATTCTTCATTCTCTTTGTAATACCAGTTTTAGCTTTGATATAAACTGTTGTTTCATTTTCATTTATAGCACCATCAATAATTGTGAAAGGATGTGATTGCCAAAACATGGTTGGTGTGATGAAATAGATATATGCAAATGCACCTGGGAATGGTCTAAACAATTTATTATGCTTAACAGAGATTTTGAAAGTATCATCAGCAATCAATTCAATATTAGCTTTTCTAAATCCAAACATACACATTCTAATTACCCTTTGAACTCTATCACCACCCCATAAAGCCCATGAAACATAAATCCATTCCAAATAACCAATATCATAACAATGATACCAACATGCAACGATGAAAACAACAACTAAAACAATATGAACAGTTAAAAATGTTTCATATGACATTTGCCTAAAGCAATGGAAAGCTTGATAAATAATAACACCTGCAGTTGTTGTTGCAACAACACCCCATTGAATATATTCTTTATAATAATAGGTACCAATACGACCTCTAGAAATTGCTCTAACTGTGTACATAATTGAATGAACTAATGCATTACCAAACATTAATCTGGCAACCCATTTATGATAATGAATAAATGTTTGAAATGAAATCCCTGTTGTTGCTGTCAAAATATTATTTCTACCGGCGAAAATGATTAATAATGGAATATATCCAAATGCCTAAAAAAAAGGTTAGTATATGATCTGGTTTGAATAAATGAGGTTTATCGACATACCATAATACCAGTTCTGTCTGCAACATTTCCTGTGAACTGTTCGATCCATGTTGACTTGGAGTATTCAAAACTGTAATGAACTGTTGATAATAAGATGTTCAAAGCTAATAACAAAAAAATCACAATACTTTCCATTCTTGTTGGAATTAAAGTTGAGAAAATTTTCCATTTGACAGGAGCTTCTGTATGTTTACCATTAAATAAAGCTGGAACTGAAACATTAGCACGATAAAAATTTAAAAATTTGTTGTTAAATTTTGTATGAAGACCCAATCTTTTCATTAAATTTGAGGATCCAAAGAATATAAAAACCACTAAGAAATAACAATATGTCATACCTGCAAGCATTGAAGATTTATCCAAATTGAAATATAAAAAACTATAATATTTTGTGGTTTCTTTTAAAGATTTTGTTGGGACTCTAACTGGTTGATAAAAAATAGTTTTCTTTAATGCTTTTTTATCAGTTGGAGGATCCAATGCATATTCAGTAGCATTCTTATGTGCATCTTTCAAATCATCTATAGTCATATTCTTCTTCTTGTTTGTACCAAGACAACTTTCCTGTAACAAATTCAAACTTTTTTCAAAAGCTTTTGATTCTTCACCTAATGCATCACCTAAACATAATACCATTGAACCTAAAGATGGAGGATAAGTACATAATTGTTTTGTTTGGGATTTTGACTTTGCTTTTTTGCTACTACTTCCTTGGGCTGATGTATCATTATAACCATATGTATAGCTTGATAATAAAGTAGTACAAGCTGATTGCATCCATTTGTATTGAGGACCTATGACATATGTCTTAGCTGGCTTGGCCGAGACACATTGTAGTAATAAAACGAAAAATATTGGGATATAATGTGCCAACTTCATTTTTTGTTAATTTTTGGTCTATCGATCAGCTACTCGATATCTTCGATCAAATTTAACGGATATCTTCCAATCTTTATATACTAACAGATAAAGGAAAATCCCATTAACCTCATACGGCAATCTTATTCAACATCGCTGCATCATAGGGTTTCAAATTTCAATACTTGTATATGACATTCGATACGTTAAAACACACCTTGATTCGCTAGTCACAACTCACAGCTAGAATCAATTAACCACCACATCACACCAACAGGTACCGACGATCATTTGCAACATAAACGTCCTTGATCTGGCTCATGAAACCAAAAAAAAAAAATTCATGGCACCAATATCCATTATCGAAAAGCATTCCCAATCATCTTCTGGACCTCGCTGTGGACAGTGTCTACCCTTGGAGCTTCATCTAATTCTAGTTTATAATTGAAATTGATTTTTGAAATAATTTGCATATTTTCTTTTTTGAAGGAATTCGCGGGCTTTATTTTTAAGCTTAAATATAGATATCTAAAAGATCATATCAGTTGGACAAGAGGGAGTTTGTGCAGATTTTGTGCAGCTCGGTTTATTTCCTGGCCTTGGCCCTGTATCTTTTGGTACCCTGAAGTATAATCGTATCATTCCAACGGGTGATTTTCACCATCATGAAGGTAATTTGAGATCGTGTGATTGGAGAGATCTGATAAACTGATATATACTTCTGGAAAAAAGAAGTTGCTCTAGATCTACACCTGGAGTCTTTTTTTCTCCATTACATATTGACAGACAGAATAAAAATTTATATACATCTTTACAGCTTTAGGTACAAAAGTCTTTTTTGCTTGGAAGCTTGGAAAAACTTGGTATCAGAGGTACCTAGCATTGACATGTATTCTTGCTGTGAAGCTTCAAGGGGGTATAAACTACTTACACTAGAGTCATTAAAGAATTGTGATCAGTAAGTATGTATTGTGGGTTTTCAATCTACTATATCCATAATCCTACGGCCTACGACCTGCTGCCTGTTGCTACTGAATTTTGATTCTTGGGTGTTCTAATTATGCGTCGTAATTAACCTTTATGGGATCAAGTTTTAAAAAAATGAGTGTACCTACTACCTAAGTTCCAACGGCATTATAAAATAAGCTTAAATTAAATATACGAAGTGATAATAATTGAAGATTCATGTTGATCGATTTAAGCTTATTATAGGTCTTTATATAGATAAGACATAAGATACATAAGGTATATAATATAAGCAGCTTAAAATGTGAAAGCTCGGGGCTTAATCCCTCTCTATCCATCTATATCAACACATATAAGTCAAATTATTATCATGGTAGTACTTATGTCCCAGGAATTTCTCATCCAGTAATGTGATAGTACAGTGTTTGATCGCACTTATTTTAAGCTTTTTATGGGCATATGCTAATGCCATACAGCTTATACCAAGCTTGATTGTTTTAAAAAAACATGTCAAAATTTTTTTTATGACACCCAATTTTATTACTTGAATGTTCCTGCTTATTATTTAATTTTGATGAGGTCCTTTCAATTATTCAAGGCAATTAAAGTTTGAGGTGGCTCGTGGTAAAAAAAGTACTTAATAATAGGCGAAGTATAGGGGAATTAAGTGGTTTCAACTTGAATTATAATTCTTGCCATTGGCTTATGTTGATCAAATGTGATTGTAATATCTGACATTTGTATGGATATTTGACGAAGATTTACAGGTGTAAAGTTCAAGCTAAAAAAATTTATTTGATCCGAATTATGTGACCACTGACCACTGACCACCACCTGGGCTTATGGCTTATGGCGTATGAACTTATAAGTTTGAAGTAGAATTTTAAAAGCATTTGATCAAGTAAGCTTCCGGTATCTTGATCTCTTGATGCTCATTGCTCACTGTTCAGGCGGAGTTAATATTACCTTATTAGACAATGGGTATGTATGAATCATTATACCACCAGTACCAGTTAATCGTAGTATCGCAACTAATCATTCATTTGGAGCTCTCTCCATCGATCAACTTCTCACTACTACTCACTCATCCTTTACTTGACCTTCAAGCTAGCCTTGGCCAACTCTTCGATTAATTCTTTTGGAAAGTGAGAAAGTTGTTAATCAAGTACATGTAGACATGTAGAGTTATATTAATGCGTTTGCTTCACCATCATGCAATAGCTAGGCCATTTTGAGAGCTTAGAATCGCTAACATGATTAAACTTGAAAGAGATTCACTCTATTCTTTGGTAACATCTGACGTTATAGTTCTTGTAAATTGAAATTTGAAATTTGATCATATAATATACTTCAGATTATGTAATCGATATTATGTAATAAATTACTCTAATTAATATAGAAATAGTTATAGACAACCATTTGTACTAAAAGCTATGATTTTTATAATATAATCTTGTTTCAGTGAATTTTTCCCATATTAGTATACTATTCTTTAGTCTCAAACAAGGGTTTGATCAAAAATAAATTTATTAATATATACACTTGTAACGGAGATTCCTGATTTTTTTGTATGTAGGGGACTAGGCGAAAATTAGGCTGAAATTGACAGCTCATAAGACCATATATAATTAATATTGGGGCCTACGCAAAACTCCTTCCTTTTTGGGAAGGGGCTGGGAGGACTCAGATTTCGCGTCCGGGTTACTCACTAATGGCCGGGTTACTCTTTTAGCACGTGACTAGGGCTCAGATTTTGTCGTGTCAGAACCATATGCAGTGCATAAACGTCAAACGCGTCGTGATTGATATGCATGCATATTTTAGTAAAAGCTAAATTTAGATTGGGATAGAAATTACTCGAATGGACTGAAATTTACTGCAAAATTAAAATTAAAAATGAAATCAAATGTAAATTTGAAAATGCTATATAAATTATATATGGTGATTATGTAATCAAATATCATTCAAATGAACAAATTGAAACCAGCATTAAAAACAACACCAAAAGCATCAGAACAAACGCAGCAGAGCAACCCCAATGACAATACCAATGACAACAATGAGAGCACCTAAACCATAAGAGCCAACAAAGCGAATAGCAGCAAACCCAGCAGAATAAACCCAACAACAATAACAATGAGAGCATCTAAACCATAAGAGCCAACAAATCTAATTGCGGCGAACCCAGCAGAATGAACCCAACAACAATAACAATGAGAGCATCTAAACCATAAAAATCAACAAAATGAAATAAACCAAAGCCAAATTGAACAACAACATAGAATGAACCAAAATCAAATTGAACAACAAAATTGAAACACGACAACAGCTTCACCAACAGTCTATATACTATATAAATTATAATGAATAAATGTTAGTAATTGATCTTTCAATAATATATGTGTAACTAGTACTTACTATTAATTGACTTGTAAATATAATGAATTTGTATAAAGATAAAAAAACTTAAAGAAAATAAAACGAAGTTGAAAAAAGAGGGAACTGGCCCTCTATTTATAATTTTTCAGGTTCTTTCGTATGTTTCAAGTGGTAAACATTTTTGAAAAAAAATCTCTAAGAGTTAAAAAAATAAAGTTAACTTATTGGCTACTGGTAAGTACTGTGCATACATAGTTAAGCCCAGAATTCGCAATTAGGATGATCCAATTAGGAAACCACCCCTTCAGGACGTGCTACATTCCACATGAAATGTTCTGGCCTGATCCTTTTCTACTTTTTATACCTTGTTTATGGTCATAGATGCACATTTTCACGCGTCAAATAGTTTTGTATACATCTTCACCAGTTTTTCAAAGATCTCCGTGATTTTGGTGATCGCAGATCTGACCAGGGTGGAAGGCTTGGTCAATCTAATGCATCAACGTACATAACACCATATATATAGGGTGGACTTTTGAGCTGTCATAGCTAATTGAATTCAACTAAACAACTAAAACTAATGTCACCAAGCCCATAAATGTGTATTTAAAGATAACATAGACTCCTTATTTGGGTGTTCTAGCTCAAATTTCGAGTAAACATAAGGCTGTTATGATTTTTTGGAAATTCGCGAGAGCAAAATCAAAACAAATCACCACAGCAACATACCAAAAAAAAGTTTCGACCAGACTAAAAACGGGGGTGAAACAATACCCTCCCTTGTTTATCTCTCGTCTAATCTATGGGATTTCTTTGTTAAGAACTAAAGAGCTGATAGTAATCTTGCATATCGATGTGTCAAAGATATAGAGCTCCATACTTAAGAGCTGATTACCTCCACATTATGTAATTTGTGGGCGAGAAAATCCGAAGCAACGGAAAATTATTATTAACTAACAACATTTGTATTGTAATATAGTTTTTTTACTACATTTATACTAGTTACTCGGACAAAGGAATACTATAAACCAGTTTTTGGGTGGTTTTTAAGGATTAAAGTTTTTAGATTTTTGGATCATTTTAGTTTGAAAGTAAAAATAAAATTTTTAACGTCCACTTTTTTCCTGAATGCAAAGAAAATCCAATTTTATTTTCTCGAATTAAATAAAAGTGAAATGCTAATGATAAAATATTGAGTCCTAGGATCATTTACATGTATTTAATGTTTCATTCAACCAACGTTTAAAAGGTTTAATTCAAGCTTCAAATACTTTTGGAAAGCTCTGATAACTAATCCGTTACATAACAAATTTCCTTCTTAGGCAAATAAGTCCTAAATACGTAAAATGCGAAGCAAATTGAGTCATCTCCGAGGGTAGGGTGAGGTTTTTGGGTGAAAATGCTAAATAAAGATAAATTTATTCAAGTAGAGGAACAAAAAGCTGCTGAACTACATAATGAAATTAGCAACATTAGATCTAGAGATATTAATGATAATGGCCATGATACAGCTAGTCTTGGGGAATCATCAGATCTTGTTGATGCAAATTATCAGTTAAACTGGGAGGATGTCCTAAATTGAACTTATAATATACACATATTTTAGTGCTTAATATAAAATTAATCCAGCTAAATTGTAGTAGTTTTTTTGATGTTGATCCAAAAAAAAATATCAATAAGTTCCAATAAATTCTCGAGAAATCCTAGATATTAGAAATAATAAACTTATCTTATTGATAATAGACGTGTCTGGACTCTGCACGTTTCAAAAAGATGAACTCAATCAAATATACAATAACCGATAAATAGCTGCATGGTAGTTTTGTATATTGGTAGATATAAATAAGTGGTAATCACCAAAATCAAAATCAAAATCACTAGCTCCTTTGGTGACTTTTAAAAGATATAAACATGAAACGTTGTAGTCCAATTATATCATTCCTTATTAGATCATTTTTTCAAGTGATGGGATCAGAATAATCATTATATTAGTGAAATCAAGAATTATTAGTTGTAGTTGACTAGTAAAATCTGAAATTAAGACTCTGAAGTTTGAACAATTTGCAGCGTACTTATAATTTAAACCGGTGAGATTCACAATTGATCTATATTATAACTCCCAACACCCATGTATAACGACGTAACCGGCATAATGAATCACCTTATATTCCCACTGAATGTTTGTGTATGACTTGACATAAGGTACTTTTCAAACATGGTGCTTCTGGCTTTGATAATGTTGTTGTTCAATATTAATATCATGTATGATCATAATTTACAATTTCAAAGTCCAAATTGACTCTTCACGGATCGAGTCTTGAAATCTATAGAAGGAGCCCTCCCTAAGAGCTAGGCAGAGCAAAATCGCTAGACAGAAACCTCCCATCGATTTTTTTGAGTTCCCAATATAGTTAAGGATTTCGAGATTTTGAAATTTTTGAAAAATGAAAAATTAACTATGGGGGACTTTTTTTCAAACTTGGGTCTACTAACAAAATCCGCGAATTCCAGTTACAAGTGTATTTCAATATATTTATTTTGAATTTTTGATTTCAAGTTAGAAATAAATTTTATGATGTCATTAAAATTCAGAACTTCAAAATTTTTAAAAAATAAAATTCCTTATTTAAGGCTCAAATTACTATAAATATATTAATTTATTTATTTTGTTATGACTCCAGTAATAAGCTAGATATTTCAGTCATTGTGTGGTTTAAAATTGAGTTTATAAATATTCATAGCTTCAAATATTGGTTCGAGACACATACTAATAGCCATATATACACATTATAAACTAATTAAGAGCTCAGAATTACGCCATGGATGATAGAAGTATAAAGGAAGTGCTGCTATAAGTCAGCTGAAACGTAAAACATAGTATCTACTCACTAAAAGCCTAAAAATGTAATCGGGGTTCGTCCTGTAAATGTTGGCTAAATCACATATAATACTACACACATTTGTCTATTATAGATTTTGCATTAAAAACCCTATTTATCATTAATTTATTTACCAAACTTGTAATTCTTCAAACAAGTCAACCCGACCTTTAGATTTTTGTAAATGTTTAGCAGTTAAAGTTCTGATTGAATCAACCATTTTTGGTGGACCACACGACATTACTGCAACAGATGGGCCAGATGCATCAGTAAAGTTTTCTAAAATTATTTCCTCCATCAATTGATCCATTGGCTGTAGAAATTTCTGCACTATGACTATCATCTCCAGATGAATTCTTTTTCTCACTATCTGATTCCTTCTTTTGTATTGTTCCTGTTATGTAAAAATTTGTCTGGACATTTGTATGTTGAAGGAGTTTCAACTCTTCATGAAACCAAAACAAAGCTTCTGGATTACGAACCACCCAGTTTAGCTTTATCTGTTGCTTTGTGGATGATCCACGTTTGGCCAGATCAATAGCGTGATAATATGGACCTGGAATACCGTTACCACCTGCTAATAGTAATGCTGTATCATATTTCTTCATTGGTGCTCTATGACCATAAGGACCTTCAATAGAAACTCTAATTGTCTTTTTGTTTCCTGGAACCTTCGATAATTGTTTGTTAATTCTTTTAGTGATACCAGCTTTGGTTTTGATATAGATTGTGGTAACACCTTTTTCAATAGCTGAATCAATAATTGTGAAAGGATGTGATTGCCATAACATTGTTGGAGTAATGAAATAAACATAGGCATATGAGCCTGGAAATGGCACAAACCACTTACCATGCTTAACTGAAACTTTAAAAGTATCATCTGAAATCAATTCAATCTCAGCATTTCTAAACCCAAAAACACACATTCTAATAACTCTAAGCACCCTATCAAAGATCCAAACTGCCCATGAGACATAAATCCATTCTAACCATCCTAAATCATAGCAATGCCACCAACATCCAACAATAAATAGAATTGCAAATATAATATGAATGATAACAAAAGTTCCATAAGCCAAGTTTCTGAAAACATGGAAAGCTTGAACAAGCATAACAGCACCAAGAACCGTAGCGAAAGCACCCCATTGCCAATAAGGTAGCTTATAGTAGATTTCTAAATAGTTTCTATGAATGGCGATTGCAGTCCATCCTGCTGAATGAATCATTGCATGAATCCACATGACCGTTGCAACCCATTTATGATAAAAAATAAAAGATGTGAATGGGATACCAGTTAATGAAGTTAAAATGTTATTTCTTCCAGCAAATATGATTAACAATGGAATTAATGCAAAACTCAAAAGACCAACACGATCAGCAACAAAGTTGGCCATTATGATAGCCCTTGAACCTTCAGAAGGATAGTCAAATGAATAATGAACACATGATAATAAAATACTCAACATCAGAAATAGGAAAACAACAATGGATTCGACTCTTGTTGGAATCAGTGTTGAAAATATTTTCCATTTAACGGATGCTTCAGTATGTTTCCCATTGAATAGAGCTGGAATTGAAATATTTGCACGATACCAATTGATCCACTTGTTATTGAAATTTCTATGGAATCCTAACCTTTTGATTAAGTTTGTAACCCCATAACAAATGAAGACAATGATGAAAAAAATATACATCATACCTCCAAGCATAGATGCATCATCTAAATTAAAGTACAAATATTGGTAATATGAGAGCATATCTGCGAGGTCAGCTTTTGTAATATTCAATGGTTGATAAAAAATCATTCGGGTCATATTTCCAGTGATCTCACTCTTGTCCAACATGAAGCTTGATCCATTTTTGAAAATGTCCATCATATCATCCATAGTATAGTTCATTTGTGCATAAGCTGAACAATATCTATTAAAACTCTGTAAACCTTTTTGAAAACCTTTAGATTCAAATCCCAAATTATTACCTAAACAACCAACAACAGAAGCAGTTAAAGGATGATAACCACACATCTTGGGATAATTATTCTTGACACTAGTACCAAATTTATATTTATTCAAATTTGTGGTGCAAGCAAATGGCATCCATTTCCATTTAATACCCATTCTCTCCGTCTTTGTTGGAGATGAAGCTAATGATATTCCACATAATGCTTGAATTAAAAATATATAAAAAAGTTTATCAAAGAGCTTCATTGTCTAATGCTTTTAGGACCCTTAATCAGCAGCAGATATCCAAGATCAACATATTCAATAAAGGTTCATGGATCATGTTATATAAGATTCCCATAAGTTTCTGCAGTAAAAGTTTTCATCAACCAACAAGTTACACAAGGCATAATAGTCCTTAGATTTTTCAAGTCATATACAACAGGAAGACGCTGATTGGACTGAGCTCTTTCATATATGCTATTCTAACAGACCACCACTACTAATATATAGGAACTGCAACTTGAAAAGGATGAAATCATCACTGTTCATGAAATCTATTGTAAATGCATAAAAACGATCAGGGTTTGGAGTTTAAAGGACTTTCGAGAACCCTCCATGAGACACTTTAGACAAAATTCACAATTAGACCCAAAAAGAATGATCGAGACAAGTGGTCTAATATAACATACATATCATCTGGATAACTCGGTTGAAATATGGACCTTTCCACGTCCAGACTCCAGCGTACGTATTTATTCACTAATCAGTTGGATGTTCAAACGGAGGATCGACTTATTTCTAGTTGATCAACGGTCTTCGGTTATTCACGAGTCATCTGGTCTTTTTGTGCATCCTAGACCTATAGTCTTCTTATTTTTGAGCTTTGGATACTTGATGTACATATAAATAAAAGTAGTTTTAAATAAATTGAATAATATTAACATATATACATATAATATAGCTCTTTGAGCTTTGTAATAAATTATAAATAGGGACTATAGATCCTACTCCGATCACCAAACTTGTAACTCTTCAAATAAGTCTACACGACCTTTAGATTTTTGTAAATGTTTAGCAGTCAAAGCTCTTATGGTATCAACCATCTTTGGAGGACCACAAGACATAACTGCAACTGAAGGACCTGATTCATCTGTGAAATTTTGCAAAATAATCTCTTCCAAGTTTGGTCTTCCATGATGGAATGTTATGTGAGGTAATGAACTTATTAATTCATCTGATGTTGCAGGTTTGGATTCATCTGATTCTGTTTCCTTCTTGACATCTAAATCATCACTTGCAACTTCCTTTTTTTCTTCAATTTTATCCAAATCAGCATGACCGGTTATGTAAATATTAGTTTCAACATTTGTATGAGCAAGAACTTTCAATTCATCAGCAAACCATAATAAAGCTTCTGGATTACGAATGACCCAGTTCAATTTTATTTGTTGTTTTGTTGAAGATTCACGTTTTGATAAATCAATAGCATGATAAAATGGACCTGGAATACCGTTACCACCAGCAAGTAATAAAGCAGTATCATATTTCTCCATTGGTGCTCTATGACCATAAGGACCTTCAATACTTATTCTAATTGTTTTTTTATTACCAGGTAAAATTGACAATTGTTTGTTTAATCTCTTAGTAATACCACCTTTTGTCTTAATGTAACAAGTTGTAACATCAGCTTCAGTTACAGAATCGACAATTGTGAATGGATGTGATTGCCAAAACATAGTTGGTGTGATAAAGTAGACATAACCAAATGACCCTGGGAATGGCATGAACCATCTACCATGTTTAACAGAAATTTTGAAAGTATCATCAGCGATCAATTCAACTTCAGCATTTCTAAAGCCAAACGCACACATTCTAACAACTCTTAATAATCTATCAAATATCCATACAGCCCATGAGACATAAATCCATTCTAACCAACCAAGAGACAAACAATGATACCAACAACCGACAATGAAAACAACAGCGAAAACAATATGGATAAACACAAAAGTTTCATAAGCCATGTTTCTAAAGACATGGAAAGCTTGAAATAAAATAGCTGCACCAATAACAGTAGCAAAAACACCCCATCTCCAATAACCATCTTGATAATAATAAGCTAGTGCATTATTTTGAACACCATATGATGTCCATCCAACAGAATGAAGCATAGCATGGATCCACATAAATCTAGCAACCCATTTGTGATAAACAATCATTGAGGTATATGGAATACCAGTTAAGGAGCTTAAAATATTATTTCTACCTGCAAATATAATCAATAATGGAATCAAACCAAAAGAAAGAAGACCAGTTCTATCAGCCATGAATTCAACTATTTGTAATGATGTAGGTTCTTGTTTTGATCTAAAACTGTAGTGAACAGTTGCTAATAAAATATTGAGACAAATAAATAAAAACACAACGATGGATTCTGATCTAGTTGGAACTAAAGTTGAAAATATTTTCCATAATGTTGGTGCTTCTGTATGTTTACCATTGAATAAAGCTGGAATAGAAACATTAGCACGATACCAGTTGATGAATTTATTGTTAAATGATCTTTGGAAACCTAATCTTGTGATGAAATTTGCAACCCCAAAGACAATGAAAACAATAATGAAAAAGACATACATCATACCAGCTAATAGAGAACCTTCATCGTAATTGAAATATAAATATTCATAATAAGTCAATGAATTTTGAACGTCATCTCTTGTGATGTTAATTGGTTGATAAAAAACAGTTTCTGAAACATTCCCAGTGAATTGATCCAAATTTATAGCATATTCAGTAGCATTTTCATATAACTCTTTCAATTCTGGAACTGTATAGTTATGGTTCCCATAGTTTGCACAAGTTGATTGAAATCTAGTTATAGCTTTATCAAATGCAGCATCACCCAAGTTATTAGCCATACAATTAACAATTGAACCAGTGAATGGAGCATAACCACATAACAATGGATAATATTTAGTAATGTTTGTACCAAAAGTATACTGACTTAAAGCTGTATCACAAGCGAAAACCATCCATTTCCATTTGAGTCCCAGTTTTTCAGTTTTAGCAGGTGATTCACCTTGAACACCAGTTGCCAAGAATGCAAAGAGGAACAATAAATAAGTTTTGATGTTCATTGTGTTTGATTATGCAAAAAAGAAAGATATACACAAATTAATGATCTGTGAATAAATATGGGGATTCTATTCATTTTATATGATCATTGTTTTGTAAATCTTCAAACATGTTGATGATGGATCTTCCATAGCTTCCCGTATATTGGTTTTAAGATCCAAATAGTATGCATATTAATACCCAAATGCTCTTTAAAACCGTCTTGTGGGTTGTGGGATCATTGTTTTGTATAACTTCTCTGTGTGTTATACGGTGGGAAAATTTGGAGCTGCATATAATACGTTATAATCTGCCTTTTTGAACACCATTTACTGGATAGCCATAATCTTTAGTGATAATACCCTCAAATATGGAAATCCAATCCGTTTTCTTCAATGGTATAATTTGAATACACCCGACTTCATTGGATCTTTTAGATAACTTTAACGAAAAAGAAACCTTATTTGTCCAACGCTTATCGATTTAAACACCGATAATTAATTTAAGCTAGAAAATTTTTCTTTCCAAAGGAAATTTTTTATTGAAAATTTCCAGTTCATGTACCTTTTTGAATCACTATTCTATATGCACGTCGTAACTGACAAGTCCCAAGAGCCAAGACCATGTCAAGTGAATATCTTGTCTTGATTTAATTTGACACTTTTGATGATGATTCGATAAGTATTCAATCTATCACAAGTATGATTTTTGATTGGTATGAGTAACCTGTATTTGTGAGACCGTAGAAGACTTCACAAAGAACAACAAAGTAGAAATGGTTCACCACTCATGTGTTGCATTCCATAAGATAGACGTACTAAGTCGGGCAAAGTTTTTCATGGTGATATTATTTTTCAATATTATTAGTCCCCGAGGTTCGCGCTGAAGGAAAACAGCCAATTCGGCTTCAGATAAAGTGTTTATAGTTAATGAGGTGATTTGAAAGATGATTATTCCAATTTAAAGCCCAAGTAGCAAACACTGAGAGAGCTTAACAATACCCAAGTGACAGATACTTCTGTGAATTGTAATAAGTATATTGAAAGGGTTGTAACTTGTTGTCTTTAACATCGAAATCGGTAATTCAAGTCTAGTCTCTGATCTCGAAAAATATCTTTTAGATAAAATTGACAACAAATTGCTGTTTAACCGTCGATCAAATATTGTCCGATTTTGAAAAAAATATACTACAACATGAGATTTTAAAGCAGGCTCGAATTCAAATCCTAACGTTTCTAAGCCCATTTAAGAAACAGTACCGCTTTACTGGCTGCTTTATTTTTTATAAGTGGTTATTTTCTGGGGATTTGACTTTTGGCTAATTGGCGATGTCGTGGTTATTAGTGAAAATAACGTATCATGATTATGTTTGAACTTATGTGTTAGCATCATGATTCATGAATAGAAAAGATTTATACCGGAAGATCAGGAAGATCAGGATGGTACTCCAACAGGGTCCAGGGTTCAAGGCTGCCCTTTAAACTTTTATGACTTCGGCAGTGGGCACTGGGCAGTTAATTGATCATGCTTTAAACTTTGAAATGCAACAATAATTGTAGCTGCTGCAGCAGAAAGATGATCTGCCTCTTTTACAACTGATATAAGCGCCAAATTTTTTTGAATGCTCTAGAGTCGACAATTACCTAAGGAAGCTGTCCAATTAACTATCATAATGATTGATTACAAGCTGACACTATAAGTACATGTATCATCCAGAAAGAAATGTATTTTGAATATATAGGTATTGTGTATACTGTTAATTGGGTCATATCGAGTTCTCCAACCCCTTCTTTATGTTGAACGTTGAACTATCCACAAATAATCGATGTAGGCACGGACGAACTTGGTAGTTAAAAGTTAAAACCGTTGTATAATCTAATTGATCAATCAGATAACCCTAAAAATAAGCTTAATTGAATGCAAAATATTGGCTAGTTTTCATTTCTACAGTTGACTTTTTTGAAGTTCATACGCATATAGTTGCATAGTATAGTCTCATTATTTAACCACTGATCGGGTCTAAAAAGTCTCTTAATTAGACAAATATAATAATGGACAATGATCACAACAAGTAAATAGCATGTGAAGGTGATTTATTGGAACTGATTTTTAGGTAGTTAAACAAATTAATCAAAGCTGGTTTAATATTCAAGGCGAATATACAAAAGTTGATTTAAAGAATCATGAAAGCAGGTGGTGATTATATTTATGACTATATATTTCTCTTCTGGGGTCAACGCCGTGTTTTTCCATAAGTCAGACAAGTGCTTTTGAGTTAAAACTTCTATAACAGTGAATTTCAACATATAAGCTATACATTCATCAAAACATGGACTGTTTTGTAGTACGACACGAGTTACCAAAGACACAGAACAGTGATATAATTTGCATGCCCATTTAAGTTATTGACGAGGTAACTCAAAACGATCATAACTCACAACACACAAATATAATCAGTTTGAAGTAAGTGATATGGTGAGATTGATAATGATGCATTCATTTCTTTGAGTTCCATTGATTTATTCACTTATATGTATATGACTCAACGTTTCTGATAAGAAAGGCTCGACGATCAAGATTCCAATACTTCCCCATATATAAGATAGTCCTAACCTCATATCATATAACTGACTGCTAATAAATCATTATTTCACACTAACAAAACATCTAAATATAACTTCTGTTCACCACCAAGAATTTGCAGCTACTCACAAACATTATCACTTAAGTCAATGTTGAAATGAAAGTAACTTGATCATCATCAACAAAAATTTCAACAATAGAAATAAATACCCGCGAAACTGAAAAGAGAATAAAAAATATCGGTGTCACCACAACAACTAAACAACTAAACAGGCCATACAAACTCCAACAAAGAACTTGATTCATTACTCACATATAGAACATACCAAGGGAACTGAGATAGAACAGTCGGTGAACTATATTCCAAAAGAAAAACCAAGTCTCATACAACCATTATACACCAGAAGGGCCCTTTCCAATATAATAAAGAAACGTGCTTACAAAAGTTCTTTAAATATTCAAAATGAGTGTATTCACCTTAGATGAAGAAGAAGAAACACTACATAATGATTTTCAAGATAGATTTTCAATAAGTGAACCATTAGATATTCCACATAGAAGACGCAAAAGTTCAACTGCGTCAAATAGAAATACTCCGAGTCATAGATTAGGTACATCTGTGGAGATTGGACTGGAAAAATCTTATATTAGTTCTTATGCTTCAGAATCTGAAATCCCAATTAATGATAACTTATCAAAATCACCAGTGAAAGTCACAGTCACTTCAGATGTTAAATCTGGGAAACCAAAACCTTCAGATTTTGAATATATTAAAGTTTTAGGTGTTGGTTCATATGGTAAAGTTTTATTAGTACGTGAAAAAAAAACTGGTAAATTATTTGCTCAAAAACAATTGAAAAAAGCATCTATAATTATTCAATCTAAAACCGTGGAGAGAACTATTAATGAAAAAAGTATTCTTGAAAATATTGATCATGGATCTATAGTTAAATTATTTTATTCATTTCAAGATAATGATAAATTATATTTAATATTGGAATATTTAGATGGTGGTGAACTTTTCCAACATTTACAACAAGAAAAGTTCTTAAGTGAAACAAATGCAGCAGTTTATTTAGCACAAATGGTTCTTGGATTGGAACATTTACACAAGATTGGTATAGTTTATAGAGATTTAAAACCTGAAAATTGTCTACTAGATTCAGATGGATATCTTGTGTTAACAGACTTTGGGTTGAGTAAAGTTGGACTGAATGATGATGAATTATGCACTTCATTAATTGGAACACCAGAATATATGGCACCAGAAATTTTACAAGATATACCATATGATTATGCAGTTGATTTTTGGTCATTAGGTTGTGTGATGTTTGATATGCTTACAGGGTCACCACCATTCACTGGTAATAATAACAAGAGAATCATGGATAAGATATTGGCTAATAAATTTAAAGTTCCATTTTATTTATCTGCAGATGCTAAAGATTTATTATTACGTCTTTTAAAGAAAAATCCAGATAAAAGACTGACAGATTTTGAAACTGTTAAAAAGCATAGATTCTTTAGAAAGATTAATTGGAGCGATATAGAGAATAGATCATTTATACCACCAATTGTTCCAATAATTACAGATCCTATATTGGCTGAAAATTTTGATAATGAATTTACAGAAATGAGTATTACCCCTGTGGGATCACCAATGAATGGCATGATTATCAAACAATCTAATGGAACAATAGATAACGATCCTTTCAAAGGCTTCTCTTACACAGACAAGGGTTATTCTCATATTTATACATAAATTATTAGAATTATATATTTATTCATCACTATAATTATGTAATCATTATGTAATCAATTTCCGCGAATTCTCCCCCTTCTCATTTCTGATTTTTCTCATTTTTGATTTCAAAATTCAAAACCAACCTCCCAAAAAAAAAGATTAGTTTCCTCCTTTCAAACAACAATTTCTCAGCGGTTAAAACAACCAAAAGATAACAAAAACATACTAACTATTTTGAAATCGTATTGGGATTGAAGGGCAAAGAGACAGAGAGAAAGAGAGAGACAACCATACTAAAGAACCGCGTTATTACGATATATTTTGATATTTTTTTTCTTCACTATATACATTGAATAAGGAGAGAATACCCAGAATGAGTACTTATAATTCAGTAACACCAACTGCTTTGGGAGCGTCAAGACCAGCAGCACAGCCAGCTATCAGCAAGCCAGTAACCAATGCTCTGCCTCAAGGATTGACAAGATTTGTAGAGGTTTGTCATGAAAAAGCTGCTGCTCAACGTTTTGATTCCAAGGCTACAGCACAAATGCAATTACAACTGAAGATTTTAATAGAGAAGGCTAACAATCAAGGGGTATTATGGGAGAATGATTGGCTATCGCAAGAGCTTCCTGTTTTCAACAGCGCTGCTTCTTTAGAATTAGTTGGAAAATTAGCTAAACCAAGTTTTAACATTAAAAAGAAACTATTAAAACGTGGTTCTAGTTTTGATAGTCAAGATGATGAAGATGAATTAATTTCAAGCTCAAAAAAGAAAGCTAGAGCTGCAAGATTTGAAAGAGAATTAAAATCAGAATCACCTAGACCAATTTCTGCTAATGATGAAGTTCTCGTAGGTGATAGAAATAAAGCAGTAAAAGGTACATGTCAAACTTTAGAAAAATCATATTTAAGATTAACATCTGAACCAGATCCTTCAAAAGTTAGACCTCAACACATTTTACAAAGAGCTTTAACATTTATTTTGGATAAATATAAAAATGGTGGTAAATATACTTATGTTTGTGATCAATTAAAGTCTATCAGACAAGATTTACGTGTTCAACTTCTTGAAAACCCCTTCACTGTAAGAGTTTATGAAACTCATGGAAGAATTGCACTTGCTAATAAAGATTTGGGTGAATTCAATCAATGCCAATCAGTTTTGAAAAATTTATATCAAATGTCTAATTTAAATGAATCTGTTAATAAAACAGAATTTTTAAGTTATAGAATTCTTTATCATATTTTAACTAAAAATTATGATTCTATTAGTTTAATTAAATTGAAATTAACTCCACAGGAGAAACAAGATCCATTAATTGTTCAAGCACTACAAATTCTTAAAGCTCATATTTCCAATAATTATCATGATTTATTCAAATTATATTCCAAAACCAAAGGTACAACAAGGGATTTATTCAAATGTTTTATTGATGGTGAAAGAATTAAAGCTTTAGCTGTGATTTGTACAGCATATAAAGTTTTAAGCTTGGAATTTTTATTGAGAGAATTTAATTTTGATAATGAATTGGATTGTATGACATTTATTAAAGATAAACAAATTGAAAAATTCGTTGAACTTCGAGGAGGAGATAATGTTGTTTATTTGAATACAAATAATGCAAGAGGTACAATTTTAGGATTATTAAATTCTAATAGAAGATTGGATATCAAAGGGCAAATTTAGAGAGAAAGTGTGAGAAGTGTTTTTGAGGGTAAGTATTATATTAGAAGAATTTTGATATTCTTTACTATGTTTTGACCCTTTGATATTCATAAATAAAATTAGCTATACAATCAATTATACAATTCAATCAAAAGATGGTGCTAAAGCAATTAATGAAAAGTTCAATTTGTTTTTTTCGTCAGATAAATCATTATAACGTTGGAATCTTTCAACAACTTTTGGCTCACCAAGAACATCATCAGAACTTGGATCATTGGATTCACCCAAATCTAGAGGACCTTTACGACCTCCATCTAATTCATAAACATGACCATTTTTCTTAATAAATGCAATGAAATGTAAATCAACTTCATCTTCAGCATTTGGTGCTTCTGTAGAACCTGATGTTGCAGCATCTTTATAATCATTTTCTAAATTTGCAATTAATTCTTCAATTTTACTAATATCTTTATGAATTTTTTTAAATTCTGTAATTTTTGAATTTGGTTCATAACTATCTTCTTGTAAATTTGAAATTGAATTTAATAAAGCATATAATCCACAAGCATTTCTAATGGTTTGTTTATACCAAACAACTTCTTCATCTTGTAAACTCAATTCTCTTGATGATTCTTCTTTCTTCTTAGCTTCATTATAATCTGGTGATACTGGGAATAATAATATAACAGCAGGACTTGGTCTTGAAATAAATGATAATAATTCAGGTTCTGTTAATGAATAGACATCATGGAATACAAATGATTCAGTAAGACCCAATTTATGGGCAAAAGTTGTGAAAATTTCTGGATTTGATTCTAATGGAATGACTGCTTGAGGCATTGTAATATAATTGTGGTTAAATAGGGTATACTTGTTGATAATGTTGACAATAGATTGAATCAATGTATATTTGTACAATCTTATGGGGCAAAAAGATGGCAATTGTTCATAAAAGGAAAAGCGGTAAGAGCACTACGACGTGCTTAGTAATCACAATAAAGAAATACTTATTACTTCAAAATTAACACTTATATTAATTAAGCTATAATATATTCAGAAGACTTCGGTATCTTCAGGCGTCTCACCATTGATTTTCTCCTCAATAAGGTCCCTTTTACGTCTTTGGTATCGATCAAACGCTAAAGCGACAAATCCAGTGAAAAAACTGATGATTAAGAAAACTAAGCAAATTCTAGTTCCCTTTTCAAACCTTGGAGCATACTTAGTATTGAATGCAAATAATGAGAATACTGTACTCACAGGAATTAGAGCCAAATTCATCATACCTAATGTTCCAGCCCTTAATTGTGGATCTTCTCTTGTCATCTCTTGAGCCCAAGTACAACATATGTTGGTACAAATACCTGTGAACCCCACAAGAATGAATCCTAAAAACTGAACAGCTTGAGGAACATCATATTTTACTAAGATTGCAATACCCACAAGCCAAAATCCATGACATATGGCAGCACCATCCCATTTTACACCTCTGAAATCACAGTAAATACCACCTAGAAATAATGCAAAAACATTCATAGCTGATTGTGTAGTTGGAATATTATTTCTTTGATAAACATTATAACCTTGTTCTTTCAATACAATACCCCAGTATGATCCAGCATCATTTGGTAAGTTGGCAATCAAATAATACCATGAAAATAACCAAAATTGCCATGAAGTTAATAATTTTTTAACAACACCAAATCCTAAAGCTTTTTTACCAGATGTTACACTGACAACTTTTACTCTCTCTTTACAAAACTCAATGTCTTCTGCAGATAATATACCTTTAATAACACGAGGTCTGTCAGGTGTATCTGGAATAATAAAAAAACCTAGAATGGCTATAGGTATAGTAATTATGAAATCAACAACGAAAATCCATTTCCAGCCTGGTAAACCACCTTTGTTATTTAAGCTTCTATAGACCCCAGATTGAATATAACCACCAAACATAGCACCTAATGATCCAGAAGCCGCATATAATGAGCTTCTTTTGGTTAAGTCCACTTTAGGATACCAACTACCCAACTGATTCAATTTGTTAGTATATAATACTTATGAGAGAATCAAGATTAATAAACTTACAATATAGTGTAGTATAGGGAATGTACCACCTTCAAGAAACCCTTGAATAACTCTAACTGCTAAAATTTGTTTATAGGTTTTGCAGGTGATCACAAGTAGACAGACTATACCCCAAAGAATCTCCAATGTAGGTAATAAAATTGATGGTCTCACTTTTGTCACTAATAGAGTCATTGGCAATCCAGAAACAGCATAAGCTAGATAGAATCCTCTAGTTAACCAATTATACATATTACCATGCATTTTCAAATCTTCTTGCATCCCTGAAACATAAGCATTATTAACGTTTGAAGCATCTAACCAACGAACAAAGAAACTTAAACAGACATATGATAAAATGATACAATCCAATTTGAAAACAAGCTTCTTTTCATAGCTTGAACGACCAGGAGGAGACCATAAAAAGAATGGTTGTTTTTCAGATAAATTCTTTGGATTCTTAGCAGACCAAAACAACTTCCATTTCTGTTTGAATGGGATATTGATATCTTCAAGTGCAACAGATGATGATCCATCTGATTCATTGACATCCACTTTAATTTGATCTTTTATACCCAAATCTTTTTCTGACATGATTCTTGGAAAGTTTTCTTGGCTTTAATCATTTGTTTCCTTCAAAGCAGAACGTACAGCTGATTTTATATCAATATTCTTTCACTATATCATGATTTTGAAGTGATAGTTTCCTATACCACAGTTTCTGATTTTGTATCTATAGGCGACAAACAAAAGTATTTGAATATGAATATTCTGCACATTTTGTATACAAAACCAAAGATATAACAGAATGCCACATGCAGTAACCTATTAAACACACTGAACCACAAATCCAGTGACCAAGAAGAGTTCATTTAACCGTGTGCAATTCAAATTATTCCGAAATTTGAAGTGTAATAGTAGATCCTTCCTTATCTTGAAGCCACTATTTTCAGTCCCTCTTAATACTTAAACTTCACAGTACATCAAAATATCAATTACTATTAGTTATCCAAATTTCTTGGACAGTAACAATGACTTTACCAGAAGATTCAAAGATCATTATTGTTGGTGGTGGAACGTTTGGCCTTTCAACAGCTCTATGGCTTTTGAGAAAGAATTATAAGAACGTCACAGTTCTTGATCCATTCCCAGTCCCTTCAGAAATCTCTGCTGGTAACGATGTCAACAAATTGATTCAATCTTCATATATTAACAAATTCCACGATGAATTATCAAAAGAATCATTGAAACTATGGCAAACAGATCCTGTGTTTATCAAGAATTATCACGAAACCGGGATTCTTTATTCTTCAAGCTCTGAAAAGGCATATCAAGGATTACTTGAAAAAAATAAAAGACAAATTGAGTACGGAAGAGAGCCATTCAAGACCGTCACATCCAAAGAAGATTATCAAGAAATCATTCCAGCACTGACAGGTGATCTAAAAGGTTGGAAAGGGTTGTTGCAGCCAGATGAATGTGGATGGGCTCATGCCAGAGATTCTTTGATATCAGCTGGTGAGGAAATTATTAAATTAGGCGGTAAAATCAAGATTGGTGAAGTGAATGAACTGATAAAAGAAAAGGGGAGCATCAAGGGTGTGAAAACCAAACAAGGTGATGTTTATTATGGTGATAAAATTATCATTTCAGCTGGTGCATCTTCAATAAATGTTTTATCATTCCAAGATCAACTATTTGCTAAATCGTGGGCTTATGCTCATATAAAATTATCACAGGAAGAAGCAGATTCATTAAGAGGAATTCCAGTATTAATTAATAGTGACCTCGGATTCTTTTTCGAACCAGATTCAAATAATGAATTGAAAATTTCCAATGAACAACCTGGTTATACTCATTTTGTTGATGGTAAAGACAATCCAGAGTCTTCTGTTCCTATAGCAAAAGATCAAATACCTTATGAAGCTGAAGTTGCTATAAGAGATATTTTGAGAGCCACATTACCCCAGTATGCTGATAGAGAATTTGTAAAGAAAAGAATTTGCTGGTGTACTGATACAGCTGATAGATTTTTCTTAATTGATGAACATCCAGATTATGATGGTTCGTTAGTTTTAGCTACTGGTGATTCAGGACATGCTTTCAAATTCATGCCTGTAATCGGGAAATATATTTCAGAGTTGGTCATAAAAGGGAAAGCTAATGTTGATAGAGAGACTTATGATCACTGGAGATGGAGACCTGAAGTCACAAGAGAGGATACAAGAATTGGAGGAGATGGAAAGAGAAGAGATATAGGGGAATTTAAAAGATGGACTTAAATATCTTTATTTTCAATGAGCAAATCTAAAATCTAGCCTTCTTGTACCTTCATCTGTAGTATTATGAATGTAATCAACTCTTTCATCTTCGGTCATAGCATCCCATTTCTTTTTCTTGTAGTTGTTTCTAGCCATGTAGTAAAGCTTAATGCCCAAAATCAAAACACCAGTTGCCATTGATATACCAAATAATCTTTGATTTCCTAGTCTATAATATGGTTTATCTTCTGGTCTATAGATTTGAGAAGCTATCATACCACCAGCTTGGACAAACATATTATAAACAGCAGCAGATACAGCTCTAGTTCTAATGGAATTTGAATTCCTAGAGCACCAAGAAACATTGATGGCATGAATATAAGGAACTGAGAGAAGTATAGTTACCAAGATCCAAGTACCCCATGTATCATTCAAGGTACCTTTCCACCATCTCAGAGCTGCAAGACAAGGAATTGACCAAAGTGGATTAATCAAAACTATTAGAGATCTATGATTGACAACTTCTGATATTTTGGTGATGATCAACAAAGTAATAATGTGGAAAAAACTTGATGGGATAGTCATCAAGTTTGTATTAAATGTACTAAAACCCAGCTGTTTGATGATCAATGTTAAGTAACTACTCACAGTTGATTGTGGAATAAATGCAACTAAACCCAATAAATAAATTGGCCAAATATCAAAATCAGCAAGTGATTTCCAAAGTGTTTTCAATGTCAAAGCTTGTCTATTGTGCATATCACCTTTTGAAGGATCATCTCTTAATACACGATTAACAACAATCTTTTCTTCACGTTCTGTAAACCAACCTTTTTTGTTCCATGGTCTCTTTGTCTGTGCTGCAGATGCAACCATCAAAAAATAAGAACTAATTCCAATACATAATGTGAATAATCCTTCAATCAGAAATAACCATCTCCAACCTTCTAAACCAAGGATACCTCTCATACGCAACAAAGCAAAAGCTAAAAGGGCAATACAAATTTCACAAACGGATAAAGAAGTCCAAAAATATGCTAATCTTGTTGATAGTTCTTTTGAGGTGAAGAAATAAGAAAGCCATAAAACCATATCTGGAATGAAACCACCTTCCAAAATGGCAATCAAGGCCCTTGTAGTATAGAACGAAGCCTTACCACTAAGTGCCGCTTGAGAAGTTGCAACAATAGACCACATGATCATTTGAGCAGGCAGCCAGATATCTGGACCAATAGCTTTAGAAATTATACCAGAAGGTAATTCAGCAGCAAGGAAACAAGCTCTAAAGATCAAGTTCCCATAGTTGTAATCTTGAGTAGTCAATCCAAGATCTTCTAACATATTATCAGACAAGGCTTGATTAATATTACCTCTATCAACTTGAAGACCAACAAACATAAAACATGCAAGTAATGTAACTCTATACTCTAACTTCCAAATGACTTTTTTCTCTTCAGATGGGTCCCATTTAAACTCAGGATCAAATAAATGACGACATTCATATTTAGCATCTTCATAAACTTTCCCCCAGTATTTGGCAATTTCAGGATCCTTGAATGGATTAACATCAGTTTCACTGGTAGAAGTTGAAGATGAAGAATTCAAAGATTCCACATCATGATTTTGTGTATTTTTCAATGAATCAACCTCATCCTTAACCTTTAAAGGTACAGCTTTGGATTCTGTCATGATACCAAATGGAAAACAGAGTCATTCTATATTTGATTGTAAGATACAATTCAGCCTTTTTATATAGTATCATCAACAGCAAAGCCAAATCAATATTCATTGTAATAGTCAAGAAATTTGGTATTTGTGTGGCTACGACAAGACTTTGAGTAACGTTTAACAGTTTCTGGTTGATAAGTTATAACGATTCATTAATACTGAGAGGCTAATACAGCCATTATATGGTAATCTATGCCCTTTGGTGTCATTAAAGTATCATCATGTCAGCAGCAAGTACATATATCAATCCCTTTTAAAATCACCATAAATGCTCATAAATATCTCCCGCTCAAGCACCGTTGACACTTTCTAAGATACGATATATGTCCGATCTAGCTTTTTTGAAGGGTCCAGATTCCAGATTCCTCACAGTTGTGAAACGTCATCATAGGACCCCTATTATGCAATTTTACCAAGAGTCAGATAATTTGAAGTTACAGCTTACCAACCAGCCTATAGGAACAGAAAGAGGGCATGAGTATGAAAGATAAGCAGTGAGCACTGGCTGGTTGCCTTTTGAATTGTAATAGAAAATGTAGCCACACTTCAAAAAAATTGGCCACGATCGATTCGCGGGTAGTAGATTATATAGACAGATTAATATTAGTATTAAATTCAAACTTGGCTATTGATATTCTTCCGAGACGTCTACAGAGTATAAGTTATTGAATAATAAAGTATAAAGAATTTAGCTATATATCTATGGATCCACTCAAGTATCAAACCTAAAATCCAATCTTTTATTTCCTTGATCCGTTGTATTATGACGGTAATCATCTTGTTCAGCTGGGGACAATTTCTTCCATTCTCTTTCTTTATAGTTATTTCTAAGGGTATAATAGACTTTGATACCCACCATGAGTACAAATGTTGCCAATGCAATTATAAATAAGTTTCTGTTCCCCCTATGATAATATGGTTTATCATCAGGCTGGTAAATTTGCGAAGCTGCCATCCCTCCAGCTTGACAAAACATGTTATAAACAGCAGCCGATATAGCTCTAGTTCTAACAGAGTTTGAATTTCTTGAACACCATGACACATTAATGGCATGTATATATGGAACTGCAATTAAAAGGGTACAAACGATCCAAGTTCCCCATTTATCATCATATGTACCTTTCCACCAAGTTAATACAGCTAATAACGGTAATGACCAGATTGGATTGATCAATACCACGAGTGATCTACTCTTAACCCTTTCAGATAACCATGTTATTGCAAAAAGTAAAATTATATGTATAACGTTGTTTGGAATTGTTAACAAATTAGTGTTGAATGTACTAAATCCCATTCCTTTCAGTGTTAAAGTCAGGTAAGTACTAACCACAGTTGATGGAATTAAGAATATAAATCCCAGTGAGTATATTGGCCATAAATCATAATCTAATATTGAACTTTTCAAAGCTGAAAAATTTAATGCTTGCCTATTATGCATGTCACCTTTTGAGGGATCATCTCTCAAAACTCTATTGACAACAATCTTCTCTTCTCTATCAGTAAACCAACCCTTCTTGTTCCATGGTTTCTTAGTCTGAGCTGCAGATGGCACCATTAAAAACCAAGAAGCAATACCAATCAATAATGTGAATAATCCTTCAATCAAGAATAACCATCTCCAACCAGCCATATCTGCAACACCCCTCATTCTAAGCAATGCAAATGCTAACAATGCAGTAAAGATTTGACATAAAGACAATGAAGTCCAAAAGCAAGCCAATCTAGAGGTAAGTTCAGCAGATGTAAAAAAATAAGAAAGCCATAAAACAATATCTGGAATGAAACCACCCTCTAAAGCAGCTATGATTGCCCTTGTTACAAAAAATGACGTTCTTCCTTTCAAAGCAGCCTGTGAAGCAGCAACAATTGACCATAAAACCATTTGTACCGGTAGCCAAATATCAGGCCCTATTGCTTTCGAAATGACACCAGAAGGTAACTCTGCTGTTAAAAAAACAGCATTCCAAATCAAATTTGCATAGTTGAAATCTTTTGTAGTTAAACCTAAATCGTCTAACATATTATCAGAAACAGCCTGTGACAAATTACCTCGATCAACTTGTAAACCAACAAACATAAAACAAGCTAATAGTGTAACTCTCCATTCTAGTTTCCATTTTACTGCCTTTTCTTCTTCTTCAGTCCATGTTAGCTTTGGGTCAAATAAATGGCGACATTCATATTTGGCATGATCATATACATTGGCCCAGTATCTGGCAACTTGGGGATCATGGAATGGATTCTTTGAGTCTTTCGCCTCGCTGAAGTCACTAGATATCGATTGGACATCTTGGTTATTGCTTGGCTTGATATCATTTGAATCATCAATCTTATATTGGATGGTATCAACTGAATCTTTTCTCTCTGTATTGTTTTTCTTGAAAAAAGACATGTTTAGATCTGCAAGATTATTCCTCTAATGAATAAATGAAGCAAGTTTATCGTAGCACGTATATAGATCCAGGATATCATACCAATTTATACTTAAGTCAATTATCGGCCCCATGACCCACAGTACCACTATCTGTGGCTAAATGTTGTGAATGTGCATTGTGTGGCCAGGGCCCAGTATTGTTCAAGCAATTCGTAATCATATTGACGATCCGACATTGAGAATGAGTACAATGAGCGATATCAATTGACATTCATCAAGCCATAATATGGAGGAAATATTTCTGTGGCTAATAAGTATTACTATATTTTGAAAACCAGGTTAGAAACTCAAGCGCACAGATGGTACCCGCGAACAATAGAAACAATAAAGCTTTAGAACATTTATGCGAGCAGTCTTTTCGTTTTCCTTTGAAATACAACAGCCACAAGAGAGAATAACCAGAGTAATTTAATAATTCTTGAAATCTACAATAAATTTGTTTGTTGAATCACTAACATTCTATTTAAAGAACTCATAACTGATGAAGCAAAACGAATTAAAAAGTTTGCAGTCATGATGGTTCTAACAGTTTCCTGTACGAAATCAAACAGAATCTGTATAGCAACGAACCATGTGTAAAAAAAAAAAAATAAACACTAAACAGACGATATTGAAGCCATATCATCCGTTACTAAAATAATAAATGGATTATAAAGAAACAAAATTAATAAATATGATAGATTGAATACATTCAAATGAAAATCAAACCAACAGGAAGAATTGAAACCAAAGTTCCATAAATATTTAGCAAATTAGCACCACCTTGTTGTATTAAAATATCAGCAGTGGAAAAATCACCAGAAACATGAGAAGATGCATGAGAAACACCATTAGCTGAATTTGGATAATCCGATGGGGTATCATTGGTAATAGTGTGTGTGGAAACTTTGTCATTTGAGTCAATGGCTGAGTATGCATCAGTATGATATGAGCCATTATCATTAGTCAAAGTGTATTGAGTAGATTCATTAGCGATTTGATTTGGATCACTTCCGACTTCACCATTTGAATTTGTTTCGATCTTAAAAGCAGAAGTTGAAGCACTTGCACCAACCGAAACATCACCAGAAATTGTTGACGAGCGAATAAAAGATTTTCCAGTGGAGTTCATATCAGCAGAAACATTATTTGTGGATGAGCTTGCTTGGACTTGATCTGATGTAGGTTTACCTGATTGAACTTGATCTGTAGTTAATGGACAATAAGTGGTAATTTCTGTTACTTTCCCTTCTCTAGTTTCTGTCAAAACAGTAACACCAGTAGTAATTGGAACATATGTGCATTGATGTGTACCAGAGCATGAAGTAACAGTGATAACAGTTGTAGATTGAACTTTCTTGATGACATTACTGATAAGATCAATACCATTACTTGTATCTAATGTAGTACTAGCATAAGCAAGTGATCCATCTGAGTTAGTTGTTGGGTAAAAGCTAATGATACCGGTGGTGATTGAGCCATCTGAATTAGTATATGTGCTAGCAAATGGGAATGGAGCAGAGCTTGGATTGAATGATGATAATGATGATGAGGAATCAAATGAGCTAGTTTGACCTGATGATGCATCCGATGAACCTATTGGGTTTATACCATTGGACGGGTTTCCAGTCATAGACGAGAAATTTAAATGTGACGAAACAGTTTTTGAATTCAAAGAAGATGTAGCAGAAGAAACAATAATGGTACTTCCAAATGATGAAGAATGAGTAACCATGTTGCTTGAAGAACCAGTTGATGTGGCGGCTTCATTAGATCCAGTAGAGCCTTTAGATGAATTTTCAGTTGAGCTTGACGAATTTTCAAGAGATGAGGAACCAGGCGTAGCAGTAGATGAATTGATAGATGAAATAAACTCACCATTTGTAGATGAATCTTGCCCATTAGAATTTGACGTACCTTGTGAAAATGAAGCAGTAGAAGATCCAACAGAGGATATAGATGTAGCATCATCGTCAATGATGTTGGAAAAGGAAAAGGTTAACAAAGATCTTTTTGATATTTCACCCAATCCACCATCTGGAACATTAATTGATACCTCTATATTATTAGTGTATGGCTTGTGACCAGTAGCTTGTGAGGCAATATCAAAAACCAAGGTACCTTCAACATAATTATCAACACTGACGGAAATGGAGCCTGGAGCAACGTTTTTCATAGAATAAATTTCACTTTCACCAATGTTTGTCTTCACAGATGTAAACACATAATTAGCTTCAGCGGAGGATGCAACAACCTCAACAGAAACCCATGGACCAAATTCTGCTGGAATATATAACCACCAATTAGGTTGACCATCAAGTAAGCCACCTTTAAAATATGGCATGACTGAAGAAGCAGATGGAGGCAGCAAAGTACTTGATGAAGATGCTGGAACAGAATCTGATGAAGAGGAGAATTGTGTAGTGACTGAGTTTGATAGATGCATGGACGATGAATCTCTTGAATCAGTTGATGTGCTGATTGAGGAACCATTTGAATCAGTTGAAACGTTGACTGTGGAGCCATTAGCATCTGTAGAACCATTTAAGTCAGTAGCTGTAGTCTTGGATGAACCATTTGAATCAGTTGAAGTTGCATCAGTTGAAGTTGAATCAGTTGAAGCTTTGGCTGTGGAACCGTTAGCATCTGTAGAGCCATTTGAATATGTAGCTGTAGTCTTGGATGAACCATTGGCTGTGGAGCCGTTAGCATCTGTGGAGCCATTTGAATATGTAGCTGTAGTCTTGGATGA